CCCGCTCTGATCTCCTGCGCATAACCACCTGAACGACTGACATCGGAATTGACCCCTCTTTCGTCATTCCTCTGATTTACGCCTTTGGAAAGCCACTGTCCGAGCTTTTGTCTGCAAACCTGGCGATGGTGTAAGGTTTCAAGTGACAACGCCAACCAACCCGCCTCTATGCGAGCGGTACTGCCGGGGAGACCCCCAGCGAAGCTCCAGTCGTTCAGCACTGCGCTGTGGGATGGGCTTCGCGTGATTGTAAGCTTTCACTTTTTGAAGCTTTGATACAGCTTGTCGTATGGACCAGAAAGTCTCGAATGCTAACGGTGGCCTTGCGCGCGTTTCTCACAGGCGTACATCTCCGGCCACGCGCTAGTCATCCTCGGCGGTCCGCAGACGCTCCTCCAAACGATCTACGTCGATGATACCGAAAAACTCGAAGCTGTAGCTTTTGATGAGGCTTCTGGAAAGATTGCGGTGTGTGGAGGGCCTGATATATTTGTATATCAGCCGTACGGCATCCAGGGCGAGACACTGAAGGTGGGTAATCGATGTGCTACATCGGAGCTTTCTCAACCGAGAGATAACCGAGAGATACGCTCGCGGGCAATTGGAAAGCCTAATATACTGACGTGGATCTACTCTGTAGTGGTCCCTTGCTTGTACGTTTCGCGCCAACGATGACGACGAGTCGATTCATACCGTGTCGTGGGGGTCGCCGAATGAGCTGCTGGTTGGAAACTCGCGCCTCGCGCTCTGGATGCTGAATGATACCCCTCGGTTGGTGTGGAAAAAGAAGCTAGCGCACCCGGTCAAGTTTGCCCAGTTCTCCCCCGATGCAGCCTTGGTGGTTACTGTCGGAGAGTATGACCGCTTGGTCAAGGTATGGAGACGACTCGCCTTTGGTGAGGATGAAGTACGGTTTGAAGTCTCGTATCTTCCCCATCCTAATGTTGTCACGGGGATACATTGGCGACTGCCGTACCACCGCGAACAATCCGTTGACAACGTTCTGTACACCCTATGCGCCGACAACAAAATCCGAGTGTGGGCTGTGACGGACCACCATGCGCTTTCGCCGTTGCAGTTATGGACAGACATCGATATGGAACTCTCGGTACAGCCCCGAGATGCGTTCAGTATTGGTCAAGGATCCGCCAGGAGATACGGATTCTTTTTAGACGGTCGTGATTTCTGCAGCGCGACAGAGCGAGCCGTGGAGCGGAATACGGGCAATAACGAAAACCACGCGTTGGAGCATATCATCGAAGTCGCCAAGCAGAGCCCAGAGATATGTATCGTCATCGATGGCCAGGGACATATGTCTGCATGGGCTTTGGAAGATGTGGGTTCCAAGGTCAAGACTAAAATGAGCGTCTTCAATATCCTGCACGTCGAGGGGCTGGAGTTTGGATTCATGCCTGACCTAATGGCAGCAGAGGACTATGCGCAAATCCGCGCGTTCCAAAGCAATACAAGCGAGGACAAATTGAGTATTGTTGTTCATCACTTCGACGGTCGGATCGAATGGTATGACTCGCAAGTAGATGTCCTCTTCGATCCTACTCCTCGCAAGAACCGAATTTCCCCAAAATCATCTTGGTCTGGACACACAGCACCAGTCAAGAAGATTGTGAGAAATGCTATTGGTGATACGCTTATTTCGCGTACGAACGAGAACAAGGCTATGATCTGGAGACAGAAGAAACGAAAGAGTGGCTCGATGCTTCTGCATAAAAGCATCCTTTTCTCTGATGAACACATTCATCGGACCTGTCTCATCGAGGACAGTAGCCTGCTCGTCAATCTTCATCACAATGGAATCTCGCTGTGGGATACCAACTCCTATCACGCCAAGAGGATTGCACATTTACCTTTCACATTGTCCAGCAAACCCCTATGTGTGCTTTCACTTCCCAGCCCGGAAACAAAGTCAAGAGTTGCCTATGTGGCAACCATTGGAGCCGATATGACTGGCATTGCATGGGCAATTGAATGGAGTACATCCCAAGACTGTCAATTGCGGAAATTCTGCACCTTTGAGATGGGCCTCAAGGAAGATCTGGCCTATATCCTCCCTGTAGATCCCGCAGGACCCAAAGCCAAACACTCCGGATTCTTCGACACATTTTCACCGGACATTGCCCTTTCCTACACTCATAGCGGAGTCGTGCGAACTTGGACTGCCAAGGTGGACCAAGCCAACACGAAAGTTGAGTGGCTGCTGAAGTCAACAGTCGATACAGGAATCACGAACCCGTCACTGGCAAGTGGAAGTACTATCCGCAAAGCCGCGCTGGTGGATGAGGATCGAACCCACTTGACTATCTGGGACACCAACAACGCCCAGTTGGAGTTCGAAGAGCAATTTGCGCAACATGATATCATTCGGGATCTCGACTGGACCTCGACTCCGGATATGCAGTCTATCTTGGCGGTTGGATTTCCACACAAGGTTGTCTTGCTATCTCAGCTTCGTTATGACTATCTGGATGCTCAGCCTTCGTGGACCCAGATCCGGGAGATCTGGATCCGCGATCTCACCCCACACCCAATTGGTGACTCGTGCTGGCTCACAAATGGTCACCTGGTAATTGGCGCAGGAAATCAGTTGTTTGTGTATGACAAGGAAATCGATGTCGGCGACCGCCTCGTATCCGGCCTGCGTATTCCATCTCGAGGATTATCGTCGGTGGATCTTTTCGATGTCGTCAGTCGCCTGAATGGACCGTTGCCCGTCTTCCACCCACAGTTCCTCGCACAGTGCATACTATCGGGAAAGACCAGTTTGGTGCACGCCATCCTGATCAATCTGCACAAGAAATTGAAATTCTTCACGGAAGGTGATGACCTGGACGGGTTCCTGGAAATGCCGCTCCAAGAATTCTATGAAGAATGCGATGTTTCCCAGCAAGCGGCATCCAAAGAGATGCGCTCTTCCTATACGGATGTGATCGTGCAAGAGGAAGAATCGACCGTGATGGATGAAAATACAGCCGCGGTTCTTAATGAGAATCTCGCGCGGATTGCGCTACCTCAGATCACTAGCCATGAGCAGTTCCGCCTTGTTGACACTGTCGAGTGCGTAGCAACGGTGGAAAAACATCGACGGTCCATGGATGACAATGCCGCCCGCTATCTCCTTTTCTTCCGACAACACATGCTGAGGAGGAGTCAAGGTGTTGCGAATAAAGACACCATTTCCTGGCGAGAGATTGTCTGGGCCTTCCACAGCGGTAGCCAAGACATATTGACTGACCTAGTTTCGCGTCAGTTCAATGGCAAATTGACTTGGAAGGCTGCCCGGGAGAGTGGTATTTTCATGTGGCTATCAGATTTGACAGCCTTGGTAAGTGTCTCCATTCACCAGTGCTTGGCGTTTGCTAATCGCCCTGTTAGAAAGCACAACTTGAAGTTGTTGCTCGGAATGAGTATGGCAAGACCGAGGAAAGAAACCCTATCGACTGCACGATCTACTACCTTGCCCTTGGAAAGAAAAACATTCTTCAAGGTCTATGGCGAATCGCTCACTGGCATCGTGAACAAGCCGCTACGCAACGTCTACTTGCGAATAACTTCAGTGAGGCAAGATGGAAGACGTCTGCCCTCAAAAACGCATACGCCCTGCTCGGAAAGCGGAGATTCGGTAAGTTTTGTCTTCTCTTTGATGCTCACAATAGCCATACATCTGACCTCCCAAAGAATATGCGGCATCATTCTTCTTGCTTGCGGATCACCTTCGCGATGCCACGAATATAATTACCAATCAGATGGGAGACCTCCAGCTTGCGATTGCAGTCACACGAGCTTACGAAGGAGACAATGGTCCTGTCTTGCGTGAAATTTTGCAAGAAAAGGTCCTTCCCGAAGCAGCCTCGGAGGGCAACCGATGGATGGCCTCTTGGGCTTTCTGGATGCTTGGACGAAGAGACATGGCCGTGCGATCCCTTATTGTATGTCACACCCCGAAGACACGGATAGTTCTCATACTAATACGGCAGCAGTCACCGATCGAGACACTACTAGCTCCAACGCCCGCCTCCCCTGGGAGTCCCGGACGTGTCACCCTTCAGGCCAAGTCGTACCTCTCCAATGACCCCGCCCTCGTCGTTCTCTACCAACAACTACGTGAGAAGACCCTTCAAACCCTCAAGGGAGCCTCACAAGTCCGCCCACGAGAAGAATGGGAATTTGTTCTTCGCAATGCCCGCCTCTACGACCGGATGGGCTGCGATCTCCTCGCTTTGGACCTAGTACGACACTGGGAATTCCTCGGAGGACCACCCACACCCAGGAAATTGCAGACCCAGCCTGCTCTTGAATTCCATGACGGTGCTGTTGATTATCGGAAACTGCTTCGCCGGCGGAGTAGTCTTGTTGTCGCTGATTTGCCGGTCCGGCTTACAGAGGCGAAGGTCGCTAACGCTAAAGATTCTTCTGCGGTAGAAGACTCAGATAAACAGCCGAAACCGAAACCAAAACCACCTCCGACCATGTTCCATGAGCCTGATGCTAATTCGCTGTTGGATAGCTTTGGTTTTTGAATGGATGCAAAGGGGTTTCGAGTGTTTGATTTCTAAGCGCATCGTCTTCTTTCTACGTGCATTTCCATAGAGCGATTGAGCAAAATGCAAAATTTCCGGACAGTCCTCAAACTCACCACTAGTCAGCATCCTCTTATAAAGTTGATGGAATTTCCTCCCTTTCGGTCGCCCTTGGGGATTTCTGGCAGAACCAGCGCCTTTCCATTGCCCTTGCCCTTCTTGCATGAGAAGGTTGCCGTTGGCCGTTTGGCCGTTTGACAAGTTTTCCTCCCTTCCTTCCTTTGCGTAGAGATCTCCTAGAGATTTCCTCAAAAGTTATTGACTTTTTCCTTAAAGAACGATCGAAGAAAGGTTGGGACAAACAAAAATTTCTTTTTAGATGACTATATACAACGACATATATTTTCCAATGATCCATAGACATCAAAGCGCTCACAAAACGAAATAATCAATCCTCGCCTCTCACTACAATCGAGCTACCCGACTGCGCAAGACAGACAACTTTCTCCTCGACAGAGTCTGGTTGCCAGCCGCGGTGCCGTTAACATGTTGCAGAGTCGCATTCAACGCAGGCTGCGTGGCATTATGCTTCCCAGTTACCATACTAGCAGCCTGATGCCGAATCTTCTCCATAATATCGTGCACAATCTTGGCACTCTCAGCATGCCCCTCATTATTCACGCGCCCTTCCTCCTCAGGCTTCCGTCCCGAATACTCAGTCTGAGCTTTCGACCACGAAAACGAGTTCGAGCCGGGCGTCTGCACGTTCGCCGCACTCTCAAATTGGGCCGTACCTTGGATGCGTGGGGTATCCTGGGCCTGGTGTGATGGGGACTCCTCATTCTTGTCGTCGCAGACAAGTTGAAGCCATATTTCGCTGTATGCTGCGAAAGACCGGGGCTCGCATTGGCTTATTTCAACGCCTTGGCTGAGTTCTTTGTTGATCAGCGGTGGGTCGATACACTCTGGTACTTCGTGGACGGTGATGTTGCAGCGTGGTCCGGTCTGTGGTGGATAGGGACGGCCGGAGTCTTGGGAGAGCAGTTCGGCGTCAACGGAGATAGCGCTGACGAGGTTGTGTTCGTAGGAGGGGACGCCGACGTTGGCGCACATGCCAGTCGTGATCACTAGGGAGGGGGCGGTTTCTTCATAGTTTTCGTATGTATCGAGGTTGGAGAAGGGTTCGCCGGGACAATTGGGGTAGAAATGGGCCCAGACTCGGGCTGTGATGCCGGCGTGGATGGGCGTGGAGAGGAAGAGGATATTTGTGAGGGTGGAATGCATGATTGCGGATCTCGAGATCTGATATTGAGATATAGAGATCGAGAAAGGATGTATCTTTGATAGATGGGTGATGTTCTTATGCCAAGGGGGCTCGGGATCTACTCTCTTATATACACTTGACCATTTCACTACGTTAGGACTACGAATATCAGGATGGCGGGGAAGAATGGCTGGAAGGGCGATGACATTGACGTGAAACGCGATTTACACGTCCCACAATGATCGTGAATTGTCATAATGGCGTTCAGCGTCATACTTGGTGGCGGGAGTGTGTCAAGAGTTCAGGCCAGGAACCAGTAGCTGTTGAGATCGTACATTCCAAATCCCAAAAGGGAAAGGCGCAGTCGATCCAAGACCCGTGTGGAAACCATGATTGCCTCAACGAGGCATGTAAGCGCGTCTTGAACATTCCAAAGCACGGCGGTCGGCCTCTCAGGGGACTTTGTGCCTGCTGGATCGGCGGCTGGTTGTGTCAGTCGCTGGTGGTTCGTGCTTGGAAAAAAGACGGGCTAGAAATTTCATTCGTCTAGTTTTCTGGAAAGGACTTCTTTGATTGGAGTTGAATTGAATGATGATGTTCAATTCCGTTGAACAGAGTCTATTAATGACAAAAAGTCAGGATCACTAGACGCATAACAATTGGACAGTCTGCCAAATGGTGCAGCTGGGACCTGGACCCATCCCATCCAATTCTTGAGGCCTGATGTTGCCATATGCAGATCAGGAAAGCTTCAAAGTGAAGATGTGAATCACTTCCGCTTCTTCTTCTTCTCCTCACCCGCAGTAGTTAGTGGCTTATACTTCAGGATCGACTCGCCCGTCTCAAAAGTGGTCAAAGTGTTCGACCGCCTGCCTCTCCCCTTCAGGTTGGTCTGGATCTTCCGATCAATCTCCGCCAGATCTTTCTCCGAGTTGATGGAGCTAAGAGCCTTCATCGAAGGAGCACCACCAGGGCCACTGGATCGACTGCGACTGCGTTCCCGACTGGAAGGCTCGCTTGGTGGCATGCTCTTGAGATAAGACTGATAAGCGTCGAGTTTGTATGAGTCCGTAGGAATCTCGGCATCGACGTCCGGCATGATACCGAACCCAAGATCATTAATCGTCTGAGTGACTCGCTCTGACAGTGCCTCTCGGTGTTGTCTCAGGTCAATCAGGGAGGACGAGGAAAGCGGGCTCAGAGCGAGCACGAGCGGAGGCAGAGACTTGATGATGTCCATGCCAACCTCGCCAAATCGAAGTGCTGCGTAGCTGACGAAACCCATGTGGGCGTAGAAGCACACGGCAAAAATCCACAATGGAATGAAATCGGGGACGTATGTCCTTGCCACCATCCACCAGGGAACAGTTTTGGTATAGTAACCATCATTGCGGTTATAGCGAAGCCAAGCCGTCACGATGATGGTATAGTACACGTAGAGAGTGGGCGCCAGCCCCATGGCGACGAGAATTTTCCAAGTGCCGACAACATCATGTCCTTGCAGCTTGACCACCGATGCTGCAAGCGCCTTGCGTCGTTTTCTCTCCGAGATGACCTTTGTCGTGACAAAGACAGGCCAGAAGAGGAGTACTCCAGGTAATACCCCAAAACTGAGGACTAGAAGCTTGGTCAGGCGGTAGAACAATGTAATTAGAGTGAGCCACCACGGCTTCTCCTCGATGTTGCCCCATTCAACCTGGTGATCCCGGATACCAAGCGATTCAAGGCGTCTGTTATACTCCCTCACCATCTTTTTGAGATTTTTGACTCTGGGGTCGTCCTGGTGCTTGGTGTACCCTTTCAGTAGTCTCCGATTGAATTCGATGACCAGGGGAAGCGGAATTTTCTTGCTGATAGGATTGTAAAGCTTCCTGGTGGATTGCACCAGGATGAGGGTCTCATGATCCGGGCTAATCTGCGTGACAGATTCGAGGCCCTCATAAATCGTTTCAAGCAGAGAGCCAACGGCATTCCGTTTGCTGGTGCCGCCAGCTTTAAAGGCTGCAACCTGATCGGGGTGCACATGGATGGGCCGGCCAAATTCAATCACACCACGAGAGCGGAATTTGTGGGCATGGAAATAGTTCATGCCACAAGGGATGATGGATAATCCACATTCGGGATCACGGGCCAAAGCGCCGAGTGACATCAAGGCCGCGCCCGCTTTCAAGGGCAACAAATTGGAGCGATCGTGGCTGCCGCCCTCGGGGAAGATGCCGATGCAGCCTCCCGAAGACAGCTCCTTGTAGACGGCATCAAACATTTGGCTCTGATCAACATGAGGAGCAACCTTGAACCTCGTGCCTTTACGGCCCGGGTCATCCGGAAGCCGAGAGGTGAACGGCTTCTTGAGCCGAAGGGCAGTCGGTCCCAGGATTTCGTCAATTGACGCAGTCTCGGGTGCACCCTTGCCTTTGATCGTGAGTGAGCCACTGGGGGTGAATTCGGGTTGCGTAAAATCCGTATCAACGCCATGAATGAGAGCTGGATCGCCCTCGGGATCGGGTTGGTAGATGGTACCCTTGCCCGTTTTGGTCAGATCCATCGATCGGACTACGGGAAGAGCGCCCATGCATGATGCCAAAGTCCCGATATAGGGCTCATTCATAGACTTCTGTGCGATGAGGAAGGACACGCGTCGCTTAGCCTGCGACTTCAGCAGATGCATCAAAATCGCCGAGTCGACGAATTGATTGGCATGAGGGGCGGCAACGATCAGCACGGGACCTCTTTCGGGGATTCTCCACGCTCCACGAGGGTAGATCTCGCGGAAAAAGAGGTCCAACGCACAGGTGAAGAGCCACAAGACGAGGTCGTACAGCCAAGGGATCATCCGACGGGACTTATCCGGTCGGCCCGCCATGATCGCCGCGTGGAGACCTTGGGGGGGATTGGAGGTGATGAATCAACACAGAATAACGGTCATGCAGGAAATGCCGGTGAGGAAGTGGAGATGCGAGATGTGGCGCCGACGTTGGAAAGCTGAGGGAAAAGGTGTGGGCTGAGAAAAATAATGGAGGGGCGGGGGGGGGGAAAGTGTATTGGGCGGGTAAATTTAACGACGAGACCATCTTTGGCATCATCGCCAACAATTAGATAAACTGATGAGATCTACCTCTAGAGCTTCTATTAGAGAATATCATATTTTTCGACACCAATGGATATTTATCATGGATTATAACTGAGATACATCATAATTTGAAAAACAGGGACGTAAAAAAAAAAAATCATAGCTATCTAAAAAGTACAGGGCCACCCACTTTCTCATGTCATATTTCGTGCGCCCGACCGTGCGGCCTTGATGTACGCATCATTTAAAAGTCCTCAGGACCATAGGAGTTCTCAGGATCATAGGAATTCTCTGGACTATTGGAGCTTTCAGGACCATAAGAGCTCTCAGGACCATCGGAGAAGCCAAAGCACTCGAGTCGGACGGAAACGTAGCCACCATCGAAGATATCGGGCAGGCACTGGCCCTGAACAACGGGCTCGCCCTCGAAGGGTAGGAAGTAAAAGGGCTTGCCAGTGCAATCCTCATTGTTCCAGACGGTCACACCAGAGCACAGGAAGGCGTCCTTGGTGTCGAGATATGCCCTGAAGGAGTAGTAATCGATGCTCCAGTCGCGTTTAACGGCGGCCTTGTCGCAGGTCACGGGAGTCGCGATGACACCATCGTTGCCCTTGGGTTCACCTGGAGCTGAAGCACCGGCGGGGCAGGACTCCCAGGCTTGGAAATCCACGCTGGCGACGGGGAAACCTGCATAGGCGGGCAGGACGAGCAGCGCTGCCGAGGCGAGGATCTGTCGCGTTCCGTCAGATACTTTCTTGCATTGCGGAATCATAGATAGTCAATGCCGCGTCGGCAGCTCACCTTCGAGAAGTACATCTTTTCTGGGCGAATATGATGATAAGTCCTGCGGTGCTGGTCGTGAAAACGAGTGTCGTCGAGCTTCGTTGGGTTGGTCAAAGGAGTGTGTAGATGCTCTTCATTCACGGTGCGCGTGTAATGGGATTTAAATAGGGGCCTCTTGGGAAGAGCAACACGCGCTGATCATACCGTCCAGTATACATGGCTTCTGTTCTGTTAGAACCCAGGACCGCGAATGGGTGGAATGCAGGAGCCTTGAGATAGTCATGACCAGGGCACACCGAGGCAGAGGACATTGGCGACGTGGGCTGCGGAAGGGCTGGAATGCGACGATCGGAGAGAAGACACGGAGTACCTTGACCCAAGCAGCATCCGTTGGTCGGTCCTGGAATGGGCTGGAGGAGGATGACGGAAGGACCCGTGTATCCCTGCAGGGACGCGACCAACGCTGTAGTGGGCATACATACTCTGCGATGGTCTGCATTGGCCCTAGTTATTCCATAAGTGGACATTCACACAAAGAAGGTTTTTGCAAAAAAAAAAATTAGTTATTGGGCAGAAGACACGATTCTTTAATTATAGAAATCTTCCACTTTTAAAGCAGTCAGGGGATGGGTTCGCTGGCCATAAGCCTTGTGATAAACCTGACACCGCCACATCCGGAATATGAAACAAGTTTAGATCTTTATTCAACTATATCTGTAGTCTATTTGCTTCCTTTGAACATGCTCGAATTCAATGACTAGATTTGTATGGCCGCACCGTCATGAACAAAACCTTGATGAACCCGGCTTTACACCAGGACCCTTGTTTAGGTCCATTAAATGAACAATGGTCTGCTTTGACGATGAGCATTGCCTATTGAGGATGAAGCTCACGGATCATGGCCCACATGGTGAATTCCTCGAGGGAATCCCAGAAGCCCTGGGGACACCTCCGGCTACCCACAGTCTTGAATCCCTGCTTGAGCCAATAGTCCCCGGCATTTTCTTTCGAGACTCGAATCATGACCCGCACAGGCCGTTCAATATCAGCTTCCTGTCTCCAACGGCGTACAATCTCATCCTCACACGCCTTCACCAACCGTCCGGCGATCCCTTTCCCGCGGTATCGGGGATCTGGGGGAAGCGCCACCACGGCTAGCTCGTAGTCTCCCGGACAGGCATGGTCTCGGACAATCTGCTCCATTTCGCCGCTCAGCCTCTCTGCCGTAGCATCTTGGTTGGTATCATCGTGGTCGAGGGGGTCCCAGAGCCCATCATCTTTCCAGGGCTTCATGCTTGCGGTGCCGATGACTTGGGCTTTTTCGTCCGTGCCGCTAGAGGCAAACGCCACGGCTGTGAAACCATCTATGCCCAGTTCCTCGGAAAGTTCACTGTCGGTCCGAAGTCGGACTTTGTTGTCGCGGTACTTGATCTTGGTGGTGTGGCTGACCATATAGCTTGCGTTGATCATGCGGGTGAGATCCGGCAGCCACGGCTGTGAGAGGAGTTCGGTCGATGTGAACAGCTCGGTGTGGATCACTGGGTCAGGGGCCATGTTGAATTGCACGAATGTAATGAACTTGAAAGTGACACTGATCCACCGCGACTCCTAAGGCTTGATATTCGCGCGATAGAGAAGATTTCGAAGATTGAATTGAATTTCGCTTGGCGACGGATAAATGGTTGGCGGGGCTGCAACAAACGTCTTACTGTTGTGAGTCACGGAATCTAGCTGACGGCTGACAACTTTCCCCCGCCGCTATGAGGCTCTCGTAGCGGGTTTCATATCATCGGCCAATTTGGGTCGTCACGAGACTTTTTTTTGGGGAGAATCTGGGAGAGGAGGTCATATTATCGTTTACCATTATGGATTTAGCATAAAATGCGGACGAGGTTCTTCTCCTAAACTCGACCCATATATGATAATCTCATAGAATCCAGGGACTCCACTAGATAGGTTGGAGGTAGTAAGTACAGAGGTTTCAATTAGGTTTGCACTCCCAACAAGAACTGTAGTATCATCTCCCGAGTCAAAAGATGAGTGTCATAACTAAGAGATGATCCCAAGCCATCAATACCATCAATATAACTATTTGCCGACTCCAGTCAATTTCCGAAATCATGGTTCACAAGACGGTTGTCTCTTTGGGTATGCTTTGGTACTGTAAGCATTGCTGGTGGTTTCAGGTGCAGCGAAACGGAACCGACGGTGGCTTTGGAAGCTTTCAGGCATTATTTACGGACGAAATTCATACCTCATTACCCATGATTAGCAATCTTCACCTGCTTGTTTGTGGGTTGAAACCTACAGCCCCACAGCAATCATTCGGTTACGTTCCCCGTGGGGAAGACGAAGCCGAGAGTAGGAATCCGTATGCAGTTATGTATTGGACAACAACGGCATTCGTCTGACCCCACAGGCTAGGGCCCTTGATACAATGGCTCGGGTTATACAGCATTCAACGGTTCCAATAAGTGAAATACGACGCATCGGAAAGACCTCGCTGTCTTGAGGGCTATCCCATACGCTACTACCACTCACGCCGAGAAAGGAAAGCCCCACTCGTCAGGCAATGTCCTGTGTAGATATGTGTATATTTTCAGCACAGCTTGTCTTACGCTTACGTTGACTTGACGTAGGACTACCAATTGATGTATTTCACATAGAACTATACATTGCGTATTTAATGTGAAGCTATAGGTTTTCCGGGTAGGTGTCTATATTACTCAATAGCTTCAGGAAAGTTTCTCTCAATCGACCTAAGTTCACCTCCCCTCTGGGATATTGTTCCTTCTCTCTGCAGCGTCCACGCTTGATCGTACTCAAATCACGTACTGAGAAAATGTTAGCTCGGCTATTTCATCAATTATAAATCGTTATGTATACTTACTGGAATGAGAAGGTAAGGAACCTGTTTCTCATATTGCTTCCACGCCTCACCGTACTTGGTCCTGCATTTATGAATATCCCGCATAGCTCGGTGAGCAATCATGACGCTGAAGAACACCGGATAGAACCAAGGGAATGGGCTATTGAAACCGGTGATCAGGCCCCAGGAGATTGCAAAGAACATATCGCAGGAATAGTGGACTTTGCGCGCCAGTCCATACCATCCATCTGCCAGAATCGTATCACCATTCTCACTCACAATCGTCTTCGGACTGTGGAGCTCCTGCCAAGGCAACTGGGGGAAGGTATGACGCTTCACCCAGGTGCCACGTTCCATCATGCGGAAGACGTTCTTCTGGCTATTGGCCGAGTCCCAGACCCAGTACACGAAGAGATAGGAGACGAACAGTGTAGTGAGCGCGTTCTTGTTCCACGCATATGTGGAGGGGTGATGATTTGCCAGATACAAAGTACAGTGGCAGTATGACATGGGAACGCCAGCCATATTCCAAAACGTCAACATGAATCCGAGCTTCTCTTGATACATGTCCCAGGTTGTTGTAATCAGATGCTCCCCCTTGGCGCAAGCGTTGGCATAAGTGTAGTGGGCCATGACGAGGAATAGTACCTCTCCAGAAACGTATCCGTACTGTTCATACTGACGAGTTGCGGCAGCACAGCTTAGACCGAACATCATAAACCAAGGAATCCGGACTTCGTAGAACATTTTGAAGTCGAGGATGCCAAACAAACGAGGGTTCAATTCAGCTCCCATGAAAAAGTCATAGATAGGATAGCCGGTGATCCGGTGCTGGGCACCACGAGCGAAAGCAGAGACATAAGTCACGAAGCTAGCAAGGAAGCCAGAAATGATGGCCACGGACATCAATGGGCCAAACTCGTCCAGAAAAGTGTATATCGGGAACAATCCAGAGCCATGCAGAACGGCCATGACCACAATAGTGAGGTAGAAGCTAGCATAGGCCGAACAGTGGTACTTGAGCTGTTTCCCCCCAAGGTGAAGAAGAGGTTTGCCGTAGCAGGTGAACCCCGGCAAGAGCACGTAGCATGCAGCTTCAAAGATGAAATAGGTCCAGTAAATACGCCATGCTCGGAGATGGGGAAATGCGCCCGTGTATACTAGATGAACCAAGTGCCTGCCAAAATCAAGCCATGACTGATCGTCTTCAGGAAGAGGCATCTTTCCATCGTAGTAGGTAGCACCGATCCACATGTACCACATCAATAGAGGGAAGCCCGTCATCAGGCCTAGACACCCGAGAGAACCTCCAAAGTCGAAGTGACCTGAATAATCGACCCGAGGGTCCATGCCAGGCCGCCAGCCACCGATGATATGCTCCTTTGAGAAATCAAACGCTGGCTCATTGGTGTTATCAGGCAGCTTGGTGGTGGTGGTGGTGGTGGTGGTGGTGGTCTGGTTGCTCTCGTCTCGCTTCCGAGGCTGGACCCTGCTGGTCACAGCCATATTGTCGAAGTATATTCTAAGGAAAGAGATGAAAATTTCGAGGTGCTGGGGGCCAATGACCCCTGGATCGTGGGAGGTTCATCCTATTTAAATTGATATTGAGGGTCCCTGTAAAGCTGGAACCTGGGCGCCGAGACTCAAGGAGTTATAGTATGCACTGTCTGTAGTTGGCTGAAAGCTTTCGAGAGTGGATCGTCTCACCTGCGTCGAGGCACTAACGATCTATTATTGCCTCTTTGGGTTTAGTCTCCGTAGACTGTTGTATACAAGAGGACAAAGTGAATCACATGACATCAGTGCTACTGAACTCAAGGACTAATCTCATCCGAGACTTTACTCGTTCGGTCGTTGGGTTGAGATATCCACAGTTGGAACACTGCAAATACTAAATTTTGTAAGTACTCTGGTTCATAAATCGGGCACTTTTGTAGATCTCCGCGGCAATTTATGCTCAACGCTATCCATGATTGAATGATTATGAACACCTAAAGGTCATGTGATCTTATCAGTCCCCCCAGCTTCCCAGTCCGCTTATCAATCATCGCCATCTTCCTCCATGACGCATCGCTGGACCGATGAATTATCAGACCCTCAATATGGCAGGCGATGCCTCTTCACCACGGCCGGAGGCTGTGGATAGGTCATCTCAGCCCGGTCAGATCGCTGATACAAGTAACGATGTCGCCATGGCGAGCCCTAGACGAGCAGCGACTTCCTCTGCCCAGAGCTTCACTCCCCGCTCGCTGATTGTCGGTCTCATTATCGGCGCCCTAATCACTTTTTCCAATACCTACTTTGGCCTCCAGACAGGATGGATCAGCACAATGGCCATGCCGTCGGCTTTGATTGGGTTTTCAGTCTTCAAGGTGCTGACCAAATACTTGTCCTTCCCGTTCACTCCTATTGAGAATGTCCTCATTCAGACGGTGGCGGGAGCGGTGGGAACCATGCCGCTGGGCTGTGGATTCGTTGGTGTGATTCCTGCCTTGGAGTTCTTGTTGAAAGATGGCGAGGACGGACCGAAGGGAGATGGTGGCGAAGGCGAGGGCGGCCCGCTGAAATTGGGCTTCTGGAAATTGGTGGTCTGGAGTCTTGGAGTTTGTTTGTTCGGTGTCGTCTTTGCTGTGCCGCTACGGAAAGAAGTGATTGTGCGCGAAAAGTTGCGATTCCCGAGTGGTACTGCTTCTGCGCTGATGCTGCGGGTCCTACACGGCGCAGGCAAAGACGAGAAGACACCCTTGGACGTTCAGGGTCGCTCTAGTGGATTTGGTCAGGATACTGACAACGGCCCTCGACCTCTGGAAGATGAGCAACGAGGTCTCCTGTCAAAAGATACGGACACCGAAGACCAGTCCATAGATACGAAAGATTGGCGATCGAAGATGCGGCTTTTGATCGGGGCCTTTGTGGTCTCTGGTATTTATGTGAGGTCCTCTCTCCCAATTAGCAAACGATCATGACTGACCAATACAGACCCTTTTCTCCTACTTTGTTCCGCTGGTTCGGGATATTCCCTTGTTTGGGTTGGGACTTGCCCAAAATTGGCTATGGACTCTCAATCCGTCACCCGCATATATCGGCCAGGGAATTATCATGGGCCCATCGACCTGCATGCACATGCTCTTCGGAGCAGTGCTGGGATGGGGAATTCTTTCACCACTGGCCAGAGCCCGTGGCTGGGCGCCCGGACCTGTGGATAGCTGGGATGATGGGAGCAAAGCATGGATAGTATGGGTTTCTCTGGCCATCATGCTTGCAGATTCACTCGTCAGCCTCGGATGGCTTGTTATCAAGCCTATCGTGAACCGAGCTCCGAGGTGGCTCGCTATACTTCGATCAACTCGTGCTGGTCAATGGATTGCAGTACGACTAGAGTCATCTGGGTCACACGAGCACTCTTATATCAATTACTCTGCATTGAATTCTGGAAACCATGAAATCGCCCACGAAGATCTGGACGGTTTTCATGTACAGGTTACGGTAGATAAGGACGAAGACGAAGACGCGCCTCCTTCTCAGCTTATCTCCACCCGGACGGTGGTGATTTTGCTTCCTTTGACACTGATCTTGAATGTTGTTTGTATGCATTATGTCTTCGGCGACATCATCTCACCCTGGTTGTCGAGCCTGGCTACAATTCTTGCAGTCCTTCTCTCCATCATGGGTGTGCGTGCGCTTGGCGAGACCGATCTCAACCCAGTATCGGGTATCAGCAAGCTCACCCAACTACTTTTCTCCTTGGCAACGCCAGCCTCACACTTCTCCCGACGGACGGCCTTGGTCACGAACCTCCTCGCTGGTGCCGTATCAGAGTCCGGTGCCCTACAAGCCGGAGACATGATGCAGGACCTCAAGACGGGCCATCTTCTCGGCGCGAGCCCCAAGGCACAATTCTATGGCCAGATTATCGGGAGTCTCTTCGGCGCTGTGCTTTCAACGGCCGTCTACAAGATGTACGTCAACGTCTATGAGATCCCCGGTGAGATGTTCCAGACACCTACCGCGTACGTCTGGATCTTCACTGCTCGCCTCGTCACTGGCGAGGGTCTACCGGACATGGCATGGCAAGCATCCGTCATCGCAGGCCTGACATGGGTCCTCCTCACAATCGTGCGAATCATGGCTGCATCTCCTTCTTTCGCACAAAACGGCCAACCTCCAGCCTGGAGAAATTGGATTCCTGGCGGCATCGCCGTGGCAGTAGGTATCTTCAACGTTCCATCTTTCACCCTGGCTAGGGCGATTGGCGGCATCATTGCTTGGTGGTGGGCACGGGAGCACTCGTCCCCGGCCCGTCAGCCTAGTTCTAGCGATACTGTGGATGGAATTAATTCCTCCTCCGCGGACGCGCCTACTGCACTGCAGTCTGGACAGGGCGATACGCCCTCTGCGGAAGAGGCGGCTGCCAAGGCTGATGCAGCTTCTTCGACTGTCGTTGTCTTGGCGTCTGGTCTTATCCTGGGTGAGGGTCTTATGAGCATTGTGAATCTTCTTCTTGCAAGTGGTCAGGTTCCCCATCTATAGGGGTTGTACGAGGGAGGGATACCAGGGCGAGAGATGCATTTCGGGTTCCCAAAAAATCTCGGGTTCTGCATTTTCTGCTTTCATAGATGACTTATGATCTTGACTTGTGGCTTTTTGGTTAATGCTTTTGCATCTGCGTTATACATTAGAGGAGGCCTCGGGCTACCGACATCATCATTGGGACCAAGTCAACAAAAAATAGATCCAGCAGTCTTATATAAGAATTGAAAAAAGAAATCATGATGGGAATAATAAATTTAGATATCTAGATAGAAAATCACATAAAGTTCACCGCTATTACGTAGGGAAAAAAGGTATAGGGTGTTCAGGGTATCCAACTCATTCACCAATTCACACATTCAGAGTCAATATCCATCAGTCCGTCAGAATTGTAATCAGATAGGTAGCTAGGAGCTTGCCATCATAGAAGAAAGGTGATAAATGAAAAAAAACGCAGAGAGAAAGAGAAGGGGAATTGGAACAGGGAAAGAAACTCCGCAACAACAGCAGATCACAGGGCTTCGGGGTCAGAATGGTTGTTTTTCATACACGCCGAAAGCCGGACTGACACGACGAGTGATAGTATCTGGATGCATGAAATGTCGGTGCTGAATGATTCAGATCAGGCGTCCTGTGCAGGAATGGGCTTTCGGTTGATCTGAGACCCTGTTGGTGAGGTGGGTGCCGATGGTGGAAGGGCGGGTAGGTCACTTGTCGGAGCTGGGCCCGGGGCCTCGACTGCAACTAGCGGGCTGGACTTGGGGGGAGCGACGCCGCCGACGGTGGGTGGAGAAATATTGCCCGCGCTATTACTGCGCTGCCGTTGGTTGACCGGCATCACTGGTCGCTGCATACCTCCGGGACCATAGGGACCAGGGCTCATGGACCGTGGGCCAGGGCCTGGCCGAGCACCGGGGCCGGGAGACATTGATTGGGGACCGGGTGACATCGAGCGTGGGCCAGGCGACATGGCACGAGGACCCGGAGACATCGAGCGAGGCACGGGAGGGAAAGCAGCCGCGGGTGACATCGAACGGCCGGGATAAGGGGCTCTGGGCGGGCCCTGGTAAGGACCTCCAGCTGGGGAGCGAGGTCGGGCACCCTGGGGGTAGAAGCGGCCGGGGGGAGGCGGGCCTGGCATGCGTCCGTTAGGGCCCATCGGTGGGGGTGGCCCATGAGGAGCCGGGCCGGGGGCGGGGCCAGCTCCAGGAGGTGGACGCGGGCGAGGCTTCACCGGACGCGCAGACAAGCAGGAGCGCGGAGCAACTCCTTGTTGCGAACGATCCAAGCGAACGCACAGGGCCTGGAAACAAGGTTAGTACTCCTTACTTGTTCAAGGAAGAAAAACTTTTGCACTTACCCATCCATCATCATACTCATGAAGCATCCGAACCAGAGCGCCAGAGCGGAGTTCCAATTCGTCATCCGCTGAGGGATTGAAATCCATTTGCACACGGTGAACGTTGCTCGGTCCAGGAGCAGCAACAGCACCGACAGCAGCAGCAGCAGCAACTCCAGCGCCAACTGCTGCTCCACCAGCGGCAGCGAGGATCTCGGATGAAACAGACTCCCCGTCAGCACTAACACGGTTGGGCGAAGAGCTAGGAGGCATTGCTGCACCTGATTCTTGCGAGGCAGGGCGACTAGACGGCTCATTGTCAGATCCATGGGTCGTGACAGCAGCAGCAGCGACAACACCAGCGGCACCAGCAGCAGCACCAGCGGCGGTCGCTGCCATAGCAGCATCGGATGGGACAGCAGCCGAAGCCGAAGGGGCTGCAGCCTCCTCGCTCATCGGAGAAGGAGGGTTGAAGGGATTGACAGGATCGCTAAACGGGTCTTGGGAGCTGGAACTGGACTTGGGCGGCGTAGGAGGCGGCGAGTTACCAGTGAGATTACGAGAAGCAACGGCCGCACCTGCCGCGCCAGCTCCAGCAGCGCCAATAGCACCGGCGGCAACTGCAGTAGCTGGGTTGAAAGCCCCGTTGCCGCTCAGATCAGGCGCAAATTGAGTAATTGGACGCACGCTAAGCTGAGGAGGCGTCGAGGGAGTCGAGGGCTTCATGGGAGGGGGAGGAGGCGGGAGAGAGTAGGACTCCTTCTCATTTTGGATCTCCACCGGTTCCTGATTGCGCTTCCTCTTCCGAATCAAGAAGAAGACGAGGGCTGCAATCACTCCCAGACCGAGGATGACTCCAATTGCGACACCAGCTTTGGCACCACCGGACATCCCCGACGAAGCTGCGGCTGCCGTGGCCGACGAAGAAGCGCCAGAGTCGGTGGCCGATGCGCTCGAAGTCGCCGCAAGAAGGTTCACATCCTGGCTGATCTCGGCGGTGGTCTGAGAGGCCGAAGTTACAAAGGAGGACGGCGCCTGGGTTGTGTCCGCCTGAGTAGTCGTTGCCGATGTTCGCTCGGTAGTCGTGGTTGCCTCTGCCTTGGTCTTTTCGGTCGTGGTGCTCGTCTCGGCTTTGGTCTCCTTAGTGGTCTCCTTGGTGCTCGCCGCTGTCGCTTTTGTTGTCTCTGCCGTGGTCGTCTTCGTGACGCCTACAGCGGCGCCGACGCCGACGTTGGCAGTCTTAGTGCTCGAGGTAGTCGCAGCGGTAGTTTGACTGTTTCCCTCCGTAACATAGCCTCCAATGGCACCTTCAAAGTCCGCAGAGAGTGTTTTATAGACGATCACGAGAGGACCATCTCGCTCGACCAGGAAGGGGTCACCATTGGCGATTGTCTCGTCAATAGCCCGCGCCTCCAGAGGGCGGTGCTGCATATGGTAGAGTGCATGCCCGTGCACCATGTTGAGAGGTCGTTACTCTTGCTCGAGATGGTGACGGGACGGTTCAAAGGTGATGGTCGTGAAGCGATAATCGCTTCCAGAAAAGAAAAAGAGCGGTTGGGTCCGAGCCCGGATTCCAACGCGAGTCGGGGGAGGGAATCGGAGTAGCGCGTCAGTTTACAGTCCACAACTGCGCGCTGTGGAATGTGGAAGGAAAGAATGGACGACTCGAGAGATCGAGAGCCACCGAGAACCAGTCGGGGTGAGGGAAAGAAAAGAAAGGACAACGACTGCCAGGTCGTAGAGGGTGTAAAAGAGTGTCGCGGGTGCAAAAGAAGGAGAGAATCCGAAGCCTCAAGGTTCGAGGACTTGGAGCCGTCGCCGTCCAGCCTGTGGGAGGTAAGGAAAGCGTTCGGGGGGACTCCCACGAGGAGCCGAACGGACTGGAAATGAGATGTTTACTGGGGGGACCCTGACCCGGTCTTCCTCGGTAATGGTGGCATTACGCTAGCCAGTTCGGGGAGTGATCGTGGTCACCCACACATACGATTGGCGGATATCATACGGTGCCTGGTTATGGACAAACGCGAAATGACTAGCAATACGAGATGGTCGAGATGGCTGGTGGTCCGATCGCCAAAACCACTGCAAAAAAACAAAACAGGATCTCCTGAATTTTGAGGCTTTCGGTGGTCCTTTCTTATGGAAGACTATCTCTTTCTTTCTTTTTTTTTTTTTTTTGCCGTTGCCAAACATCGACCACCACCATCATCTAACCGCACCACCACTTCCACCGAGGCAGCGCAGACTTAGCCCCGGCTGGAGTGGCCCCCACAGAGCGGCCCTTCGCTAGGAACCCTGCAACGCGGGGCACAGACGCCATCCGTTGCTGTCTGGGTGTTTCACGTCTTTCAGCCCTCGACTCTCATTGCCCAATGGCCTTCTGTCGCAATTTCCGGGCCACCCGGACGTCCTTCGGGTTCTAGGAAAGCGGGTTCATGCTCCCTCGTTCGTCATTTGCAGTCTAAGTCTACAGTATGTAATGAGTGACCGTTTCCTCGGCAGAGCACCAATGAGGGCTGTCGATTGACGTTTAACTGCTATTCTTAGGTGTTTTCATTGCTGGTGTTTGTTGTGTGGTCGTGATCTCCTTGGGATCCCCAATCGGGACTGGGATACAGGTCCACCTCGCTGGTCACAATACATATGTACAAGACATAACGCCCTGCACTTAATCCATACGCCGTATAAAGGCTCAATGTCACCATCATGACCCTGAGAATATATGACGCCTTCCCCCATCGTTGCATCCTTTTACGACGACCGTGTTGACACTGCCACGCTTTCCCGAAATGACACACGGCTCCTAATTCCTATTGTAGGTACGGGCCACACCCTGTACCGTGTGGCTGAAGCCCACGGCCGTGTGGCAGCCGTCTGGCTCGTGAGATTAAACGGTGGAGAAATACGGATGTCGGAGTGCCTGGCATTATCAGAGTCCGACCTTGCATAACAATCTTTTCGCCGTTACTTACCTCGTCAGCGGAAAGTCGCTCGCTACTCTGGTAGCGGAGTAAGCGACGGGCCAGATCACGGCCATTGGAGGAGACGGCTGGCAAGATATCCTCCCAGGGTTGTGCTGGGACGGTGTAGAATTCGACCTTGCCCCAGTCCGGCAGGACATGGACGTCCTGTACTTGTGGTTAGTCTCGGATATCGAGGGCCTTCCCTTGCCACCGGCAGATTTCTTACCGGCCATATTTGGTCATCTGGAGTTCCCAGAGTGCTGAAGATGGAGTGGATAAGTGAGAGGTCACTTCCCACGGGCCCTGAATCGAACAGCTCGCCATGTCCCACGGTAATAGCTTCCGCTACTACACAACCAGCGGCCCAGAGGTCAAGAGCCGTTCCGTATGCCTTGTATCCAAACAGAACTTCGGGAGCCCGGTAGCTAGTGGTCCCCACGTCGGTGATTTTCTGATCACTGGGCTCGGATCCTGGGTCTCCTTCTTTCCATGAAATCCCAAAGTCTGCCAATTTGGCCGGCCCATCGGCCGAGCTCATCAGAATATTAGAGGGCTTGATGTCTCGATGGATAATTCCTAATTTGTGAATGTACTCAAGGGCCTGAAACATGTCGCGCAAGATAGACCGCGTCTGGGTGGCAGTGACCATGTCTCGCCGGAGCAACTGCGCAAAGTCGTATCGCAGGAAAGGGAAGACCAAAGCCAATCTATCCCCGTCCAAGTTAAACGTCTCGACTAGAGGGATCACATGGGGACTGGCTGCCTCACGTAGCAGTCGCGCTTCACGGTGGACGTCGTGAGGTGCTGCCATCAAATGCAGAACGGTGATCTTCACGGCACGAACCGTACCGTCCTTAGCCGTGGATTTGTAGATCGTGGAGTGTAGCCCATCAGAATGATGGAAGCAAGAGGTGTACTGTCCAAAGGTCTCTCCTACTGACAACTCTGATGAGCCAGCTAACTCTTGCTTTTCTTCTTGAGAGACATTTTGCTCTTGCTCTGAGCCGTGGACCGGTGCCACAGATTTGGTTTCGGCAGCATCGATCGCTTGTTGACACATTCGGTCATACTCCTCCTAGCATGAAATCAATTTGTATGCCCCTCAAACTTTGGAAGCTCTACAAGACCAGTAACTGACCTTGGAGGTGGCCTGGTCATAGGCCTCCGTCTCATATCTCCTCGCCTCTGCCTGAGCTTCCGCAAAGGCCGTAGTTGACGAACTGAGCTGGTAAACCGTAGTGCTATGTAACAAGATTAGTGTCAATCAGGATCGATCAACACTTTGAAAGACTGACAGAGACTGAATGGCCCTCAATCGGTCCGTAAAGCCCAAATCCCCCCTCCAATCCATGGTGGGCCTGTGGAGCTCTGGATTGAAGCTCTGCGGGCTGGCCCCAAACAGATGAGATGATGTCATGTGACCCTGAAACGGCCATTGTAACCAATAAAACGGAGTTACCTCGTCCTGATTGGATCACCTCCGCCAAGAACCGTCACACCGCGTTCCCGGCCATCGTCATTCAATCCCCATGGCCGCCCTCGGCGATCGAACTCCAGCATTCGGACCAAACCCGCAATCATTGATCTTCCCCGACCGAGTGGTTGATCTGAATCGTCAATCCCTTTGGGCGCTGTGTCCTTGCTGATTATGCGCTCGGTGCGCTGCACTGACAACTGTCAAATTCGAACCCATGGAACTCTCACGGCAGGAGTACCCGGCGTTGCTGGTATGATGGACTAACCCTCTGTGCTCTGCGCTTCTGCAATCCTGGAGCGAGGACAGCTGTATACTGACCGTGGGCGCTTTACTATCCGTCTAGGCTACTCTACACCCCAGTCAAGCTTCGACCATCCTCAATGATCGCATCCGACTCATCAACAAGATCAACTCGGATATCGCGGACTTCCTGCAGGTACGATGACCTGTCCTCCGCTACCCCGGGATCTCCCCACAAAACACTATAACCGCATTCCCTGGATCATCGGGGCAGATTGTTGATTTTATGGTCACAGGAGCGCCGTCGCGTCGAAGAAGCCTATGCTCAGAGCTTGCGGAAACTAGCCAGCCGGCCACAATTGGACAATGGCGCTGCACTTGGGTGAGTTGGAACATGGATCCAGGGCTAGATAGGCCTTGTACGATGAGATTTTGCGGCTCTAATAATCATAAAGCATCTTCCAAATTCCATGGCAGCGCATACTCAACGCCACCGAAGCCCTTGCTGTGTCGCACGAGACACTTGCGACCAAGATCGAAGAAGACGTAGAGCGGCCCCTGAGAGAATACAGCAGCAAGAATCGGGAAATGCAATCAATGCCAGGAATTCAAAACAACCTGGCTGGCCTTGCCAAGAATATCGATGCTGCGCAAAAGAAAGTCGACAAGGCCAAAGGCAAGGGCACCAAGGGCGCGAGCAGCCTTTCCAGTGCGATCACTGCCGCGGAAGAAATGAATCAACAATGGGAGTCGCGTGCTCCATTTGTCTATGAGCAACTACAGGCTGCAGATGAAGGCCGTCTCAATCACCTCCGCGACGTCCTGACCCAGCTGGAGACCCACGAGGTGGACCAAGTCGAGCGCTGCCGGCAAGCCGCTGAGAGCTGTCTAAACGTTCTCCTCAATGTGGAGACGGCAGATGAGATCAAGACCTTTGCTGCCAGAATGGCTGGCAGCCGAACACCTTTGTCGCCTGTGGCGTCGCGGCGACAGAACTCCCAAGCGGAGATTCCCCCCGCTGTTCCATCTGCGGCCACACCTCCTTTAACTGCTGCACCACTTGTGCCTCCACCACATATTCAGGATGATGCAGCTAGTCAGCGATCAGAGAGATCGGAGACTCCAGCCCCAGCTCCAGCTGCTGCCGTGGCAACACCGCCAGGTGAGTTCTGGCCAAGGATATCTGGCCCCCTAGAACCTACAGACTGACATCTGGCCCTTCGCTCCTAGCCCCAGAGCCGGTTCCTCGACACACACCACTGGGTGGGTTGAGACGACTCGGGACAGTGATGAACCGACGGAAGAGCGTGATTGGACCGACGGCCGGAAGCTTTGACCGAAAGGCAGAGAAAAAGCATCGTAGCCCATTCGCGCCCTTCAAGAGATCCGACTCTTCAAGGGAGATGCAAATTCCTGAATCTCCGCTATCAACTGCAGATCGGCCGGGCACGTCTTTGACCGAAGAATCATCACTGCGGAACCCGAGCGTATCACACGATCACAATGCCACTGATAGCTTTAGTCCTGCGCCAATCGCTGAACAGGAGCCATCTGCTGCGAATGGAACCTTGGCAGAGGCTTCAGCCGCAATCGTCAGCAATGGCACCGCTTCGGTACGAAGGATATTCTTTTGAGATCTCAAAATAGTCTGGCACAGTTCACTGATCATTTCTACAGAACCATGTCGATTCTGAAGGCTTCACTGAACGACCTTCAACTATAGATGAGATTACACGAGCTCAGAGAGAGGCAGCCGGGTATGCCACCCCTTCTGATCAAAACAAAAAACACATCTAACATAGAGTGAAACGTAGGTTGGAGGACTCTGGCGTGAACTTGACGATTCGTGATCAGCCCATCTTCGAAGATGAGAGCCAAGCTAAGAAGGCTATGGATGATATGGCCAATACCCTTCGAATGGTGAGTCCTTATAGTACACCTCTGGCCAACATCAAGACTGACTAAAGAATGTGATGCAGCGCGCCCCGCAGCCAGGCATGAGACGGAATGCAGGCACTATTCGAGGCCGTCGTGACGTCCGAAACACCGTCTTTGTCCCCAACCCTGGCACCGATACGGGTGCCACGTCCGCGACATCTGATCTATACGGCCCATCCTCGCCTATCAGGCATGCCCCTTCTCCCAGCACTGCGACGGAAGACCATGCCATGTCAGATACCACATCGGTTCGGTCCGGGCACACTATGCATAGCCTTGGGCCAGGCATACATCCTGAGCTTCATGAGCCCGGTCTGAATGCATCCATCCTTGAAACAATTAACGCATGGTTCTCAGAGGGCAAAGTTACCAAGTCATCCGTTGTGGGAGAGCTTGCCCTTGCACACAATCCTGTGCCCGGTGCTCCTGCAGGCAACCTGCGCGTTCGTCTCGACAACTTCCCAGTCCTGGAGAAGGTCGCCGCCAACCCACACTTCGTCCATGAAGTCAGTAAGGACGGTGCAGACGAGAAGCGTGGCGAGTACGAAATCCAGCTGCCCAGCATCTCGCGGCCCATGCCAACCGTCGCCTTCAAGTATCAGGTACATCTGGACCCAATCAACCCCTCAGCCTATTGCCCGGTCATTTTCAAGCCAGCTTGGAATCTGCAAGAAAACCAAGCAAGTGCGATTATATTCTACTCCCTAAACCCCTCCTTCACCTCAGCTACCGGCTCAATCACTCTTAAAAATGTGATCCTGACCGTCGGTCTGGACATTGCTGCCGAAGACGAGATCACCAAGGAGCCGCGCGACTCAGTCGCCCACGCCACCAGCGCCGTGATGTACCCCAACTCCGGCGCTACTTTCCGTCGCAAGACTTCCACCGTGGTCTGGAAGATCCCCGAGCTGGAGGTAAAGGCCCCAGGTTCTGGCGGCGAGGACGGTAAATTCCTCGTACGTTTCGCCACGGCGACTCCCGGTCCCCGTAAGGGTGCCGTCGAGGCGAGATTCGAGCTGCGCACTACCGAGACTGGCGACCGGCTGGGGATCAGTCGTGCTTCCGCGCATCTTGGCCCCAAGGAAATTGATCCCTTCGCGGACGAAGGGAAGCCTGCTACCCCCGTCCCGTGGGAAGAAGTTCCGACGGCACGCAAACTGGTCGCCGGAAAGTATGTCTCTGTTTAGATGGGCATTTGCATGACAAAGTCTATGGTCTTGTTCCGTATATTCCCTTGTCTGAAGTTTGTTTTCTCTCGTCTGTGAGACAGTACCCACTTGCATGCTACGAGAGGCTGCCGGTGGTTGATTGACATTGCTGCCCTTTTGCATTTCTCGATCCCCCCCCAACTTTCTGTCCTGCAAATAGCGCTTGTTCTTCCTGTTATTCTTTCCTTTTCCCCTTTCTTTGTTTCTTTGGGTTTGTAGACAAGGCAGTTGAAGTCTGAGTATTTACATTCCGTAAGACCTGGTGTGACTCCAGGCTGGGCTTTCTTGAGTTTGCAATCGGTTTCCACTTTTGCTGTGAAATATCAAGTAAGGATAACCCGCTGGATTATCTAGTTTGTGGGTAGTAAGCTAAGGAGACATCCATGAAGGAGTAAAATACGGGTACACCCAGACGTTTTGCTGGGTATGCCAGGGATATATATCACCCACCCCAACAGCCTGGGTACTGTGGAGGCCTCCATGTATTCAGTCCCACGTAGGCGAGAACAGGTTCACTGGAACGGTTTCTATTATTATCAATGGAACCCCACGAGAACTGCCGAATCGAGCTGGCTGGTAAGGTTGACTGAGCCACCGAGTCAGATTGATACGGACAGACCCTTGGCTCCGCATAAGTGTCCTAAATTTTTACTTCTATGGGGTTTGGAAGATTGAGCAAGACAAATACACTTCGTATAATGTAATATAGTATGCAATTCTCCCATAGAGAATACATGAAAAGACACCCGGAAGTTCATAGAAGGGTAAAACGTAGCACAGAAATCCGTCGTGCCGGGGAATCATACAAGGATCAAAAGAAGACCATAAAGATTAAATAGCAATCAATTGGCCACAATTGGAGAGGAGGAAGAAGAGACCATTATATTCTGGCAGCCCGGGTTGTCTTATCATAGAAATCGAGTGTCATGGCTGCCAGGAAGCAAGGGATGTCCTTCCTCTCTTCAACCCAGAACTTGATAAGCGGCTTGATCTCCAGTGCGAAGAGACTGTTCGGCCCACCGGAGATCTTCATGGTGCCGTTCTCGCCATCGAAGACGATGGAGTTTTCCTCGCCATTGCCCATGCTTCCAGGCCCGCGAGCATCGGACGGTGCATCGCTGTCGCCATGGCGGTATGCAGCAGATAGATGGAACATTGACGTGACGCGGACACGGCCACTAGGGAGGAAGTCAAGCTTGTAGCCCAGCAAAGAGGCGACGGCTTCCCGGAATTCCGAGGATTTGGCTGTGAAGATTTCTTTGAACCGGCGCATGCGCTTCTCCTTGTCTGCCACAACTCGCTCCATTTCCTGTATCTCGAGATCGCGGCTGTCAAGTGTACTGACAGGTACCACCTTGACACCGGAGTGCTCACCGCGGAGCTGGGCCAGAAGAGCCTGGTTCTCGGAGCGTAGCGTGTTCAATGTGACCATTTTGATCTTCTCCGCTTCTGCAGTAGGGTTTTCGCGTAGTTCTAGAATCCGCGTGTGTGACTTGGCCTTCAAGGACTTAATTTGGGATTTGGCGGCGTCTAGCTCTCGCTTGGCTAGGGTTGTGGCCTGCTGTGACTTCGATAGAGACTCTTGCAGCTTCCTGTTCTTACGAGTCAGGACTGCGAATCGCTCATTATCAGCGTCACTGTCGGCGGGTGAAAGAGGGCGCTTCGTTCCCCGAGCTTGAGCGTCCTCCTGTTGCGGAGGCACCTCTCGCTTAGAAAGTTCGTCATGCGCTTTTTGTAGGTCATTACGGTATTCATCAACCAGCTGTTCCAACTGGGCGATCTGTGCCGACTTTTGCTCGTCGTAGGTTTGTTCAGTGTTCATGGTCTCCTCCTCCGTGTCAAAAGTCTTAAGCTGCGCTCTGAGGTATTCAACCTCCTTCACAGCGAGAGCACGCTGTCGCTCCAACCTGGAGCGAACACGAGCCTCAGCCGCGGCGGGTGTTGATGCACCCACTGAGATGCTTCCTGCGGCGCGGAGCTTCTCCAACTCTTGGCGAAGTTGAGTTTTCTCTTTCTCAAGACAGCTGATTACTTCGTCTTTTTCCAAGAATTGCGCATCAACAATTCCAAGTCGGTCGATCAATGTGGCTTTCTCAATCCGCTCTTGGACAAGAGCCCTGACCACTGCCTCTGGGGAATCGAATTCCAAGGGCTGGTCATTTTCCTGTAAGAGACTGGCCCATGACTGTCGTTCGTCCTCCAGAACCTGTTTCTGAATTTGCACGGTACCAAGTTCTGCCTCAAGCCCGCTCATCAACTGCAACTGGGTTTCGAGAGATCTCTTCTGCTCCTCAACCACTTCCACGTTCTTCTGCACTTTGCGCAGATGGCGTAATTCTATCGTCTGATCCCGGTTCGCAGTTTCCAGCTCGCGGATGTGGTTGACCTGTTCAGAGAGCTCCCGCTTCAGGATAGTCAACGCTTCCGCATCGCTACCGTCGGCCTTCAACTGAATGTTTTGTGCCTCGAGATCCGCTACTTCGGCCTCACGTTCGGACAGCCTTTCCTGAGTGACTTGCTGGGCGTTGCGCGCCTCTTGTAAATCGTGCTGAAGCTCTTCGATAGTTTTCTGAAGCGAGGCGCGGACCGTTTCGAGTTCATTAATTTGGTACTTGAACTGGCGCTCTTGGTCGGATAATTGAGCTTGCGTGTCGTTGAGCTCTTCCTGAATATTTGACTTTTCATCCTGCAAGTCTCGGATCTTGCGCTCGAATTCCGTTTTGTCACTGAGAGACTGTTCCTGGGTTGCTTTCAACTCCTTCGCCAATGCCTCGGTCTTCGTACTGGCGCGGAGACTGGCGGACTCGGCGGCCTATCGCAGAGTATGTTAGCCTTGGAATTTCCGTACACCGATACATGGACTCACCTGCGCTTTCCGAAAGTCCGCATCGGCCTTTAACTGGAGGCTTCTGGTCTCTTTCTCGTACCGGATTGCCTCCATCTCCCGTTCCTGCTTGAGGTTTGCGAGTTCGTAGGTGAGGGTACTGACTTGGACGCGCAACTCATCTTTCTCGGCATCTAGAAGCAGCAATCAATTGTCAGTTTCGAGGACGTGTCATTGTGTCCTGTCGCGGGACCCGCGGAGGGAATAGGAAGTTCGAACCGTGAGTTGGCTGCTGGGGTCTAACAGAAAGAACGGACTGCTGCATAATGCTCCGCGAGCTGACTGGCGCTGAAGGTGACCCAAACCCAGCAATCAGCTGGGATGCTGGTCGCTTCGTCGGGCTGTTCTCCATGTCGGAGGAGAGGTGAGAGGCGTTGGTGGATCACGTTCCAGTGGCCGCAAGGAGCAATGAGCCCATCGAGCCCCGCCGACTTGACGACTTTCGATTCTTCAAGACCGTAACTGTCACCCTTCCAGGTAACAGAAGATACGACGCGACTTGAATTGAGCTCATTCAAGTTAAGGCAGGCGTTTGGCGGCTTTGAGTGTTTGGGCCTTAGTCAGCAGCCCAGAGCTTCTGCATTGGGACTAGTGTCAAAATTTTAAGAAATTATTTCGAGGCGGATTTCTCTTGACACACACCACCCATTCAACCCACTCAACTCATTCTCGCCCCCCGTCTCCAATTCAAATCCGACAAAATGGGCAAAGATAAGGTCGAGAAGGACAAGAAGCGCGCTGAGAAGAAGGAGAAGCGTGCCGAGAAGGACGGTATTTCCAAGTCCAAGAAGGACAAGAAGGATAAGAAGGACAAGACCGCTCTCGCCGATGCGGTAGAGAAGGAGATCACCTCCCAGGTCCTGGAGGGCTTGGACCAGGCTGCCGCTGCCGGTGTCACCGAGATTGAGGTCGATGCCATGGTTGTCGACCGCCCCGTCGGCGCTGTTGTTCCTTTCGCCAACCCTCTGGTTGAGGACAAGCAGGCCAAGAAGGTGCTCAAGAGCGTGAAGAAGGGTAAGTGGAACCACTATATCTCTCATTGTGACTCGATTCGTCTGTCATCTACATTCATTGGTCTCGGCATAAGCCAGGACAATTGTCATGCTGTCTCGATGTGACGCCAATTGCACCGGCGCAACTCCGTTGCATAACTTTTTTTTTTCCCCCAACATGAACATATAGCTAACACCCTCTTTCCGCATAGCTGCCGTCAACAAGTCCCTCAAGCGTGGTGTCAAGGAAGTCGTCAAGGCTCTCCGCAAGTCTCCTGTCCCCGCCGCCAACGCCAAGGTCGACACCCCCTCCGCCGTTGTCATTCTTGCTGCCGACATCTCCCCGATGGACGTTATCTCTCACATCCCCGTTCTGTGCGAGGACCACGGCATTCCCTACGTCTTTGTGACCTCCCGTGCTGAGCTCGGTGCCTCTGCTGCCACCAAGCGCCCCACCAGTGTTGTCATGGTCACCCCCAAGTCCGGCAAGAACAAGAAGGACGAGGGTGCTGATGGTGAGGACTTCGGCAAGGTCTTCGAGGAGTTGGCCAAGCTCGCGGAGAAGGAGGGAAAGAGCGTCCAGGTTTAAAGACGCTACTTAGCCCCTCCACTTTTTCACGCTTTGCTTTCTTCCCCACGTTCGTGATTACTGGTGGGTTCTCTTATTGTACAGGTTTTTGTTCTTGTCTGATAGGACCGTGCATGTCTTTGGGGGTCCGGCCTTTGGGTTTTGATTATTTATTTCCATATTTTGCTATACTGCAGTTCGGCGTTTTCTTGACGGTGTATGAAAAAAAAGGCAGGAAGACTTCCAATGAGAATTCACCCCATGCATCCAAGCATGTTTTGATCATGCCCCTAGGCATTCGTTTTCTTTGTTAATGTCGAACTAAGTGGGCCTTCCATGCGACTGCCGTATTATTGTGGATTCGGCATGGCAGATAGCAGATGGGGTGCGGCCTCAGCGTCGTTCACCCATCAATGTTCAATGGCACTGATTGGCCTGGTAAATTGGATGCTACCTACAACTCTATTTCATTCCACAATGGCTCAAGGACATCGGTCACACAGGTTGCCATACAGTTCGAAGGCAACTCGACGTCTGGCCGAATGTCGAGGTACTCTAAACTGGTTACACGGCGACACCCGACTTGAAGACCCATTTGCCCGTATATTCATTGTAAAGAATAGTAGATACAGCAAGAGATGCTTCATTGCAACATTATCGAAATCCTACCGCAGGTTGACCACTACCAACAACAGCACCCGAGTTAGTGTTCGAGACAATCGGCCTTGCATCAATCCCGAACTATCAGCCCAGTGGCGTTTTTCTTCCTCGACGATCCGTCGGATCGATCGTCTACGTTTCTTCAATAGTCAATCAAGGGGGGTAACCGCATACCATGACCCGACAGGTACAATGCACACACCAATCACCTTGGAAATTCGAGGCTGCCCTCCTAGATTGAACGGTCGCATTGCCCCTCCCAGGAACAGCCTTGTGGTAGGTTGTACGCGGCATCTTTTGCAGTCCTGAGTGACGGGCTTCTGGAGGCCCTTGCGGGTCGTTTTCGTTTATCCCTGTCGGCGCATCTTGCGAAATGATATAAAGGATTCTTGACCTCCCCTGGAACGTCGGCGTTTAAGATTAATTACGTGCATAGGACGGGTACATATATTGAGCATCAGAACGTCAATTGCATGAAGATTATACAATAATTGTCAAGAATTTTTCAATTACATTCAATCGATGGCCAGGTATACCCCTCATTGGGTTCTCGCGGCCCTCATTCTGGCAATCGTGAGCCCAGTCACACCTCAACCTGTCCAGAATCGACAATGGGCCAGAACTGAGAGCCGTACAGATTTGGAACCCCGAGCGGTATGAATGAATTTATGAAAACAATCGAGAGTTTCAATTGTACTAATTAACAGAAAACAGCCACCGACGCAGACTGAAAAATCTCAATACGATATACACCCGAAACGACGTGTATCGGAACATCTTTTGAAACGAGAGCCCTCCTCCGACGAAACAATCGTGTCCGTCCTCGTGCCAGTCGCGCCAAAATCAGACTACTTGCCCCACGGCCACGACCTCGCTGCGGCAGACAATCCAGATAGCGACCCTCAACGACTAAGCCTGCACTACGGGGAATATTTCAGCAATCAAGAAAATGACATCGACGGATATTTCCAACCAGAAAACGAATCATATACGTCCTCGACTGTGCAAAATCTTCCCGTTCACTATATATCCTTTCTCTCCTACCGAATCTCGTTTCCGTTCTTGAAGTTCGCACCGAAATGTCTTCCTCGATTCCCGCTGCCGGGGATCTTTACGACCGTCGTGCTTCTGCTCGCCTTAGTATGGATTGCGATATTTACGATTGCGTTGGTTGAACTCGGGAATTACATGTGGCAGAAAAGGCGAGCTGCGAGGTGTGCAACCGAGAGCGACAATATAGTGAACGGTAGTTTGTCGGAGATTTGTGAAAATGGCAAAATTCCGTTGGATATGCTTCCTGTTTCGGGCCCAGAAAGGACAAAGGCTGTGATGATAATGCGTCCTTGATTAGCGACTTCAACTCGGAGTCTGGAACGGACTCAAGAGCCCGCTGTGGAGGATTACCGCATTTTTTGAACGTCGGTAGGATTTCTACATGTGGCTTTTTCAGTTAGGGAACTTTCATTTACGAATACCGGCTAGCTTTACCACGGCTGATATAATGAAAATGTGTAGCTTTTGATAATTCATCAACATCTATTGTACAATGATATTAAACCATTCACTCATCAATGGTCGTGACTGTGGTGGCCTGGACCTAAAAAAGGACAATTGCTCGCTCAAAAGACAATCAACTCAGAAAGTCATATTTAGGCACGCTGGTCAGACTTCAAGGTCTGGTAAAGGTTTTGGTTGTCAACACCCTTCTGCTGACGGGGCCCGGGAGCACTCGCACCACTCTCGGCCACTCGACTCGAGAACTTGATCTCCGCAGCACGACCAGGGTCCATCTCAGATCCAATCTCCGAGGTGAAGCTTGCGTTCTCGTTGTCGGCAGAATCGAAGTCACCCTGGTGCAGTTTCTCGCCCTTGTGCTTCTGACCCTGGTAGGCGCCAGTCACGTTGTTGATATAGGAGGGTGCCTGGCCGGCATTGCACTTGCTGCTACCGCTGGCAGCGGCCTGACCTGGCAGGTGCTGCGAGGCCGCGTATTCACCGCTGTGCATGCCCATCTGCTGCTTGGCAGCGGTTGGACCGCCAGCGTAGCCGTTGATATGAGCGCCGGGGAATTTACCCTGGCCACCCAGGGCTTCGGGGTACTTTTCCTGGCGCTGGTTGTCGTCACGAGCACTACCAACGGGGGCAGAGGGGAGAGTCTTTGCGGCTGAGGTATCGGTGTTGTTTACAGTTGACTGGTTGCCGGAGACGCCCATAGGCTCGGCGCCACGGTTTCCAGAGAAGGCACCGCCGCTGCGAACGGACTCGGCGGCGAGGGAGTCATTGGTGACTGGGCCAGAGGGCTCGTTGATGGGCTGCTGCTGGGCAAGAGGGTCGGTGGTGACCTTGGTGCTGCGGGGACCAGGAGCGATTGGAGTGCCTTGAAGACCCATGGCGATAGAGATTGACTTTTGTAGAGAGGAGGATTGAAGATTGAAGATTTAGAGAAATGAGAAATATTTGAGTAGGCTTGAACGAGTCGTTGACGAAGATTGGATTGACATATGCGATGGCAAAGTTATATAACTAGCAATCAGAGTGATTTGATAACCACCAAGCAAGTACCACCCTCTCTACAGCAATTACAGTATCCACGCAAGGTGATGTCACACTTACGATAACAACCAGCCTTCGTAGACGTTCTATGACCTTCATCTCAAAGGTACAGTCACGTCAAGCAGCAGCGAGCCAGACAGTCTCGGTGGCGGACTGGAGATTCGAGACAAAGGAATAGTGGAACCGCTGGCTTTTTAGTTGCCCTTTTGCCTTTGATAGATGGCTTCTGGAACCGGGCATCTTGTCATTGATGGGATTACCCAGCCCCCACATTGCCTGTCACCTCATGAACCCCAAGACTGTCCGCTCTCCAAATTTTCTGTAAGGAAACCGGGCAGGATGGCGAGAAAACGGGTCTGTTGACGTCAAGCCGAGTCTTGGCAGAGATAAACTATGCAAAAACCGATGCTCCCGAATTGGGAAACCCGAGCACTGCATTGTTCATTTCAGCGCCAAGTTATTTGAGATATAATTTGTTCTTGTAAATTTTGGACAGTTCAAAGGCTTCAATTACTCTATTCTCAGCCTCAACAGTGACAAGTATACTCTACTTTTTCGTCAAGATTCGGCGATATACATTGTAGCTCATTATTGCTAACCCATGATTCTACTTCATGATTTACGGCTAGCTATGCGGCAAGACATAGGAAGTAAATAGTTTTCCCATTATTTTACAAGATACACTATTGGTTTTACGTGTTATGGTTCCGCAGTTATATCATTCAATTTAGAATGGATTCATTCGCTCGTGACTCCGTGAAAATGGCTATGATACAAATTTTGGATCCCGTAGTCCACACATAAGAATTTCTTTAACGAGAAGTAGCATCAGAGGGCAAGCTATCCAAACCCTCAACACGCTGACGGCCAACATTGCCCTGGGGTGCGGTGGGCTTGTGCAGCTCCGCACCGTCGACACGGGCACTGCTACCAGCAGTGGCGGGGCCGCGAAGGGCAGTGTCGTTGTCACCAGAGATAGGGCCTTCGATACCACCAGAGCCCACGTTGACGGTTCGCTGGTCGGAGGAGTTCCAATCACTGGCGACGGGGGGCTGATCTGGGAGGGGCAGGTTGGCCTTGGCCTCGTCGATCTGCTTGGGCTTGTCGGTGTTCTGGTCGATAATGGACTATGTGGAGGTTTGAATTAGCAATGTGTTCTGCAGAGATGGTGGGATGTGGGAATGACTTACCTTCATCTGAGAAACATCGGAGTCGGCAGGGGTTTTACCACCGTGCTGACCAGCGACGCGAGACTCGGCCTTGCGCAAGTCCTGGCGAGTGGTGTGGAAGGTCGCGTCGGTCATTGTGAAGGTTGTGTAGATGTATTGAAGTGGCGGATTTGGGGAAAATTGTACAAGTTAAATTAAAAAGATGCACTTCGGCGATTATTGGGAGAAGTTGGATGGCAATTTAAAGATTGGGACAGTCTCTTATAGATGGCTTTTGTTTGGCACGCGACATCATGGGAGTGACGTTTGCCGCTGGCATGACGACATCGCTGGCCACCAAAGACTTGGAATCTTAGGTGTCCAACATTGCTCTATTGAACCCTGTAGGACAAGCTTATCTCATCGCCGAGAATTGAAACTGTCAAGGGTCTTTGCTTAGGTGATCAATAATGGGGGGATGGAAACTGGATCCTCCGTGTTCGGATATCGTCATATAGTACCGAAGAGCGACCGATGATTGGATGGTAAGTTATCCGCGATGTGAAAAGTTGCATGTCCCTGATCAGCATCTCGCAGGGTAGAACAGAGGAAATAGCCAGTAAGTAAATGTCATAGCTCCACTGCTTGATCTATTTCCTACGACATATTTCTGAACTCGGTGGCAAAGATCGAAGCTCGGGGTTACGATAGACTTCGGTGTCCTTCGGTTCAGGGACAATTGACTAGCCATTCCCAACGGAGTAAGCGTCTTACGTCTAGTGCCTAACAGTAGGGTTATGCTTCCATTTGTAGATAGTACAGAGGATTCTGGCATATTATTTGGGAGGGGATACTGCAAAAATAGTGCCTTGCACGCTGGAATGTTCCTTTTAGACTCGACTTCGTTGCGTGTCATATGCCCAAGTTCTTACTTCAAGAGCTCTAACATTCTGTTATGACATGATCAGGAAATAGAAGCATACAATATATGGAGTGGCTTAATCCAAAAGCAAAAGTAGTTTAGCCTTCAGCCCAAAATATCCCGAGGCGGCTGTAGCGCCCACATGCTTCTCTCGCCGCATACTCGATAGTGCACACCGCCTTGCCCACGAAACCGGCAGAAAATGTTTCTTATCGCAGTCCGGCAGTCAAGGACTCAGGGCACGCCTGGCGAGATCAAGGTACTTTGTGATCGGTCACCTTTGCTCTCACACTGATTGCAGTCCTGTAACATGCCTCGGGATCCATTGATTGGGCTTGTGGGCAAGGTGCGTCCTCCTTGTTTCTACATCGCGACCCCGCTAACCATGTGAGGGGCACAGCCGTCTAGTGGAAAGTCCACAACCTTGAACAGTTTGACCGATGCTACGTCTAAAGTTGGTAAGAAGATGTTCGCTTTGATATGCTAGGTCTAAATCGCTAATCATGATGGTTCAAATAGGCAATTTCCCGTATGTGCAGCCGCCTCATTCACTTACTACGAGCATCCCGCCTTATCAACCTTGACGCTAACGATGAACACGCGATAGTTTCACAACCATTGACCCTCAACGAGCCATCGGATACCTCCAGATTGACTGTCCATGTCAGCGACACAATGTTTCAGATCGATGCCAGCCGAACTATGGTGGTTGCATCGACGGGCGACGCTCCGTTCCCATTGAACTCCTGGACGTGGCAGGACTTGTACCAGGAGCGCATCAAGGCCGAGGCTTAGGAAATAAGTTCCTGGATGACCTTCGACATGCAGATGCTCTCATTCATGTGGTGGATGTCAGTGGAACTACAGATGCCGAAGGAAAAGCTACCCGAGGATACGATCCTTCCGTGGATATTGAATGGCTGCATTCAGAAATTGTGCGATGGGTGTTGGGTAATCTGATGGAGAAATGGTAAGATCGTTAATATCAAAGAGCACGAAGGACGAGGTTCTGACAAGCCATCCCAGGGGATCTATCAAGCGGAGGCATGTCGCAACGAAAGCGAACCCAGTCGATACATTACAGGGCCAGTTCTCTGGATACGGGAGTACCTCAACGATCGTTGCACGGTGCCTAGATCGTCTTGGCCTGAAAGAACCTCTCGAGGCGTGGTCAGATGAAACGGTCGAGACTGTGGTAAAGGCCTTCATTGATGAAAAGTTCCCCACCGTATACGCCCTGAACAAGATTGATCACCCCGATGCCGACAAGGTATGTGAGCTCCTCGGAAAAATGATCTGACTCTACTAATCACCAAGCGTATAGAATATTAGCAAAATTGCGAAGATGCAAGATCCCCAGTCCATCGTCCTCTGCTCCGCTATCTCAGAGGTCTTCCTTCGGCGATTAGCCAAACAAGGATACATCAAGTACGTTGAAGGGAGCGAGTTTGTGGATGCTCGCGAAGATTTAATCGAAATGGGTGACCCGGATGGTGGAGGCCTTAAGGAGATGGATGAAAAGCTGAAGAGGTAAGATTGACGGGGACCTGTAAACCCTACGTTCACTTACTAACCGATGGGGGTCTGATAGCCGTGTCGAAAATTTGAAAGACATGGTCCTGTATCGATTTGGATCCACTGGTGTGGTTCAGTGTCTTTCTCGAGCTGCAGAGCTTCTGGGTCTGGTACCCGTCTTCCCAGTAAGAAACGTGCAAACCTTCAACTCGGGGTCTGGAAGCGCGGTGTTCCGCGACTGTGTTCTGGTCAAAAAGTAAGCAGAGCAATTTCTGACCTTAATTGTATTCTTGCTGACTCCTCGCAGGAACAGTACAGTGGGTGATGTGGCCCGAAAGGTCATGGGTGATGTGCCAATTAACTACATTGAGGGAGTCGGAGGTACCCGAGTGTCCGAAGAAGATATTGTTGCCGTTGGGAAACACGATGTAAGTCAGATTTATTGGACATCCCTCGAGCGGACGTGCTGATGGTTTATTCAATCTAGATCCTATCATTCAAGGTCGGTCGGTGAAGCGTAGTCGAATCCATTCATGTACAGAAGATATGTGGAATGACATTAAACAATCAATAACTACCGCCTACACCAATGAGACATGAAGTACAAACAACCTCCAAATTTTCAAAAAGATTAGAACATAACGCCGAGAGTATGTTGACCAGGTACAATTTGCGTGCAATTATCGTCCCTTCTATTGTCGCATAATTAGCAACACGTCGACAAAAGGCAGTCACAAGAGCTTTCATACCCCTCCTCGTTCATCATTCATCCCCAGTATTGGCTCCGGAGCCGCTGGATGATCCTGTTTGGCCTTCCTCTCCTCTTCACGGCCGCCCCTTTGAGTCGTGCTTTGCGACTTGGTATCATCTGCAATACCTTCGTTCACTTCTCTTTCTTCCATGCCGGACGCAGCGGCAGAAGCGGCAGGGTCCTTAGTATCGCCTTGCTTAGCGCGCGAGATACTATGCTCCTCCGGTTGTGAACCTTTCCATGGCTTTGTAACGGATTGACATCGAGCGCCTCGAGGAATGTAGATAGCTCCTGGTGATGCGATTGATCGTAGCGGCAGGATGGATGTTCGGGATGATTGTGCGACAAGGGCACTTGGTACCCTCAATGAAACGAGGTGACCTCCAGGCATGATGATATGCAATCGGTACGAATAGAATCGATAATTTGATGAAAACAAAGCAAATTGCACGTCCCGAACAATTACCCTTATAACTATGATTAATACAACGTTGAAATTCAAGTATCTCCATGCTATGACGTCTGGATGCCGCAATGCCAACATACCAACCCGACAGCAATTGCATCAATACCACGGCTCCACCTAAAGTATAAAACGATTTAGCACCACAATTACTTGTCGCATTACAAATTTGACAGATAGAAAGCCAATCATGCAATGATTAGACCAGAAATTAGAGAACAGAATGAAATTCGGCGCCTGGGGCATCAGGCAGGAACACATGGCTTATCTCATCACATAGTAACCCTTCTGATTGGCTGTTCAGCTCCCCGCCGGAGGCAAGAAAGGGAGCTTCGGCATCCAATCTAAATGTCATTCATGCTCTAGGTCTGGGGTCGACCATTTGAGTGGCCTTTCAGCAAGTAAATAGCCCGTGTTCAGGCTTTCTAAACTGGTCAGTCTATTCCCAGACTAAGGCTACCAGGCAACGTCAGTTCCGAAATCATTTACTGCCCAGTCTGTTTTGTTTCGACTCTGAACACGGCGCACCATGGAGCGGGAATATTATCCGACAAACTCCCTCCCCGCGTGGCTGCATATCAATGGAGTGACTGCGAATGGAGTTGCGTTTCAAAAGGTTGACTCGGACGAAACCGATACAGACAAGGGCAATGCCATCGTCGCCACAGAAACCAAGACTAGCAAGGAAAGTGATACAGAGCCGGAGGTCCTCCTCCGAGTTCCATCCGATCTAGTCCTATCACTAGAAGCTGTGCATGGCTATGCCAAGTCTGATGAGAAATTGCGCCAGGTGTTGGAAGCAGTTGGTGGATTTGGCACGGTATGTGGCCAACAATACTAAGAATGACCTGATAATGTGTGAGCAAATAATTAACATAAACAAGACAGTGAGGGGCGCTATCATGATATACCTCCTTTTTCAGATATCGCATTCAAGTCCAGACGTGCCTTTACACGTTGGGGTATCGAGCCCCTGGACAGACTACGTCAAGTTTCTCCCTCCATCATTCTCCCTGCCCACTTTCTACTCTTCCGAGGAATTGGAGCTTTTGAGAGGAACCTCGCTTGAGATCGCAGTCGGAGAGAAAGCCGCATCTCTCGAGCGGGAATTTGAACACTTCCGTCACTCTACAGAAGACATTCACTGGTGTCAACTATGTTGGTGGAATAAAGAACGCAAAATGCTGTCTATGGACGACTGGCGATACCTCGACGCCGCTTATCGGTCTCGCATGGTTGATTTGCCTGGCAGTGGACATTCGATGGTCCCTTGCATTGACATGGCGAATCATGTGGCAGGTCCGGACGCGAAAGCGCTGTACGATGTTGATACGGATGGAAATGCCATTCTCCAGTTGCGCTGGGGCCAGAGTATACAGCCTGGTGATGAGGTGACTATTTCGTGAGTTTTTATACTTCCTAGCTGATCGCTGGCCGTAATGCTGATACTCAATAACTTAGTTATGGCGATGAAAAATCTGCTTCCGAAATCCTATTCTCATATGGGTTTCTGGCTAACGATCAGTCCGAAGCGAAGCAAGTCGTCTTGGATTGGTCTCTTCCGAATGATGACCCCCTAGGGGTTGCCAAGAATATGTTCTGTCGAAGCACCCCTGGACTCAGGCTCTCTACAGAAGACGGCTTAGATCAAGGTACGTCGGTGGCAACATCAAATATCAGCTGGGACAGTCCACTCGTATGGTGGGCAAGTGTGAACGAAGAAGACGGGTTATACATTGGCGTCGCTCAAAGAACAGACGGAACGAAAGAACTCGAGGCAACCTGGAGAGGCGAAAAGGTTCAGTCCCCCGATCAGCTTCAAGGACTCCTGGCAGCCGATCCGTCATGGGAAATCTTCAAGTTGAGAGCTGTAGTGCTGGTCCTTGAGCGAGTGGAAACCCAACTCTCGCAACTTCATCAGACAGAGCAAATTCTGGAAGACCTTCGTGCGAACCAGGATCTATTCAAGACACTTTTCAGGCCCGAAGTATTGAGCTTGGTCTCTCGTTTACGGAAACTTGAAGGGGCTCTGTTGCAGAGAGCTATTGAAAATCTCATCGAGCAGGTCTGACATTCTTTATACAACGTTGATGGGATCGCCGCTAACCCTTTCGGCTTAGAGAACCAAGTTGTTGGAATCGGACATTGTATTGGCTTACCTCACCAAGCAATCCCAAGCAGAGGAGGTCGAAGACTTTTCATGAACATTTGAGATCGCTGGATAGCTTTTTAAATTTGCAAACAATATGCACTCTTCAAAGATTTCTTCCGATCGCCCTCGATGTGATGACCTTATATCCTACTGATCCTCCTCGTCTTTCGATTGCTAGAACGACGCTAATAATCGGGTTCTCCTCCCTGATACCTAGAGATACTGCGTATTAAAACTGGCCGAGAATAATCTATTTTGCTCTATTTTCTCCGAATGGCTTCGTACTTTCCGAGCCATCCTTGCTATATGTGCCCATCAGTAAGATGCGCGTTACCTTCGTCATTTCAGAGTTCCAGGTCCAAACAAAATAATGGGCGCCAGACTGTACAGCATCATCAGATCAGGATACTTTTCGAAGCGCCACAAAAGACAAGAAGATCTAAAGGCCAGGCCAAGCGTGAAGTCCCCAGGCCGTGAAGTCTATTTGCAAGTTATAGGCATGTTTTTCGGCACTTTCTATCAACGGATTCGGAAAGAGATGATCTCTAAGCCAGCCGCAAGTTTGACCCTCCCCTGGGGTCCCGCAGATTGGTTCCTAGCGCCCCGGCTGCATCGGGTGGAGGTGGAGTCTGGTCGCGATCAATCCATGGTTCATGGCAGACCCGGCGTTCCCTCGGGAAATTCTCGCAGTCGAAATTACTCGGAAAGTTTCTCAAAGCCCCCAGAAAAAGAATTTCTTAGGATTTTTGGATGATGATTGTGGCACCAGGCGGTCAAATCGATCTCTGGTGATTGGTCGGCCGAGCGGCTCCGCATGGTTGATCCCCCATACGTGAACGGGGCGGCCGCGCCTCAGACTCAAGGCACCGTGTCATTGCTTTCGATCGTATCCTGTGCAGTGATTACAGTAGTTTGCGCAGAGGTCGTGATCTTGATTGACCCGAGTAGATTTCGCATAGATCGGGATCATGTAACCCGAGCGGGATATATCGAAGTAAAACCAGGACTTTGCGCCGAACATCGGAGTCAGCACTAGAGCCCCTCGTCAAATGATAGGACGACACACTTGCGGGGGAGCGGAAGTTTGAGAAACGCGGAATTTCGTCAGGATGGCCACCGTATATTCCCCTTTTGAGACTCTTCCAAGAGACTATTGCCTTGCTTGACCCTGATCCGCGGTGCTACCATGGCTGATCGTTGAATAGAGCATTGGGCGGTAGTGATGTTCGGAGCCCCGTAGATACTATTGGTGGTAGCCCCAGTGTAGCTGTCTTGCAAAGGCAGAGAGTCGGGCAGATTTCGGATGCCGTGGCTTTTGCACTTTCCGAAAATTTGAGAAACCCTTGGGAAGGCGACCCAAGTTAACAAGTATCCCCGCATTCCATGATCCCATTATGACTTTGCAGGTTTCAAACAGAGTTCTTGTGGGCGTTTGATTCGCCACTCAAACTTGAATAATATGTGTACTTGTCATAATTAGTCCAAGGTCAGGTCGTACAGTATACTGTACGAGCAGTACATTCCGTACAGCCAAGGACCGGGGAGGTGTGGAGTGCGGGGACCTTCGGGAGGATCCAACGATCCTCAACCGACATGGTCAAAGACTGGGGTTGATGGCAGGCAGGCCGATCAAAAGTCATCAGAAGTTAAGCCGATCAAAGTATGATCTAATATGCAGACCAGCAACAAGGGCATATTTCAAATTCCGCGATCGCTTCCCAGATCGCACCCCACGGGGGTGACGGGAGTCCCAATGGGGAAGATCAGCCGAAAAGAAAAAGGGGAGCCAAATTAACCTTTGCGGCGATACATGACGGTACATCCAGCCAGCCACACGTGATTGGTGGATGCCCGGGTCAGCAGTCTCCACCTGACTGAGTCAGCATGGACACGCCTGCCATCCTTCTTGCCTTTCCCCCTCCCTCCTGCAATTTACCTTCTCCGTTCGGTGTCTAGACACTGCCATCGTCTTCTTTTCGCTATATACGCTGGACGAAATTATAAGCGTATACCTAGATCGACTTCCTCGGACGAACATACACACCTTCTGAAACCGCGGCGGCCGATGCGCCCGCCAGTCCCGCCAAAATGCCTGGTATTCTACCGATGAAAGTGATCAAGGTCGGCGGCACCCAAAGCCGGATCGCCCAGGCCTGCGACCGATGCCGAAGCAAGAAGATCCGCTGCGATGGCGTTCGCCCATGTTGTACACAGTGTGCCAATGTTGGATTTGAGTGCAAAACGAGCGACAAGTTGAGCCGACGGGCGTTCCCCCGTGGATACACTGAATCGCTGGAGGAACGTGTGCGCACCTTGGAAGGGGAGGTGAAGGACTTGAAGGACCTTTTGGACGAAAAGGACGAAAAGATCGACGTTCTGTCACGGATACATTCTTTTTCCTCGCCATCCCAACGAGCCGCGTCAATCCGATCCCCATCGACGACCGGGTCGACCAAATCTCCCGGAATCTCGGACTCGGGAGAAGGGGTGATCCATGTCGAGAAATTCCACACCCAGAAGAAAGCGTCACAAAGTCCCTATGCCGCATTTTCGACCACCCGGGGTTTTGCTAGTAGGTTCAGCGATTTGATTTCCACGCGACCCCGAAATAGAACGAGATCTAACTTGGTTTCAGATGCCTTTGACAATCACCTTATCAACCAAGGAAAAATCGCATCGAATCTTTCTATCGATGCCCTCACGAATCTGTCTCCGCCGCTATCTCATGGATCTCCTACTCAGGCCATCAAAACTCCACCACGCCTGGTGTCGGATCAACTCATCAATATTTTCTTCCAGGAATGGGCGCCCTTGTACCCGGTAGTGCACCGACCGACCATTCTGAAGGCTTACGGAGAATACTTGAACAACTCGGACTCCGTGAAACCGAAACTCGATAGTCATGTCATGGCCCAGTTGAATTTGGTTTTTGGAATCGCTGCTCTTTCATCCAGCGTGAGTGATCGAAAATTCCCTAATGGCATGGGCAAAGTGCTAATCCAACGGACAGTCGCGAACCAACCAAGATCCTGCTTTCTTTGAGCAGAACTGGACTGCCTCGCTCGATTCGTTTACCAACGAAACCTCTATCGCAAGCTTGCAGTGCTTTATCTTAGCCCAGCTTTACTGTATGACCAAGGGCGACTACCGTAGTATGTTGCGCTACCGTGCCGTTGCGGTGGACATTTGCCACCAGTTGGAACTGCACCAGAATTTAGCGGAATCGGCCTACAACCCACTGGAAGCCGAGACCCGCAAGAAAGTCTTCTGGTGTCAATACACCGTGGACCGATTCTCCTCTGTTCTGACTGGTATGCCCGTTCTCTTACGCGAAATCGATATTGAGATCGAGTATCCCGCCGATATTGATGATGAAAATGTCACTGAATCCGGCTTTTTGCCTACACTCCCGGGTGAATCCACCCGTATTTCGAGCGCTCTTGCACTATTCGGTGCGACACGTATCCTGAACAAGGCTTTGGAGGATCTTTATCCCTCAAAGGCTGGGTACGATGTCCATGTCGCTAAACTACGCTCTGTCGCTGGGCAGCTTGACGGATGGCTTCATGGCTTGCCTCCCCACCTCCGCCTCGAATTCAGCCAGGACAAGCCCAGCACCAACGTTACGAGTAGTCGGTCTCCTCTGCTGTCGCTTGTCTACTATTTCATTCGATCTTTGATCCACCGCCCAGCGCTGTGCTTCGCTGAGGAGCATACTCGCTCTCCATCAGTCTTGGCCATCTCGGACTCCGCAAAACACATTATTCAGATTCTCGAGTTGCTGGATGAACGCCGACTCTGCCTTTCTGTCAGCATGAACCGCAGAGAGCTCGTGTTCTTCTCGGGCCTAGGTCTTTTGTGGCAATCTATGGGCTTGAAGCGCGACAGTAAGTTGGCAAAAGAGAACCAGAAGCTACTCTCTGCCGTTGTTGAGCAGCTCGAACCCGAGTCTTCGTCTGCAGCCACCGAATTTAGGACGATCGCTAGCACCTTGGTCTCGCTGGACATGAGTGAGGAGAAACCTGTGACCACTAGCAAGCAGTCCCATGAGATGGGGGCGCCGTCTCATAAGCCCCTCAGGTCTCCCAAGAAACATCTACAATCCCTGAAGGCTCGGCTCACCAACAGTGCAAACAAGGACCAATCTGCTGCGCAGGGCTCGCAATCTCGTCGGAACACCGTTTCTGGCTCCTCGCCGCCACTTTGTTCTCAATCTCTTCGGTCTCCTAGTTGGACGAGTCTTCCTCCGTCCCAACAGGATCAGACCTCCATCGCGCCATTCTCCGCGGATAGAACACACTCTTCTCTTGACCTTGGATCCGACCTGCGACAATTCTCTTCGTCCACGGGACACGACCACCCGCGGGCCCTTTCGTGCTCCACGCCTTCTGACGCTACCACTGGGGCCATCACAATGGCCGATTGGGAGTACGTGTTGAGTGATATGGATCGCGGCTACTCCAACATATTCACCGGCATCTATGGTGGCAGTGAATGTGGCGAAGACCCTGGCCCATTCGCCTCACTCACAGCCGAGTATGGCCGCAAGCCTCATGATGTGACTATGAGCATTCCCGCTTCTTTGTCAAATGACCTGCATGATTTGTCACCAGAGGCCTGGTCCGCCAGCAGTGGTGACTACCCTTTGAAAATCGAACACACCACGCAAAGCGTACCAAGCTACTCTGGCGAGAGCATGGGTAGCGATGAAGACGCCGTCACCTCTCTGGCTGATGTCTCGGTGCGCCCTGATGACATGAATTTCCTCGACCCATTCCAAGGACTCACCATGCCTGGCAAGGAGGAGATTGACGAGTTTAGCCTTGTCAACGGCTGGGACCGACGGCTGGCTGTCTAGGAGATTTGTCTCAATTTATTTTTCATTACCCGCTTGTTGATATTCGGGCAGTTAGTATTTGTTGATGATTGTGATTACCTATAATGATACCTGAGGGCGTTTTCTTTCGTTCTTTGCCGAATTTGGTGAAATTGGGGTTGGAAATTTGGAAGTCTGGGATTTTGATTTGGATATATGACATTCGGTTTTTATTTGGGATGCGAATCTTCTGTACATAGTCTTTCCGAGCCGTTGGAATCCTGATTGATATATCTATTCATGCTCTGCCTGAATTGCGTTTTCATGTAGCTTCGACTCCATCGCTGGCATTGTCAACCTCGGACAATTACCAGGTACCGTTCAAAAAAAAATGGCCTCATGCTATAGTTCAGTAGGCTAACGGCATGTCCGAAACCTCAGACCAGGTCTGGACCAATATTCGACATACGGATTGGTCATGAAATGCGAGTGTGCCTTGATATCCAATTAATTCCGAGCATGTTCTCGGCCTGCCGAAGGCCAACCGGCTTCGAGACTTGGAACATCCTCGGTATGAATCTTCCCCAGCGACTTGCATCGCAGCAAACTTAACAAGAGTGGATACCTTCACATTCCGGCCGAAACGACCAACCAAATGGCCAGATGCCAAGCTCAAACTTTGGTAGCGGCCACCACTTTCATCACAGGCGAACCTCCAGGACAAACCGAATTCGCCACTCAAACCAACGGACCAGCCGGGAAGCCTCATCACGAGGTACAACAATGTCGAAGGTTTCCACGCCACTGAGATCACTTCTGGCCATGCGATTTGGGTCCGGGGAAAACGGTGGGCGGCCACGCCCGGATCGCAGGATTTGAGTCAATCAGATTGGCAGATGTCAATCTCCACTTCCCCAGATTTCCTGCTTTTGTACCATTTTCTCCTGCTCTACCACGGTGGTGACCATCGGCCGTCAAAAGCAATTGTTCGGTACCATTTGAAAATGAACGAGTCATCATCTTCGCGTTGCGTCAGTCTCGTGCGGATAGACACGCGGGTTTTCTTGGGGACCCCAAACTACGCAACCACATGGTTTCCCCTAGGGGCCTGGAGTGACGTATGGGGAACTATAGAAGGGACGACCTCCCCGATTTTTTACCCCTAGTGACCTAGGAACCTGCACAAGGACCCTGGAATTAGTTTAATCAATCAAATTGGGATCTCCTGGACGATTGAATATAGCAATCGTCTGCACCATTCAGCATGCGCTTCAAGAACCTTTTTCAGAAACGGACGGAGGATGTATACGGCGACACCGATGTGCCTAGAGAATCGGTCTCCACGGCGGAACGTGAGAAAGCCGCGCACGATGTCGTCGATACTCCTATCCCACTGTTAACCTGGCGCTCTGCCGTGATGGGCTTGTTTGTCTCCATGGGTGGCTTCCTGTTCGGATATGACACCGGTCAGATCTCAGGTTTCTTGGAGATGGAGAATTTCTTGCAACGCTACGGTGAACCAGGACCTGATGGGACCTATAAATTCAGTAACGTGCGCTCGGGTCTTATCGTTGGTCTGGTAAGTAGAAAGCATCCTGATTTGGCGAAAGGTAGTCAAGTACTTACTGACGAGCCGTGTAGTTGTCAATCGGTACTTTGATGGGTGCATTGGTCGCAGCCCCCATTGCGGATCGCGTCGGACGCAAATGGTCAATCAGTGGATGGTGTGTGATCGTCTGCGCTGGTGTCACCGTACAGATCTCTGCGCCATCAGGCAAGTGGTATCAGGTTGCGTTGGGCCGTTGGACTGCTGGTCTCGGCGTCGGTGCTTTGTCTTTGCTTGTGCCCATGTACCAGGCCGAGTCCGGACCAAGACATATCCGAGGATCGTTGATCAGGTAAGAATACAAAACAATCGGTTATATAGCTTCATACTGACCGTCTTCCAGTACTTACCAGTTGTTTATTACGCTCGGCATCTTCGTCGCTAACTGTATCAACTTTGGAACCGAGGCCAAAACCAACACTGCATCATGGCGTATCCCCATGGGAATCACCTATCTTTGGGCCCTGATCTTGGGACTAGGAATGGCACTGTTCCCCGAAAGTCCGCGCTACGACTACCGTCACGGCAAAGTGGAAAAAGCAATGGACACCCTGTCTAAGATCTACGGCGTGCCTCGTAACCATCGTGCCCTGCACATCGAATTCGACGAGATCAAGGCAAAGTACGAAGAGGAGGTTCGCAACGGCCAAGTCACTTGGAAGCAAATGTACCGCGCCCCAACGATGAAATACCGTGTTGCCGTCGGTGTCGCCCTCCAAGCTCTGCAGCAGCTGACCGGTGCAAACTACTTCTTCTACTACGGCACAACCGTCTTCAACGGCGCCGGTATCAAGAACAGTTACGTGACGCAGATGATCCTAGGTGGTGTCAACTTCGGCAGCACATTCCTGGGTCTCTACTTGGTTGAACACTACGGTCGTCGCCGCTCTCTTATTGTTGGTGCATTGTGGATGTTCGTCTGCTTTATGGTCTTCGCTTCGGTGGGCCACTTCTCGCTTGATCAAGTGAATCCCGAGAGCACAAAACCTGCCGGCATAGCCATGGTGGTATTCGCTTGCCTCTTCATTCTTGGCTTCGCAAGTACATGGGGTCCCATGGTGTGGACAATCATTGCCGAGCTATTTCCCTCGCAGTATCGTGCGCGTGGCATGTCGCTTGCCACCGCATCCAACTGGCTCTGGAACTTCCTGCTGGCTTTCTTCACGCCATTTATTGTCAGCGCTATCGACTTCCGATTCGGGTACGTCTTTGCGGGCTGTCTGTTCCTTGCGGCGGGTCTGGTTTACTTTGCCGTTATCGAGGGTCAGGGACGTACGCTCGAGGAAATCGATACTATGTATCTCATGAAGGTCAAGCCGTGGGAGAGCTCCAAGTTCGAGTTCCCGGCCGATCCTGCGGTTATCCGGGGCTCGTTCGATAAAGGAGGGACTGCGGATCATGTGCCCAACTCGACTGGAGTGTTGGACGAGAATACCCCTACTGTACCGGATACTGGAGCTACCGGAGCAGGGCCATCGGAGACACGAGCTACAGGGGCAGGGGCTGCGGGGACACGAGCTGAGGTCTAGAGTGGAGGAGTATTGAGAGGCGTGGATTTGGTTTCTGGTGATGTTTCGATTAAGTGTATACGTAATCCTATTTTCTTGTCTTCTAATGCTTTTCTGTACATTGTTGAGGCTTTATTGAGATCTGTACATATCCTATATGGGTAAATACTACGGTGCTCAGGGACATGAGAGGTCCGCCGCCTTACTTAGCTCTACAGTAGCGTCGATGCATTTCAGCCACGGCACTTGTCAATCTTTGTGAGGCCCGGATAGAAAGTCGGAGTCAACTTCAATTCCACTCGAAAAATCAGATGTTATTAATATTTTAAGGGAGGACGACATGATACTTTGCTTTCAAGCACTGTTTGAAAACGACGGAGTGGATATGGAGCCCGGGATAGGTGTAACACAGCCGCCCCCTGAAGATATACCCTGAAAATAACATCCACTAGTCCTCTTTGGGGCTGATCTGGCGGGGCTCGATCTTAAAACTGTCACTAAAATGACCTGGCATCCTTTTTCCCTTGCAGCAGTCTTCAATTCAACCAAAGATTCCAAATATCGAGAAGAGTTCCCCTCTCTGGTGAAGCCGGCCAAATACCCACCATGGCACCTGCCTACTTGACCGGTACATGCCTCTGCAAAAGCATAGCATACCGCATCACGCTGCCCACTCCAGAGCCCTTGCCCAAGGTAGACAGCACCCATCAAATCCTCCTTCCACCTTCCGAAACACCATCTAACAAAATTCACTAGATAATCCTCTGTCACTGCATAAACTGCAAACGCTACACCGGCTCCGGCTTCTCTGTCAACATCATCGTTCCACGATCCAGCTTCAAGTACACCCAGGGTTCCCCCAAGCTGTACTTAGATGGCAGCGATAAAGGAGGTGTATTATATCGCGAATTCTGCCCTGACTGTGGTACGCCGTTTACATCGCGGTCTGATGATGATGAAGACGAGGTTGCGGTGAAGTCGGGGACTTTGAATGATGAGGATCGGGAGAGGTGTGTGGAGTTGGGGATGGAGATTTATTGTCATCGGAAGGATGGGTGGGTTGATGGGATTGGGGGCGAGGGGGTGAGGAAGGTGAATGGGAGTATGGATGGGTAGAGGGAGAATCTGGCTGGTTTTTTACTGCCGAGAGGGGAGATAGACTTTAAGATTGGAAGTAAGAAGAGTGAAGTGTGTAGTTCGGGGTAGAGCAGTGATGAAAGACAGATAAAATCTCCGCTATGTTATGGTATTCTGTAAGACTATAGTCCTGTGCTAATACAACATCAGCTAATCAGTATCGACATCTCCCAGTCGGACTGAGAACCATGCAGCCAATATCAGATCCTATCACCGTGATCAATATCCCTATAGTTAATCCTCGTTCTTCAGTCATCACCAGTCTCCTAGTTCGATTCGCCAATCAAGAGAAAACACCAATAGTATGGGTAAATTCAGACATCGGAAGGTCGTGGACGGCTTCTTTAGCAAGGTGGTCCGCCTCGAAACTGCATATTAACGAATCTCGACCCTTTGAGGGCCACCGCCGACGTTTCGGCTTTGTGAGTACTGAAGCATCGTGTAGAATCGACGGGGACCGATAAAATCTGTACAGTATGTTGCGAAACCGACGCAACCGCCTCCACTCTTCGAGTGATTCTCTAGATCTACCGTCAAGAGACACTAGTCCTTAAATGAAAATATTCGGAATATCAATGCTCCTTGTCATCTCAATGCTATCACTGACCATCGTTAAGATACGATCCGTTTTCTCGGACAGTATTGACCAGGTGCCACGCACGCCAGCGCTACCAAGGTACATACAGTGGCCCCCAGTCGAGTGGTCAGTCTTATGGCAATTATAGCCAACGTGCCGGCGGCTACCGCGACAACTAAAAAAACACCCCCTTTGATCAACGCAACACTGACCGTGGACAGCCTATGTGGAATCGGAATAACCAACAGACTCAGCAACAGTTCCAGAGTATCTCACAACGCCACGGTTACGCGCTGCCCTACGCATCGTAGCCCCCGCAGCAGCAACGTCCGGCTTATACTCCACAACCGCAGCAGCCCAATCTATCAAGTGAAGTAACGTATCTATAGCTTGTGATGTGATTCGCACGTATTTCACTAACGACTACCCTACATAAAGTATCTACAGCTCGCCTTAGATTAGAAAGACCCAAAATTTTAGGACCACGTCACACATCAGCTAGTAATCAGTTTCACCATGTTGTTCTCGTTTGTTCTTTTCAGAGGTTTAGTAAGACCCAGTTCGGCCTACATCTAGCCTAGCTCATCTATAACCATCGAATAGGAAGAGGGAAAATCATATCTAACTAGTCATATAGGCCTAGCGTTAATAAAAATAGAGCTTAGAAAGCAATCAAAGAGAACAAATTAGTGAAACTGATTTCGAGCGCTTCTGTACCTTTCACAAATGACACAGTCTCTATTACCGCGTTGCTGTGCTGTCCTGCAGCTGGTGTGGAGCTGCTAGTCTTGGCAACAGACTATTGCCGCCAGCAGGTTCGTCTCAAAAGAATAAAAATAGAAGACAGAGTCGAACAACCCGCATACTGCGGAGGGAACTGATGAGACACTAGGGCTCTCTGCAATGAATATATAGCATTTATTCTCTCCTTCTGCTATTTCCTTTTCATACTGTATCGACTGTCCTTCTTTTAAATCTCAACTATCAAGATACACTAAGCTATGTCAGGCCGAAATACCTGTGTGACAAAACTTTCTTGTGCGGATAGTCCCCTCTCAACGACCGGCAGTGTCATCGGTATCCTCACACTTGCATATGCACTCTTCATTACGATTATATTTCAAATAGAGGCATTAGCTGGAGTAGATACGGAAATCGACGTCTTGATGGACCGTTTTGAGAGGGGAGCACGACTCTTTGGAACGAGCCGAGATATTGGTCGATGAATTCAAAGACAGAATTCCCGAATCCGCAAGGAACAGCGTGAAATTCACTTCACTGGAAGCTGCGGATATTATCAGAAACGATACATCATCGCCACTATTAGCAGAAGGGGCAGACTTTGAATGGATGCCATGGTCATTGAGACGGCTTTTCCGAAGAAGTGACTTTCTCCGATTAAAGAAAAAAGTCATCAACGATCACCAGAAAATTATAGAGAAACGAATGCAGGTTGAGGGAATGTGCAGTCAGGCTTTAAATAGGTTGGTCATTCCTTTGATTCGAATAATGATTATCCTCGGTCCTAGCTGAATCCTCCATGCACTTAGTCTTATCGTTCACGAGATCGAGAAGCAAAATACGAAAATTGGCGAGATACACGACATGGTACAAGCTCAGAACTTGATGCTTCAGCAGATCGTGGGCGCTTCTCGAGGCACTGTCTCTGATGCTCCTAGTGAGAGAGAAGGAAGCCTTCTGCCTGACGTCTGCAACGAAAACAATAATTGAGTATTAAATTGTATATTAAGGTGGAACTCCTTGCCAGTTCACTTAGGCAACTATCTCATCTAAGGAAACAACTTCTGATTCTTAGGATCGTTTTCGAGGTGGGATATAGTGACAAATGTATCTACCTTACAAACGGATACACGATATTCAGCGCCGTGCATGATACGCAAGCGGGATTACAGGTCGAACTTGTAAGGGTCGAGAGTCACTCGAAGAGTGGAGGCGGTTGCACCGGGTTTGCAACGTACTGTATACATGCTAAGCATGAGGAAGGGAGCGCTGATCGTGGACTCGGCGAAGGCAGCCAGTGCCGGAAAAACCAGGCCCGTCAAGGATACGTTTTACCGGATAGGGCACTTTCAAAGCCCGACGTGAGCCCCCACGTTCTAGATCCACTCGATGGCGGAGTTTAATGGGTGTCTTGAAAATTGCTAGAGTTGTTCTCCGTTTGAATTAAGGGTTAGACAATTCGCATGAAATGTCTGAACGAGAAGGAGGTCTTGACAAGTCGAACTAAGTATACACAGTCGATCCACCGTACGAAGTATCCCACTCGGGCCGAATTGCTTCAAAGGGGTCAAAGATGTTAAAGTTCATAGATGCAAGTTAATACTCAGCCTTATTTCTACAGAAAATCAACGCCATCCAATCGTCAATGCAGTTTGATTTGGCTAAATACCCATAATAATCCCGGGATGCTCGAATCGGGATGACTCAGCCGCGGCTACGGTCTTCCCATCAGGTACACCGGGATGTTCCCAACTCGTCGTCCTTTTTTGTGGAGATGCGGATGCTGGAAATTTTCATGTTCCCGTGGACATCGGCCTTGCATCGGATGGGATTACTCCTGCAGACCGCAAGAAGCTACTACCGTTGCCAACGTACGGTAGACCTGAGGCGGATTATCCGCAATTACCTGGGGGAATTTTTCCGGTGGTCAGGTAAACCCTTTATCTATAGAAAGATACTCCGTACTGCCGCGGAGATGGGAAATCGAACCAGCCCAGTTCGTCCGATCGTGGAACGTGAATCATCGTGTAGTCAATCGTGAACTAAGTCGTTCAACGTGGAATATCGGCTAATTTGGTGGCCAGGTCGGAGCAGGGTCCTCCGGCGGCTCCCGGTGTACGGAGCTCCCAGTGGTGGCCAGGTGATATTCCCACCGGGACCACCACGGATAATGAGACCTGGATGATGGATGATTATCCTAGGATGACAGTACTCCGTGATCGTTAGTCAATTGGGCGCTTCTAGAGGCAGTCCTAGAATAATCCCGAGTAATACATCGACTACTCCGTAAAGTACTGTACTGGGCGCACTACTCATGTGCTGTCTGCGACTGCCCCTCGCTGAGTCAGCTCGATGCACGACGTCCCCCATTCAACGTTCCAGAGGGATACAATCAGTTCTTTTGAAGCCGGTGGTTGGTTTATTTTCAGGTTCAATCATCATGTACAATGTAGTTCGTAGGATTATTGTGCTCTGGAGAGTCTCGGGTCATGCAGAGAATAGGAATGATTATCGAGGAATGATCAAAGTACAGTAATAAAAAATCATGCCCAAGTATGTACCACCACGTTGAACGGGACTGGACGCTGCAAAGAGGTTGAGTTGCCCCACCAGACATCATCGGTCCAGAGTTCCCCCCCACCAACAAATACAGTTCCCCTCCTCCTCTTCCCGCTCTTTCCTCTCCCTTTCTCTTTCGATCATAATCTTATTCATAGTGAGTCTCTCCTGCACCGGTCTCCTGCTTTCTTCCACTAATCCCTCCTCTAGAATCTGCCATCATGGGTTACACTGATCTGGATAAGTTGGCGATCAACACCATCCGTGTTCTCGCGGTATGTCTTCTCCGTCTCATTCCCCCGCTGTCGTCGAACGGGTGGGTTAGGAGGCCATTGGAGAGGCCGGCCTCTCCAATGGCATCGAAATCCAGCTTCACTGCAACGGACACACCACAATCTGATCATAACTGACCCGTTACCTAGGTTGATGCCACCTCCAAGGCCAACTCGGGCCACCCCGGTGCCCCGATGGGCATGGCCCCCGTGGCCCACGTTCTGTTCAACAAGTTCATGAACTTCAACCCCAAGAACCCCGACTGGGCCAACCGTGATCGTTTCGTTCTCTCGTACGTACTCAATTGCATCTTCCGGGGAACTCTCCTGCCAGAGATGCCTCTCTGCCCTTTGGCAGAGTCCCCCCGAACGCCTCCCAAAAAGAACCCCGAGCCTAACACGTCATAATTCAACAGCAACGGCCACGGCTGCATGCTCCAGTACGCTCTTCTGCACCTCTTCGGCTATGCCCTCACCATTGACGACCTGAAGAACTTCCGTGTAAGTATCACATTGGAGCAATGGCCTCCGCTCTGCGTGGCTTGGTGCCACGTACAACGCTCCAGTCCCTTATGCTAACATGTTCCCTGCGCAGCAAATCGACAGCATCACCCCCGGCCACCCCGAGGCTCACGACACCCCTGGTATCGAGGTCACCACTGGTCCCCTGGGTCAGGGTTTCTCTAACGCCGTCGGTCTGGCCATTGCTCAGGCTCACTCCGGTGGTGTTTTCAACAAGCCCGGCTTTGAGCTGTTCAACAACTACACCTACACCTTCTTTGGTGATGGCTGTGCTATGGAGGGTATTGCCTCCGAGGCTGCCTCCATGGCTGGTCACTTGAAGCTCGGCAACCTGATTGCTATTTACGACGACAACCACATCTCCATTGGTAAGAAATCACTAAGGCCCAATCCCGACGTGGGACGAGACTAACACTCATCTCTTTCGCTAGACGGTGACACCAAGTGCGCCTTCACCGAGGACGTCATGAAGCGCTTCGAGGCCTACGGCTGGCACACCGAGTGGGTCAAGGACGGTGACAACGACCTCCAGGCCATCGAGGATGCTATCCGCAAGTGCCAGCAGGTCAAGGACAAGCCCTCCGTCATCAAGTTGACCACCACCATTGGTTTCGGTTCCAAGCTCGCCGGTACCGGCGGTGTTCACGGTAACCCCCTCAAGGCCGACGATGCCAAGCACGTCAAGCAGCTGTTCGGCTTCAACCCCGAGGAGAGCTTCGCCGTTCCCCAGACCGTCTACGACCTGTACAACCAGCACGCCGCCGAGGGTGCTGCCAAGGAGCAGGAGTGGAACGCCCTCTTCCAGAAGTACCAGAAGGAGTTCCCCACCGAGGGTGCTGACCTCGCCCGCCGTCTCGCCGGCAAGCTGCCCGAGGGCTGGGAGAAGAGCCTCCCCACCTACACCTCTGCCGACCCCGCCGTTGCCTCCCGCAAGCTGTCCGAGGCCGTCCTGGAGAAGATTCACAGTGTTATCCCCGAGCTGCTGTCCGGTTCCGCCGATCTGACTGGCTCGAACAACACCCGCTGGAAGAACGCTGTCGACTTCCAGCCCCCCGACCTCGGTATTGGTGAGTGGTCTGGCCGTTACCTCCGCTACGGTGTCCGTGAGCACGCCATGGCTGCCGTCATGAACGGTCTCGCTGCCTACGGTACCGTCATCCCCGCCGGTGGTACTTTCCTCAACTTCGTCTCGTACGCTGCCGGTGCCGTCCGTCTGTCGGCCCTGTCCCGCGTCCGTGTCATTCACATCGCTACCCACGACTCCATCGGTCTGGGTGAGGACGGTCCTACTCACCAGCCTATCGAGACCCTGGCTCACTTCCGCGCTCTGCCCAACTGCATGGTCTGGCGCCCCGCTGATGGCAACGAGACCAGCGCTGCCTACTACTCTGCCCTGACCGCCAAGCACACTCCCTCCATCCTGGCTCTGACCCGCCAGAACCTGCCCCAGCTGGAGAACTCTTCCATCGAGAAGGCCATCAAGGGTGGTTACGTCGCCATCGAGAACCCCGAGGCCGCCGTCACCCTGATCTCCACCGGTTCCGAGGTCGGCATCTGTATCGACGCCGTCAAGACCCTCGAGGCCCAGGGCATCAAGGCCCGTGTTGTCTCCGTTCCTTGCTTCGAGGTCTTCGATGCCCAGGACAAGGAGTACCGCCTCCAGGTCCTGCCCGACGGTATCCCCGTTCTCTCCGTCGAGGCCTGCTCCACCATGGGCTGGGAGCGCTACGCCCACGAGCAGTTCGGTCTCAACCGCTTCGGTGCCTCCGGCCCTTACAAGGAGGTCTATGCCAAGTTCGAGTTCACTCCCGAGGGCATTGCCAAGCGCGCCGTTGCCACCATCGAGTTCTACAAGGGCTTCCCCGTTCGCTCGCCTATTAACCGTGCTTTCCAGCAGATTCTGTAAGCATTGGATGATTATGACTGGCTAGGATAAAATTTTTCTTTTGGGATTGTTTGAATTTTTTTTTAGTTGAGGGTTAATAGCCCTTAGACCTATTTTAGGAATGATATAGAGCGATTTCTTGGTCATGCTTTCGTTCAGTAGCAGTAGTGTGAGGAGTAGCTGTGGCAGGAGGAGAAGCACGAAGGAGAAGTATATCCGATCAAATCGACGGTTCACAGTGGTTAGCGGGGTCTTTTCCGGATGAATCCAGATGTTGACAGACCTTGGAAAGAGTTTCTGAAGGGAGCGAAGAGGTTGTTCAACGTACATTTCTTAAAACAGGTAACTGAGTGAAAGGCACAACGGTGGCCCTAAACTAAACAACATTAGCGCATTTCAGATTCATTAATGCGGGATTAGGCAGGCAAAACGGCGGGATCATAGCTTGCATGCCACATTCTAGGAATTCGGCGGTCAGGGGGCTTATATATCACCGAATAGCAAGAGACGCGATTCAATTGAATATATATAGATAATATTTCCAGGATTTTCATTAGAATTTTGAAAACTTTCATCGTCATCCTCTTTTGCATCCGGTTTCTAGCATTTACGTCGGAATAGTAAAGATACTCGAATCCGAAGTAGAATCTTCCAGTGAGGTGTAATTCATCCTCGAGCCAGCGCTCAAAAACAACAGAGCCTTGAAATATGAGAAAGAACGGTAAGGCAAATCCATCCGCTGCAACACGTCCGACCACTGTAAAGCTCTCGTAAGGAATTTACCTTCGCGCGAGGCACTATGGCGGCCAATTAATTTGGTGTGAGGGGGCTGTTGCCCTAGTATAAAGCTGGCTCCATCATAGATTTGGATATTGCAGTGTTTAACCTGTTTACAGCTAGATCTACACGCGACAGCGGTGGTGGTTGGCCTTGTTACGGGTATATTGTAAAGTGAGGACCTATACGCCCCGATTTGCTATCCTGTAATCAAATCCAAAAGAGGCCGTAATCTATTCATACCAATCAGAAATCAAAAGTAGCATATGCCTAGTCGAGTATACCGACCACTTTTTCGTCTGAGATCATGGCGTTTCCTAGATTGAGATTGTATAGAGTGAGCACAACAAGGGACTCTGATAGGCAAGCACACTACTTCAAATTCTCCAAATTGCTAAGAAAATGCCATAGGGTTGGTATGTCCTTCAATATCGCGAGGGACTATTTTATCAAATCAACTATTACGGCTGGCTGATCTGCTAATAGCAAAATTCGGGGTTGGGGAATTATTCCACATGTTTTCCAGCTCACACTGCATATGATCTCTGATATCATACGGGAAAGACGGTCCACCGGATACGCGAATGTCCTAGTCGTTGCAGCATACGAATCGGTCAAGAATTCGTTCACTACAATGGCCACGGAGGGAAACCGGCATTATAGGGCCACATTAGCATGATTCATGATATCTAGAATCTGTTTACAGAGCCCTCTTCCAACAAAGGGTTAGCTGAAGAGATCGGGAGGGCCTTGTAGAGTGGCCATATTATTTGGGAGACAAGAACCTGGGCTTTGAGTTCAAATGAGACATTTCCATCATTTGGCCAGTCTGGAGCTGTGATTGAGCCGTCCTGTATAATATCAACATCAGTGCATGTGCTATATCATGTCGAGAGAATGAGACTCCATTCGACCTAGACACAGGGGCTGGGTATGATCAATATGTGATAAGTCGACTGGCGTCGATCTATCTTGAGGTATTTGATTCGTGACCGAATCCACCCAATACAACCTAACATTGCTGTTTTGACACGGTCCGAGCCTGGAAAAGGCTAGGGCCAGCCGAGGATGCATCGTCAAGACCCCGCTCCTACCAATCGTGGATTGGATGAAACTAGTTTTGTGGAAGCCCCACCCCTGACCAGAGTATATAGAGGAGAATGGTCTTCCAACCGAATAAATTTGTAGGTCTTTGCGTGCTCCAAAATAATAATCGACAAAGTATGGCGCGGTCATAACATAAGAAACCTTTTTGTTCTGGCAGCTAGCGTGACTGATATTATTCCATCTTTCATTCCTCCCTGTGCCCTCCGCCCCCAGTGTAGACTTGCCATGAAGGTAAGCATGCAGCACGGATACGCACCTTCAGCCGTTCACATGTTGCCCCAAGGCACCATCACATTATCCCTTCCTCGATCCCACATGACGAATCTGTCCTGAGTGACGAAACATGACACAAATCGCTTGGGCTAATTCTTCACCCAAGGCCGGTGAGCCCCCCAAGAAGGCGGCTTGAACAATAGAGCATTCTCGGGAGTTGTGCAAATGGTTTCTGAGAGAATGTCAGCCACCGCGCTCTCTCAATCACACGGGATAATGCAGCTCTGCATGAAAGTTGCGTAGCCGATGAGCCAATCGCCTCCGACCTTGTGATATTGGTACGGGACTCGACTTACTTGACAATTCATATATTGGGTCGTTCTTCCTGAACTCCTCGAACGCGTTCCAAATGTCCTCACTCCTCCAGTCCCACGCATTGGACATGCCACAGAACATCCAACAATCGAAAACAAGACCTCGGATGAGAATTTTGCAGCCTTTCTTCGGAACGTCAACCTCGGATGGCGTCTTAGGATTGATTACGATTTTTTCTTCGGCATATTCCTGGAGTTCGCTGGCGAGATCCCTTTCTCGGTCCGTGGCTAATTCAGGTCCAGAGCGGTCATCTAAAATGGAGGCAATCACCGTGAACTCGTGTTCCAATATTTCTGTCATCACACCAGTATCAGCAAGTCGTCTTGGAAAGAGTATAAATGAAAATAGGTATGTTGGCTGTTCTTTGTCTGACCTGCGGCTTCGGTGCGTTGGGCTTGAGCCTCGAGGTTTGCGACCAGCAGCACCTCCATGTTTGAGTCGTGTCAAGTCAAGACTCTTTGTTGTCTTGTGAATTCTAAATACTGATGATTGATGGACAGATAAGTGAGGGAGTTTGATGATTCAAATCAATTTCTTTGTTCGATATTTTAGGACAAAGAGCGAGATTTCGCCTTGTTTTGACGCACTGTGACTTAAGCCCTAAACGTACTGTCGGACTTCGCATTTTTTAGGCTTTGGAGCTAAGATGAAATCTGCAGGACCGTGGCTAGGCCCATCACCGCAGAACTTTTGACCACTGCGCCGCTCTAGCACTCAAAAGACAGCTCCGCAAGCAACATGGCGCATCACGCCGTTGGAGGTCAAATCACAAGCAACCGATCCACTTTATTCAGCTTCTTCATGGCACAGATTACCGTTGTTCCATCAACTTGCACCTTCCTCTGGGAGCGACTTTGTTCCTGTTCTCCAATTCACGCCATCCAAATCTTCGGGGATTTTTCAGGGGTAAATTTGTTGAAGTTTTGTTGAACCGCCGCAATGATGTGCGACATGATTTGATTGGATCGCAGAAACCAGGGACACCTCTAGAAGCATCAGCATCCCACTGATCCTTTGTGATCTATCGAATTGTTCCGTCAGGAGTACAAAGAGTGCCTGATAAGCGAAGGAGCTGTTGGCACTAGAGAGTTTTTGGGAGTTCGACTCAGATCCAAGACTTTCTGTCTACTCATCACAATCCGTATTGAGGTTATGAGTCACTACGGTGCGCCTTGTGATAAAGAATACTGCGTACAGAATCATGATTTGTTTAACAAGGGGAAATTTATTTGGAATTGGCTAATTTGGGCTGTTGTAGGATCAATCTGGCCCCAGAAAACAAAACTATCAAAATCAAAACAGAAAATCAAAACTTTTGTGCCTTTGTATTCCATCCACACTAGGGTTTTTAAGGTCGGAAATTTGGCGCTTCGAGCAATTCCTCGATGGCTCTGTTCACTTCCTGTCTTTCGCGTACAACATCTCTGATCATTCCGCGGCTCGACATGGCGAAAGCTAGCTTGATTGGTCTTTCGTCATAGTTTTTGAACAAGTTCCACAAGTCATCAAGAATGGCTTTGTCATCGTCGTTTAAGTGGCGTCCCTTTGTCAATATACCGCGTTGGCGCGCCAGTGAGAGCCAAAAGAGACCCTCCCTCGGACTTTCCTGCGATGGTGTACTGGCAAGCTTCATTATCCATGACCATGGGGACTGAAGAAGCTTGCTCATCCACAAAATTGTGCTCATAATTATCTCCATCTTTCTTTTCGCGGGGACAGCTTCTGTCTCTAGGATGGTCTCGTCCTGGCTGTTGTGGCATAGCAGTACCCGATCGATCAGATAAAGCACAATGTTGAATTCCATAGGCCGATACAGCCCCTTGACTTCTTCGTACTCGGAGCCCGGCCCGTCGCTGAAATCGTACCTTTTGATGAGCTCATGTAAAGAGACTGGGGTGTTTTTTCCGATCGATTCAAGTAGACTCTTCAACGCTTCAGAAGACGCCCCCGTGTGATCGATGAATTTTAACTGATAGTCCGCCTCGATAAGCTCTCGGAAACATCTCCCAACTTCTTCATTGGTCTCGAACTTTCGGTTTCTTCTTTCCTCTTCAAGTAATGCAAATTTTTGCATCTTGATTGTAACATTTCTCACACCTTCCAAGCCCAAACGAAGATCACTGAGCATCGACTGTTGACGCTCATGGGATGGCCCTTCCGATTTGTATATGCAATGTGCATATCTGGCCCATATATCGTCCATGATGGATCTTACCTGTACCTCAATCATTGTACCTGCTATGACACCTGCGACTGAGAAGCCCTCGAAATGTTCCGAAAAGATCTCTGACTTCACAAAGCAACGGTAATGGGTGCCAATATAGTCAGGGAGACGTAGCTGATAGCCCCATTTATCATCTGGCGAATTTTGAGAATGCTCTCGACCACCCGAGTGAAATTTCACGTCTTGAATGTGGAAAATGCTTTCCAGGAGCGCTTTGATCTTGTGCTGATCTGTCATATAATGAAAAATAATGCGAACACCGCAGATATCGACGATATCATTTTCGATATTCTTGACAGATGAATACCGAGCATCAACTTTACGCTGATCCAGCTTTTTCCAAAGGCTTTGATGGTCCTTCACCCGGCTCTCGATGAAATGAGATATTTCATTTTCAGCCAGAGTATGGCGGCATTTTTTCTTAACTGCCACAAGAACTTTTTCGTAAAGTGGTTTTCTCTCAATGTATTGGTTATAAAAAGAGCGGACTGCTGAATCGGCTTTCGATGAGCCGTCAGTGTCGCTATCTGAGCTCATCTTTCGAGGAGTTCTTTTTGAGGAAATGAACCAAAATTGAGAGGAAATAATTGGAAATATGAATAGAATCTTAATCTTCAAGAAAGGAATTCGATTTATCTCTATCTTGCAAAAGAAATGCTTGATGGCACGGCGACAAATTTATACCTTCATTTACCACAGGACACAGAGCCCAATACTTGACAATGCCAATCTATCATCGTCACAAGCAAAAGTCGGTGTGGTTCTGAAGTTGTCAAGAGCAGCATTTGCTAGAAGATTTTTCGCTGATGGTGTGAAGGACAGCAAGGGTTAACATATCAATCGTGAAAAAAACAGGAGGCTATTCGCTTGCATGGATCTTCCTACGTTTACCCGGGTTGAGGGACTGTAGGTTGGCCGAACACAATGACATGCTTTGGCGCCCGAGATCTCCCACCTCTATCATTGAATCGGCATATGCATGCGCGGAAGGGTGGATTCATATTTAGTGCTTATTCTCGAGAATTTGATACTCATGATTTGTCCACGACGCTGCATGGAAGGGTCGTCGGTGCCCAAGCCCGGTACACCTGGCATCTACCTAAGGTTTTGGTGGGATCAAGCAGACAGTTCGAGGGTTCCGATGAAATGTGGCTGTAGGGAAGCCCGAATATGATATTTTCTTTGGTCATCAATACCTTATTTGCACTTTAATGTAGACGTAACCGCTACCAATAGGTTATGATAGACAGAGACAGAGAAAGTCCGAAGGGGCGCGCGGGACCGCGGATAACTACGGCATTTTCAAGAAGCGGGGAGAAAGGTATCCTTTCAGCTATATGCACGTTTGATCTACGGTATAACACTACTTACATCTTAAGACGGCCCGAGCCTACTGCACCCTGCCACGCGACACCGTCTCCAACATGACATGTTATCCAATAGATCATGTCGTGCACATAAACAAGGGTTCGTCTGCCCTTCTCAGACCCAGGGAGAAGGGTTAGTGGCTGCCGTTATTATCATGGTCATGAATAATGCGCCTACTTGGATCCAACCCTCACAGATAGAACAGCCTTACCGACAGGACATCAAACTTTCCAATAGAAGCGATTCGTTGAGAGTGCAGGTGGCTTTAGTGGAAAGATATACATCTATATCAGACGTAACTGCCTGACACCAGGTCAAAATTTCCTCTTTGCAGCACAGCAGCAACTCTCTATTGAAGCCCGCTATCTGAAAATTTTCTGTTTGAACGCATTGGCCACCTGTTGATGCCAATTACCAGGACCCTAGACAGCTGGTTCATCAGCTACCCACGAGCCGCTCACCGCTTGAAAGGTTCTTAAAAGAAGGCACTGTAATAACACTTGGAATATGTGGCTCCAATAAATATAGGCTGAGTGACGCAATACTGAATTGAAGAGACCGAGTAGTGATTTGCCGGAAACAGTTCAAGCATTGGGAAGAGACAAGGGATGTATATGCTCATCCAGTGCCTCGGAGATCAATGTGTCGTTTGTGCCTAACAGGACATGTACTGATAAAGATTTCTTAGAATAGATAGTGTACTAGATGTGACTTTCTGCCGTTAGAATGACGTAAAGTATTATAGTGGGTGTTCGAATGATATTGACATGCAAAGCAATGATCAAATTAGCTCCTCTAAGCAAGTCAAAAAAGCCAAAAGAACGAATAAGATCAGAGGAAACATATTACAGTACCACTCACAACCTTTAACAGATAGAATTGCTACTACTGCACCAAGTGATTGCAGATCTCCGTCAAAGTCATGCTTCATTCTCTCCATATCTCCCATCCCACCCTTACCATCAGGTCTAACTCTCTCCGGCATCTTTACTCTTTCTCCCCATTACTCAATGCCGATCCCTCTCCGCCCTTAGACTCCAAAGCCATCCCATACCCCTTCAAGATCCTCATCCCCACCAACTCTCCACTCCAATAAGCCCCCGTCAAAGTGCCTAGGGCAACAAACGGCGCCGTATGATCACCCGCCAACCAAATCCCCCTCTCCGGCATGCCTTTCCTCAAAGCCCTAATATCATCATCCAATCTTGGCTCCGTCCCCTCTCCATCCCCTCCATCTTTAGGCTCTAGACTGTTTTTAAAGTTCATATAAGATCCAAACCCAGCAAACTCATCATTCTGCCAATTCGTCGCGAGAACGGCACGCGGTCGACACTCCGGCTTGGTCGGGTCGTAGTTTGGTAAGAGAGCGTAGTATGGACGGAAAAAGTCGTCGATCACGCTGAAGTATTCGGGTGAGGAGGGTGATAATTCTTTTATGAGGGTTGTTATGTGTGTTGCGCAGGGTCCGTAGATGCCGAATAGGAGGGTTGGTTGAGCGTGAGAGTCGAATGTGGAGGGATTGGAGAGGGAGTTTACCTCCAGACTCCAGGCGGACGAGTTCGTGGTGGGCGAATAGGTTGGGTTTAGGAAGTTGGCGAATGATTGGAAGGGGGACTTTGTTGAGTTGGATGGTGATGTATTCGATGTGTCCGAGTCTGAGTCTGGGCCTGAGGATTCCCAAAATGCTGTTGGAAAAGTAATGTATACTTTCTCCAGTCGACTGTATGATGTATTCTGGATGGCACGGGTCATTGCTGGAGAGAGGGGTGGATTGAAATTGGGAATTCCACATTTCAACGCTCCGAGGGGAATTGTGACGACTACGTCGTCGAATTCCCAGTTTTGATTCTCGGATGATGTTACGCGGACCTTGCGCTTGTCTCCTTCTGGACTGCCCATGTTCTCGATGTTGACAACTTTGGTGCTAAAGAGGATTTCTGCGCGTTTGACAGCCGCGTCGGCTACTTTGTCTAGGATTTTGGCATGGCTGCTTGCCACGTAAAGATTGTCTGGTCAATCTCGTTAGCCACTGCTCACTGACCACGATGGTTTACTAACCTCCATCCAGACACTCCTCAAGCCAAAAGTACTTCAAACTCTGCCTCTCCAGCGGATCTCCTATAAAAGCTCCCCACATCTCCGCCATCTGCAAGACCAAGGTCTGATTCTCTTCAGCCAACCCTTTCTCGCGGACCTGATCAAGGAAAAAGTCTTTCAAACTTCTCTCCGGTGAGATATTTGCACAGTCTTCGTTACTATACTTGAAGGCTTCTCTGATAATCTCCCAGACTAGGTCTAGGAGTTCCGTTGCTTTTTCATTGCTAATGAATTCTCCATCTTGATCGAAGATGCACGCCGAGTCTTCGACTGCAGCAAGAGCCGTTTCTGTTTGCTTTGCCAGATTCAAGATGGGATTGTTGAGGGTGCCGTGGATCCAGTTTGGTCCCCTTGTGGAGAGGTTAGCAAAAGTCCAAGTTCAAGCTTTCCGTAATGAAACAATCCGATTTGCAACCAGTAAAATTGTGTTTGACAAGTAGAAAAGGTAGCTTCACCCACATATCAACTGTATGGCCCAGCAAATCTACTTGGTGAACCTGTATGCGCATGTTCAGTAATGCCCTTTCACCCCCACGTTTCAAAGCCCGACTTACACGCCCACCAAGCCGATCCCTAGCTTCCAGAACCGTAACCCGAACTCCATGATCGAGCAAGATCTCAGCACACCTCAATCCAGCAAACCCTGCTCCAATGACTCCCACATGAAGGGCCGGTCCGTCTTTCGCCCGCGGTAACCCGTCGAGACTAGTCCCCGCATCTCGTTCTTGCGATAACGGCCTAAAGTCGCGAGAGCAATCGGCAAGGTCCTGTTCCATCCATGAAACTTGTCCAGGCTTAGAATAGCTCTCTTTGGAATGGGCTTTCGCCTCCATTGTGTTTCACTGCGATTGTCCAGCAATGGTAACCTCGTGGATCCTGTAATCAGATCCACGGCAAATTGCTTTCGGAGAAGGCTACAGCAACAGAACTTGGGAAAGATGAAATCTCACCGCTTTCAAGACCGTCCTTCTGGTAGCAATACGCGTTTAGACTTGGATCATACGATGGCTAGTGATATTGCTGGTGTAAGGCTTCAATAATACAGTAATACGGATGTGGTCGGAATTTAAATGATGGAGAATCGGCGACTTGTCCGTTTTGCTTCTTAGGGAAAGCCAACTGTATTATTACCGGCCCGCCGGGTTGGTTCCACTGGTGATTGATAACCAAACATATAACAGCACCGAGCTGCAGACGATGTATCAAGTTGTCTTTCCTATCCTAATATGTCTTGGTTATCGTGGATCAGCTTTGATATGGTCATGACTCATAATTATATTGATCAGGTAAACTTACACCTATGTACATATGAAGACTTGTTCAAGTATTCTAACACGCCAACTGCGGTATGACCCGTGGATGCTTGGACCCTCCCCCGCGGCCCCACCCGTAACCGCCCTGGAAGGTGAGATCGGCCCATTGATCCTATCAGCAGCGCAATCACGTTACTAGTTTTATGAGCGACTGCATTTACTACTGCGTGGCTAGTTGCAGGCTTTAGATAGGAAAGTTCTCATTAGTTGTATGTATCAGTAAGATACGGTCTTTGATTCCAAGGACACTAGGACCGGATAGCCCCCAATGTTGACGTGGTTTTTTCTCCTCTGGTAGGTTATGCGCCGTCTGCAGGAAATCCACGTGGAAAAGGTCTTCAGTTTGGAGGTGTTTTCGGATCTCGCTGTCAGGGTTTCTGAGCTTCTATCGCACAAAATGACAATCTGTGCTTCCTAGCTGTCTCCAGCGGAGGATACTAGAAGGATCTGGGAGTGTGGCGGATAAAACGATTCTAGGATGATGATGCAAATTCTTAGCGTAAGCAAAAAACGCTCTGAAGACATAAACCCATGAGAAATTTGGCTGTATTGATTGAATAATGTAATTCGTGAGGCTGATCTGTCAACGCGTATAGAAGACGGTGATAGGCCGGGGGATTTGCACGAAATCACCAAATCCGAACCAGAGACCTTGACCGTGTGACTCGCTTGGAGTGGTAGGGGCTGAATTATTTCGGATCCCTGGTCTCGAATGCATGGGTTACTGAAAGCCCTCGATAAGTTGAAATATTTGGAACATAAACATAACTCCAGTTAAACATAAGAGGAAAGACCCCCGATTCCGGCAATCAAGCAAGGAATGGCCCAAGCGACAAGCGCTATGGAAACCCAACTAGTCAATTTGAGTAATTAGTCGGCTGTCAACACGTACTTTTTTCTCGGCATTTGCTCCCTAGACTGAGAAGATTAAAGCATGGGCAAACAAGTTGTGCTCATCTAATCTCGCCCCCAACCCCACCAGACTAGATTAATTCCCCTCGCCTGGTCGTCCCCTCGTTTTCACTATACTTTCTGCCTATACCAGTCCCATCTCTGCCACCCAGGGGGGCCTATGATATCTACAGGTTCTGGTATCACTCCTCTTATTGATGGCCGAAGCACTCGCTGTCATCGGACTCGTGTCCGCCATCGTCCAGTTTGTCGACTTCGGCACTAGGGTGCTCAACCAACTCCACAAATTACAAGATGAGGTCTCCAACGGACCGCAAGCTTATCAGGATATCCGCACTCGCCTACCACTAATGCTAGATCTCGTGAAAAAGGTCCGTCTGCAGATCGAAGCGGGAGAAGTAGACGAAACCTCGCAGGCCGTGATGCTACCAGTTCTGCGAAGCTGTCTCTCTCATGTTCAACAACTCGAAGAACTCTTCGTCAAGGCACTACCCCGAAGTGCCGATTCCTCGTGGAGCCGCGGCAAAAGGGCCTTTATTGGGGTGATCAAAGAATCCGAGGTGGAGAGGATTGACCAAGTGCTCAAAACGAATTTCGATCTCCTCGTACACTCCGGAATGTACAACTCCATGAGCCGTATCGAAAAGCAAGATACCGGTGGGCTGCATCAGCAGATGGTTAATGTTGTCATTTCACCACCGCCGGCGTACACGTCGGGGCCGGCAGAGTATGATTATAAACCGCGATCGGGCTCCGTCTGGTCTCAACTACCTCCAGCGCCTGTGTTTATGGTTCCGTTCCAACGAGATCCCAAGTTTCTAGAGCGTCAGTCCATTATGGAGAATATAAAATCTAAATTCGAGAAGTCGCGTCGAGTCGCACTTGCAGGACTGGGTGGTGTTGGGTATGTGACTAGCCTCATTCTATACTCCCCTTTTCCAGAGCACGCAGTGTTGCAGCTTTATTTCATTACATATCAGAATTTACTTCTGGCCGACCTGTGTTCTTTCGGTGACTGACAGTTCTTTTGGTTGCAATTCTAGCAAATCGCAAATCGCCATCGAATACTGTTATCGATTCCGAGAAGAACATCCCGACGCGCACGTTTTCTGGATCTACGCTGGCAGCCCGGTCAGATTCGAACAAGGCTACCAAGAAATCGCAAGGAGGCTCGCGCTTCCAGGATGGGACAGTCCCAAAGTCGACATCCTGGATCTGGTCTACGAGTGGCTCAGTGACGAGCGGAACGGTGAATGGCTTATGATCGTGGACAATGCAGACGACGCCACAGTCTTCTTTGGCAACAAGCTCTCCAGTAACGCGCAAGACAGAAAGAACTCGAAACCGTTGGTGCGCTATCTCCCGCAGAGTTCCACGGGATATATCTTTTTCACCACGAGAGATAAGCGGGCTGGTGAACGGCTGTCGGGGCGAGAGAAACCGATCGAAATTCTGCCCATGAATGCGACGGATTCACTAACTCTCTTACGGGGGAGAATTCCTGAAGATGAATGGTCAGACGGCGATGCTATTAAACTCGTCGAAGAACTCGCCTATTTACCACTGGCCATTACGCAGGCTGCCGCTTTCATCAGCGAGAATTGTTTGACCGTCTCCGAGTACCTCGAATTGTTAGCTACAGGGGAAGAAGATCTCAAGGATCTCTTGAGTGAAGACCTCGAAGATTTGCGCCGAGACTTGGATACGGAGAATTCGGTGATCCGAACCTGGAAGCTATCGTTTGACCAGATTTCCCGAGAGAAAGCACGCGCGGCACAGATCCTCTCTCTAATGGCGGTGTTGGATCACCACCGAGCCCCGCGGATGCTTCTTCGAAAAGAAGGAGAGACGGAGGTCGGGTTCCGGACGGCTCTAGGTGCTCTACAAGCCTTTTCCTTGATCAGTGCGGAAAAGGATAAAGATGCCGCCGTGAGAATGCACAGACTCGTAGCGCTCTCTACGAAAAAGTGGCTAGAACTCACGGGAATGCTACGGCATTGGCAGGCGGAAGCACTGAGAGTGCTTTCCGTCAAGTTTCCCGGGCGAGACAGCTATCTTTACGAGAATTGGCCGGTTCTGGAGGCTTTGACGCCGCATGCGCAATTAGTATTCTCCTACACCTTCTCCACAGCAGCGGATTTGCTTGAGTGTGCCAAGCTCTTGGATTTCGCTGCTCTATATGATCTGACGAATGGAAAATACGCGGAGGCATATGAGAAATGTCTCAAATCATTGGATATTCGGGAGAATCTGCTGCCGGCCGATCATCCCCTTACACTGGATAGTGCGCAAACACTTGGCGAGACGCTACTTCATCTGGGAGAACTCACATCCGCAAGATCGATGCTTCAGAAAGCCGTTGCCGGGCGAGAAAAAACTCTCGGCGATCTCCATCCCGATACTTTGGAGAGTGTGAGTGATTTGACGATTACCCTGCTCGAGCTGAACGAGCTTGCGGCCGCGGAAGAGACCGCACTACGAGCTCTCAAAGGCAGAGAGGAAATTCTGGGAGAAGACCATCCAGACACGTTTGTCAGTCTCAACATTCTCTCCATGCTACGACAATGCCAAGGAGACCTAGACAGCGCCAAAGAAACATGTGAAAAAGTTCTGCACTGGCGACAAACCTCGCTTGGTCCAGAGAACCCTCATACAATCATGACACTGAATAACCTAGCAGTCCTCCAATACCGACGAGGTGAGCATGATCTAGCAAAACAAACACTGAAAACCGTACTAGCCGGTGAAGAAAGGTTTCTCGGAGCGGAGGAGGGCTACGACATCCAAGTTAGTCTCAGCAATCTGGCTCGTATATATAGCGATCAGGGCGAGTTGGATGAAGCGGAAGCCGCGTATCGGAGGGCGCTGAAGATGCAAGAAAAGCTGTTCGGGCCAACCCATCCGGCGACGTTGCATACAGTGAAAAGATTGGCGGATGTGCTTATACAGAAAGGGAAACTTGATGAAATTGAAAGGATGAGGCAATGGGGCCATGGAGAGGAAAGTAAACCGGGATCTGAAGAGTTTGGAGCGCTTTCGATGGCGGGTCTTTTGTTTGATTGAGGGAGATGTTCGATTCTGGTGGAAGCTATCTCTAAGATGGAAGAGTGTACTCCAGTACATGCTGGCATGTGCTATGAATTGAAGGAGTTGGCTCTGTTCTCTGCGAGATTCGGTTTGTGTATAGGTTGCACTCGATACTGTTCATGTACTCGGGCATCACGCTTTCTAAGGGCATTGATGACAAGAGGAATCAAAAGGATGATCCAAATGGAGCAAAGGAAAACGAGGCAAGATATGCCGACAAGGTGTCAAACAAGGAGGGATTTGCGTCTGCTTCTGTCAACTTGAAATATTTGATTTGCGTGAAACGGAGCCGGCTCACCGAGTCGCAGAACAGCCGTCTATCCAGACATACGAATTGCTGAAGAAGCTACCACTAGTAATCAGCACATCGACAGAATCCAACCTTGAATACTATCTTTTCCCCCTCATCTCCCCTCATCTCTAGATATTAAGGTATGTGTCCTAAGGAAAACTAAGAGTGTCTGTTCGTTCTTCTCTGTTCTTAGATTCGGTCAGCCACTGGAACGTGAATCCCGACATCACGCGAGGGTGAGGAGTACGTCTTCTTCGCAGTATCAACCTCTGGATCATCGCAACAACCAAAACTAGGGACTGATTCGTAAGTGAGAATGAAAAGATGAAGCAGTGAAAAATGGAGGTGGATTTGCTGGCAATATGATGTGTATTCGGCAAGTTTGAATCAGGCGAAGGATAAGAAGACACTGGCCATTAGTTGCAGGAACCTCATCAGGTAGCATATGTAAACCTTGTCTGGGCCCTCTTGATAGCGTATTCTTCAGAGTCCGATGTTTCCACTTTGTCTACATCACCTGGCATGGCACGAACCGTGGCATCGCTAAGCTACGGCCTGATGGTACCTAAGACGAGGTGCCCTGTGATTCGGCAACGCCTTGACAAGTAGACAAGCCTTTGTGTCACATGATTTATAAAGCGAGATGATCCTGGATTCGTGAGCGGTTTATGTTTATATCTACTTGGTTTCTAGCAAGTTTCGACCACTACCAAGCCTCGCATCATCGCGGTACCTCGAACACAGAGAACACAACGGTCTGTCGATCACAATGGAGAAAGTGAACCAAATTGTGCGCGATGCTCTGGAAGACCATAAGTCGATCCGCATCCTTGGCGAATTACCTACCGAAAAGTTGAATTGCGAGGATTATCTGGCTTCGACTCGTGAGACTATCAGCAGCTTCGTCTCTTCCTGGGACAAGAAAGCCAACTTGCAGCTACTTGCCGTGGAAGTTTGGTCGCGACGGACCTATTTCGCCCTCGACTTTAACAATGACAAGTACGACTATGACAATGCCCATATTGAGGAAATTGTCCTACCTGTGTATCTGCTACGTCTATCTCGAAGAAGTGGTTCCTGGACAGTATTTCGACACAAACCCGAGGACTCCAGGCTGGCCAAGAGACTTGCAGCATTACACCTAGGCAATGGGCAAAAGCCGATCCCTTTCCTTGAAGATCACATCAAAGGAGTGGTACACGATAAGCCTCGGAATCTTAAAGCCCCAGATGGGCCCCTAGAATAATTTTGGCGGGGCAAATTGGCGTGAATGTGATTTGATCCTTTTGGTTTCAATTTCCGGTGTGGCGGCGAGCAATCTGATCCCCTCACCATTTGTCTAGGTGGGCTGGTCGTTCGATAATTTGCGGCCTAGCACTCTTTTCCCGTCACTAGTTGAACGAGGACTGAGGAGATGGGCCATGACATCAACGGCATTTGGTACCTGAGGCAGGCTGTTCGTGGCTGGTGAAGAATATCTGCACAGTCATCTCATTGCTAAAGACTGAAGCCCGTTGGATTCCCAAACCCAAGCGCTAGATAGTCGGGGACCGGAGCAACTACAAGAATATGCTATCAATCAACTATAACGACCATAGGAAAAGTTGGGACAGGAATCATCGTGATCCAGATTGCATTTCATTTGATAAGATACTGCATCTTTTTCTTCAGTTCATAATTTAATCACACCCTGAAAACAGGACAAACAATTTTACTCGTACCAACCAACTCATCCACTTAGTTACCCAGAACCTTGCGGGCAAAGTTGGGCAGGACGAAGCTGGCGCGGTGGATATCCTGGCTATAGTAGCGGCAGAGCTTCTCCTCCTCCTCGCGGGTCCAGGAGCGAAGGGGCTCGCGGACGTTGCGGTTGGCGTCCTTGCAGCAGACCATGAAGCCGATCTGGCCGGAGGGGTAGGTGGGAATGGTGGTGTAGGCGTACTCGACAACGGGGAAGACCTCGCTGCAGGCCTTCTTCAGGTTGGCAATGAGGGGGAGGTGGAGCCAGAGGTTCTCGCCTGTAGAAATGTTAGGACATGGTGAAAAAAGACCTGGGGGAAGGAAAGGAGAGTGAGTGACTAACCCTGGGTGGTGATGACACCGCCGTCAGTTAGGGCCTCGTTGAGAAGCTCAAAGTAGGGCTTCTGGAAGAGGGTCTCGGCGGGACCATCGGGATCAGAAGAGTCGGTGATGATAATGTCGAACTCGTTCTTGTGGTTCTTGAGGAACTCGAAGCCGTCACCGACGTACTCGCGAGACTTGGGGTGGGAGAAGCCAATGCTCATGCCGGGCAGGTACTTCTTGGAGACACGGATGACGGCCTCGTCAATGTCGCAGAGGGTAGCCTCCTCGACGCACTCGTGCTTGACAACCTCACGGAGGACACCGCCGTCGCCGCCACCGATAACCAGGACCTTCTTGGGGTTGGGGTGGGAGTTCATGGCGAGGTGGGTGATCATCTCCTGGTAAGAGAACTCATCGCGCTCGGTGCACTGGATGGCGTTGTCCAGGACCAGGACGGTGCCGTAGTCGCTGCTCTCGAAGACGAGAACATCCTGGTACTTGGACTTCTCGTGGTGCAGAACCTGGTTGACCTTGAGGGTCATGGCCTGACCGGGCCACATGCGGGACTGCTCGGAGAACCAGCCATCTGTGAATTAAAAATTTAGCGATGCCATTGACGGAGAAGAATTCAAATTGTATGATCAAGTGGTGGTGTTGGTGCTAATTGTGGCCGATTTCAAGTTTGATGGTGGGATGGAGGGGTCAAGAAAAGTGGGATGACGTTGGAAGGATGGCGGGGTCGGAAATCTTTTGCCCAGCGACTGCGCAAGTTCTCACGGAGCTGGCAAGAAGACAAGGGGAATTGAAGCTTACCCTTGATAGTGGGGTGAGTGATCTCGCTCATTTTGACGGTAGAAGTGAAGGTAAAGGTGCGACGACTGACGGGGACACAGAGGCGTGAAGAAAGAAGTCGGAGAGCGCGCATGCGAAAATAAAAAGGCGGCGGTAGTTTTGCTGTTTTGGGCGATTTTTTACCTGGAGCGGTTCAAGTGGAGACAATTGGGCTTTTGGGCCACTGAAGAGGAGACTGGAGATGCCGAGAGGCACAATTGGGGACTAAGAGGATACCCAACGATAACGAGAAGAGCGAGGGGAGAGGGCAGAGATACAGTTTGTCATAGAAACTGGAATTTCGGCAGCGTTGACTGGTCAGGTCAGAAGGACGACGATGAAGAAAGAGAAAAGGGCTGGGTCTGGCCAATTGAAGAGCCCCAATTGGTGCTGACTTTGAGGTGACCTCGAGGTATGGACACTGCATGCACGAAAAACAACGAATGATATGTAGAATCTACAGAACAGAAACGGGCAGACAAAATAAAACACAATTGATCGATTGCTTTCTAGTTTACTGTACAAAGGATACAGCTGCTCGGCTCGCATCGCTGTGCGCGTGCGTAGCCCGGTATACTTCCATCTCCTCCTTGCTCAATTATCTCGGAAACTCGGACAAACTCCATAGTTACTCCTCACCACCGCTCTCGAGCAGGCGGCCGGGCTTGGAGTTGAGGAACTCGTTGCTATAAGTGTCCAGCATCAGCACTCGTCCCACCCATTCCAATCTGCGATTCCCGGCGCAGTTCCAGACCGGGGAGATCAGGCTTACCGCTCAACAGCCCAGTTCATGGTGGCGTAGGCAACAATGAAGGGGGGAACAACGTAGAGAACCTGGTGGCGGAAACGACGGAAGCTGTTGAAGATGGCAGCGTTGAAAGCACCGGCAAAGGGGCGCTGGCGGTTAGAAGAGAGCGAGTAGGTGGCAATGCGCTGGGGGGTCGGGCAGCCTGAGAAAGCGTAATCCGTTAGTATCCAGCTGAAGTGAGTTCTCGGTAGAATCCATATGGGTATGTTCGATGGTCGTTCGGTCGGACAGGTGGTGGTCGATTCTCTTGGATATGCGCATTTCGGGAATTCAAGGAAGCTTGGTCACGTACCGAACTCGCCCCAGTTGCCAATGAAACTGAAATAGATATGTTAGTTAACCGAAAAAGTCGCAGAGATTAGCCAAACAGCAATTGAAGCGATCGGGGCATCGCTCATGGGCTATGGTCTGGCGGTGCTCATCGAGCGGGTGCAACCGGACACACATGCCAACGCGATCCCCCTCGATCACACCAAAGCTTGGAGTTGGGGACCAATGCAAGCACTTACTGGCCATTCTTAGCGTCAGCAGCACCGCCCATTGTGATAGAGTCGAATCTCAAGGAGAAAAGGTGAGGAGAAGGTGAGGTTGAACGTGGATTGCTAAAGGGCGGAAAGGGAAAAGACGAAGACGAAGTCGGGCGAAGTTGGCACCCGCGCACTAAACCCGATTAGGCAGCCCCGAAAAGCCCGCCATCATCGAAACGACGAGCTCACTCTCTAGAGCATCTCCAATCTACATTCAACCACATCCTTCCTCACACCATGGCCAACGCCTTGTATAACGTCTACCGGCTAGCTGGCCCCGTGGCAGTCGGTGCCATCTTATTCAACGCCTCCATCTACGATGTTCGCGGTGGAACTCGCGCCGTCATCTTCGACAGGATCTCGGGTGTGCAGGAGGCCGTCGTCAACGAAGGCACGCACTTTTTGATCCCCTGGTTGCAGCGAGCCATCGTCTACGATGTGCGGACGAAGCCGCGCAATATCTCCACCACCACTGGAAGTAAGGATTTGCAGATGGTCAGCCTGACGCTTCGCGTGCTGCACCGTCCGGAGGTGCCGAAGCTGCCTCAGATCTACCAGGTGAGCAAATCATCACCGCGACATTCACTTAATAAACAGCAAGACCTAATCAATTTTTTTTTGGGATAGTCCTACGGTACAGACTACGATGAACGTGTCCTCCCCTCCATCGGCAATGAAGTCCTCAAAGCAATCGTCGCCCAGTTCGACGCCGCCGAGCTAATCACCCAACGTGAAGCCGTCTCCAACCGAATCCGCAACGACCTCCTCAAGCGCGCATCGCAGTTCAACATCGCCCTCGAGGACGTCTCCATCACCCACATGACCTTCGGCAAGGAATTCACCCGTGCCGTCGAGCAGAAGCAGATCGCCCAGCAAGACGCCGAGCGGGCACGGTTCATCGTCGAGCGCGCCGAGCAAGAGCGTCAGGCTAACGTTATTCGTGCCGAGGGTGAAGCCGAGAGTGCCGAGATTATCAGCAAGGCTGTTGCCAAGGCTGGTAGTGGCTTGATTGAGATCCGTAAGATCGATGCTAGCAAGGAGATTGCTCAGACGTTGGCCAATAACCCTAACGTGACGTACTTGCCTGGTGGGGATGGCAAGGATGGTGGGAAGAGCACTAGCCTTCTGTTGGGTCTGCGGAGTTAGGTGATCTTGACGGGGGAATGTTGACGAAGTGGAAGAAATGGATTCCTAAAGGAACGGCCGGTGTCAGTTGATGCCGCCCATCTCCCTTTTTGATCAAATCAAATGTACCAATTAATCGCAAGTGAGACCGTAGGACTGTTGATGAGTCTTACGGTGGTGGACTTGATTTGTTTGTCCGCCTTTATTGATCTGTAGCAATACCAATACCTCTACTCTATTATTGTCTGGCGGAAGGATATAGAACCGTGTCTTCATGAATATGTTGCTTATGAGGATGTCGACTACTCATTCATCCTATTAAGGCGGAATTCCGGGACTAGTAATCTTCCTATTTATATCATTGAATATCGAAGCTAGTTTCCCATTTTGATATTCAGAGGGTATCATCAAATTCCGCACATACTCATAACCATCTGCCTAGTAAGGTATCACACCGCAACGCTATACTCTCCGATAGACATGAACCTGATACCTCATATCCTCCAAACCAGCACCTTCCCCAACCTCATACCTCAACCTGGCCGCCTCGCGCCTCCACCACCGGGAATCCTGCGTCAAAATCCGCTCCCACTTTCCCTTCGCCACGGAAAGCAGGGTATGATCCAACAAGAACTTCATCGGATATTGTCGCTCTTGTGCAGCCCCGTCTTTAGCTTTACCCAGTTTCAGGGTTGAATAGCTGCCCGGACTGTCGACGACGAGGAGGACTGCGCCGGGTGGAAGGAGTTCGGTCGTGTGTAACAGAAGGGCGGTGGTTTTGGGCATACTTGTAGTGAAAAGTTCGTTTAGAGTGAACATCAGGGTGACGAGGAGAGATGGTGTGGTCGAGGGGGTGGGTGTAGTTTGCTTGTTGCCCAAGATGAGGTCCTGTAGATCGGACTCGGGGAGACCGAGGACATCCGTTCGACTGAAGGATATATCGAGGCCTGGTTCACCGTGGGATCCGGACAGTAGAGGAGGTTGGAACCTCGAGGACTTTTGGGTCGGGACATCGGAGGAAGCAATCGTCTTGGACAAACGCTCTACCACGATCGACCAATCCGCAATATCAACGGCTGCGACGGAGAGCTTCGGCTTCGGTGATGCGCAGGGAGTCGTTTCGTTTTCAGCATCGCCTTGCGCTGCGACACTCTCTTCACTGCCGTCCTTCTCTTTCTCTTTCACCTTCTCGTCCAGAACAACACCCTTAACACCCTCCTCTAGCGTCGCAACGGCATCACGAGAACCGCCTAAATCCCTCCACGCCGCCGCCAATGCAACAATCTCCGCCCCAGCACCACCTCCAAGACAAACAACCCTCGTGCCATTCTTATCCATCAATTTATTAGAGGTAGGTCCCTCCCCCTCCTCGGCTCTCATCCACTCCAAAACGGCCTTGAAAATCCCCGCATACCCCAACGCCCGCGACGCACTCCACCGCAACGCATAAGCTCGCAGTAATTCCTCCCCAGCCTCTGCAAACGCCGAGTCAAAGTCCCGCTGGTATAAGTGGGACTTGATTGTTTGAACGAGGGTCTTTGTGTCCAGGATGACCGGGGTAGATTCGGCTTCGCCGTTGGGGTCGGCGGGGGTGGTAAGGAGGGCTGTTTTGAAAACGTCGAGGAGGAGTTGTTGGAGGGAGATTGGGATTGTAGCTGAAAGGTCAATTGGGCCGGAATCTAGCTCTTCTTTTTGAGGGGTTTGCTTGCTGAGGGTCGTGCGTTCGGTGGGCTTTTCTTTCTCTTGTTTGGTGGGTTGGCGGGTTCGTTGTTGGGGCTTGTCGAAGGTGTCCCTGTCTTTGCGGCGGTTGCCTTGTCGTGCGCCTGGCATCTTGATGGTTCGAGGTATGTAGCACTGAATGTACTGGAATTGATGATAAATAGGGGGTACCAGACAACAATTCAGGACTGGAGTGTGGTGGTTGAATCGTTTAACGTGGGGAAAAGTGGGAGGAACCAACTTTTTTTTTGGCTTATCAGCTTATCACAAAATCAAATTGCCACTACATACACCAAAGCGGTAGAATATTGAACAATAGATACAAACATCCCCGCCAAACACAAATAGACTCACGAAATGAAAGATGGTGTTGATGAGAAGAAAAAACGAGCCCATCCCGGCAGAGAAAGGGGGTAAGAATGATATTTCAGGCAAGCCGCCATGAACCAAGAAAATGGGGTTAAAGAAGGGAAGATGAATAAGTAGAGATGATAAAAAGGGAAGGTCCATAGGGGGAACAACGATCGTAGAGAAAGTCAATAATCAATCCGTGCATAACTCGCACGGGTACATAAACGATGGACAAGAAAAATTGGGAGCGTATCGTCCTCGGATGCCAGCTACGGCGATCCCGAGAGTAAAGAAATTCGTAAGGAACGTCTGCAATGAGACACAGAAGTTCAAAAATGACCGCCGAAACAGACAATGGAAAAAAAGAATCCACACGGAAAGAACAGCCGAAGCTAAATATGTACAGGACCGATCGGGAATGAGAAGAAGAGAGGTGGGGGAATCGTGAGAGCCCACAAAACCGAATGGGCGAGCGCGAGAAGAGAGGATGAGATGCGAGGATGGAAACGGAAAGGGATGACTCTTGCCAGGATATCGCTATGCCGAGATTGTTGCGCCATGAAAGAGAACGTATAATGCAAATCAGAACCAGAGAGCAGGTCTACTCTTGTATTGACGTGTTGGATGACGCTGTCGGCTCTGTATGCTTCTCCTTGTCCTTCACCTTCCAGAAATGCATCAAGCGACTGAGATGACGCTTCTTCTTGGACTTTTCCGGTGCGTCTCCAGGAGGTTTCTGCTCTTGATAAAGTTTGCTGCGTTCAGAATGAGGCCCACCGACCAGTTTGGACAAGCTAGCCAGGCTAGAGCGCTTGGATGCATGAGCTTGGCTGCTCCGGCGGTTGACGGCTGCTGAAAACGATGCAGCTCGATCAGTGGACAGACGGGCACGGGGGAGGAATGTGGCGGAAAAGCGATGCATAGTACCAGTGATGGTTGATGCGCTGCTCGTAAGGGACGGGACATCTTCAACCGAGGCGTAAGGATATTCCGAGGGAAGATGCTGGTAGGAGTGGGACGAGAAGTTGCGGTCATTGAACCGTGGAGCATCGGGCGACGGGAAAGATGAATCTGAGGGCGAGACACCTGCAGATAGCGAAAATGGAGGAATTCCAGGCATCAGCTCTTGAGGCGATGTAGCCGGTCGCTTGTCAATAGCTAGGAAGCGTGGGGAGATATCAGGACTAGGTGGGCCCAGGACTTTAGACACGTTCTCTTCCGCCTTAACGATTGCCACGGGGCTTCGAGGCTGGCCTGCAAACGGATTCCGCGTGCTTTGCATGGCGTCGATGGCCGCATGCTGGTCATACATGGCGGTTACCTCTTTCTGGACGGTAGGTTCCTCGTGTGCCCGAATTCCAAGACCTGTAGGCTTGGCAGAGCTAGACACCGGTGCCTTCGTCAATGTATCCGTAGTGTCTTCACTCTTGACTGACGTCTTGTCCTCGTCTGAAGACGACGACTGGATAGCAATGGCACTCTCCGCAGGGGCTGATGAAGCAAGTTCGTTCCTGGGAGACTGATTTGCAGCTAGAAATGCATCTTCATCCTCTTCATAAAACACATCAGGGGTCTCTATGGCCGAGGTGCCGGTTAAACGAATGGCACCGAGGGCACTCCGGTCAAAGGGTGGCATGACCGGAGCACTCTCTGTACGGCGATGGTACCGCATCTCCGGGCCAACGAATTCACCCCGCCGTCCACCACTATACATGCGCTGAGTGACCAGGTGAAACTTGCTTGGAGTGTTTCGAGACTGTCGGCTGTCACCAGGGGTGTTGAACGGGCCAAGGGCAGCATCCAGGTCGATAATTGGGCTGCTCAAAACTTCGTCTTGTCCTTGGATATTCTGCTCATAGAAGCTTCGTGGTTTCCAGGAAGTCTCGAGAGAAGGCGCGGGCATAGGTATTTCGTCTTGAGCACGTTCCGCAGCGGAAACCGGTGCATCAGTATTGGTGGGCGTGCGAAGAACAACGACGCCATCATTATCAAAGTCAACCTCCAGTACCGATCCAACCTCCGAATTGGTTCTCGTGAGAGTAGGCGGGGTCAATGCGGCTGGCTTTGCCTTCTTTTCGTGTTTTTCATGCTTCTCATGTTTCTCTTCGGTGTCCCCTTTGCCATGGCGCTTACCCTTGCCGCGGGTCAGAATACCACCAGCCCACGACCGGATACGCTTCTGCTTCTTCTTATGCTTCGACCTTGACTTTTTGGAAGGACAAGCATCGGCCTCGTTATCGGTATCACTCATTTCAGAGCCATCATCCGAGTATGAAGGGCGAGACGTATCCGTCGAATGGGCATCGTCGCTACCGTGAATGGCAAGGGTGGCATCAAGATTCCCCGTTGACCTGCTCTTCTTCGAACGGGAGTGACCCGTTGACTTTGAGCGCTTAACGCTCGGCACTTGGGGAACATCCTTGCTCTGGAATAGGTCAAAGGCCAAAGACGCATCGGCAGTTTTCGGCCGCGGCTTTGACCTCCGGTTAGGCGGCGGCGTCCGCGCGACAGGGACAGGAAGCTCGGGTTGTTCAATCTGTTCAAACTTCACTAAGTGGGTATTCTGCGAAGACTCATACGACACTGCTGAGGTGGGGCGTCCGATATCGCCATTGTCACTGCTGGGGGCAGGCTCGATGTGAATCGCAGTCGGCATTGGCGGGATCGGAGGCACAGGGGGGAACCGAGGCGATGCCGGTGGTGTAGGACGACCGAGACTCGTCGCTGAATAGGAAAGTGGCCGAGAAGTTTCGTCGTCGAACGTCCGGTCTCCAGGGGTAGTAGGAGCACTCGCAGCCGGATTGGGATTGGTGAGGGCCTTGTTGATCGCATTCAGGTCGACACCGGAGATTGCGGCAGAGCGGCGATGAGCATGATGTCGTCGTCCTGGTCCTCTCCCCGGTGGTGGCCCAGAGGGAGCAATGGGCTGTGTCGGCGTTGTTGGTTCCTCCCGTTTATCTGCGAGTTCCCCGGCCCCTGGAGTTATTAGTTGATCGCCCCCAACGAACTCACTGGGCCGACGTCTGTGTCCACCCGGTCGAGGAATGGGGGCTGTCGGAGGTTGCAAAGATGTACCTGCACCGGGATTGAACGAGAATGCCGGAAGAGCGGGCGGCGTTCGACGTTGGGTTGTATCGGGCTGCGGCTCGGGGGCCTCTGTATCGCGAGCAGGAAACACGAACGGCGGATTTGGCAGCGGACCCGGCATTGTCAGGCGACGGCTATGATCAGGACTCGGGGAGGGAGGCGAGGCAAAATGCTGTGAAAACCCCGACCGGTGCTGCGGGGGAAGAGAAATTGAAGCCATCAATGCTGTGCAAGAAGAATGAAGAAAGAAAATAACGAATTAAACAAGAATCGATCAAGAAAACAAATTGCTGGTCGAAAAGATCCAGATGGACAGAAAGTAGACCCCCAGACCGTTTTACTTCCTAGCTATGAAAGTTCAAGGAATCTGGAGGTCGACTTAATTGCGTCGAACCAGGATCATTGGAATCTTCCGCACCAGGCAGAGCGCAACGAGTGATGTCGGAGGAGGGAGAATAGAGTCGATCACAAGTCGAAACGGCAAAAACGGGGGTGAATAAGGAACGGACGGCCACGACGAGGGCCAGGGAGGAGGAAGAGTGGGTGGGCGAAGAGAGAAGAGTCGTGAAGGTCGGGAAGGTTGGCAAAAGGATGATGAGAGAAGGTTGAAAGGGAAAAGACGAGAACAACAATCCAGGAGGGGCCGATACGAATGGATACGGTACGGTATTTACCCGTTCCCATCCGAGCAACGGTCAAAAGGGGCAAAGAGGAGCCCCGGAGATTAACAAGTTACCAATGAACCAGGCAATCATACAGGGTCGATACCGGATTCTATACGAGACAGTCGCAAAACTACGAGACACTCCGGAGACTCCGTGCAGAGCAACCAGAGGGGGGGGGGGATCCGTTCTCTCCTGGTCCAAGTGTCCCTCGGGACTCACTGCTAGTCCCTTCAGAGCCTTAGTGCCGGATCTTCCTACGTAGACTACGACCTACGGCGTTCTGCACTACGACATCAAATGGGGTCACCTGAAAAACGATGTGCCCTAGGATCTTGGCTGAAGGAGAGAAGATCCCTGCGCCCTGGATTGGGCGGCCTGACGCCAATCTAACGATCGTTCGGGATAAAGGGCCTGGGAAGGTTTATCCCCGTCGGGTCTATTGACTTCCTGGAGAACGCCCCGTGGCCTGGTCCAGATCTGAAATTGCAGCAGGAGATAACGAAAAAAAGAACGGGAGTTCCCAGGAATGTCAGATCCGATCCATTTGCTCGCAGGCGAACGTCCGAGGACAACTATTGGAAATAACCAAGAAAAAACCGAACAGTAGAGGGCGTCATGACTTTGGGCTGTCGTTGCCACTAGGAGACGACGTGTGGACTTTCTGAGCCAGCCACGGCCCCCGCCAAAAATCACAGCAGTTCGTTCGCTGGCAATCTGATGGGGCCGTACAGGCATTGTACGGACCACTATTGTTCAACCCACTTCCCACTTTATCTCTCAGTTGACCCGGGTACAGAACATCTCAGGATCCTGGGGTCCAAAGGCAACCGCCAATGAGCAGGCGCACCCATCCGGAGAAAAAGTGGGCTGCAGGCACCAATGAGTCTAACGCTCATGGCCAATCAGTCGTCGCAATCTCGCTTCTTACCGGTGGGTCTTACAGACGCCACGCTGGGGGGGTTTGTATGCGAGTCACAGGGGGGGAAACCCTCGAGTCGAAGGCACACTTGTGACACGGGATGGAGAGACCGTTTGCAGGGGCGCTGAATCTGCAGAGAAATAATCCTGGCATGGTCTAGGGCTGATGGTTGTTAGCAGCACAACATTTGGACTCTGGCCCTTCAAATGTATACGTTGAGTGTCATTTGTCAGTTCAAGATGGGGGCGGTCGATGGGAGAGCCCCATTGCCCGGGAGATTGCCAGGTCGTACTACTGGTACCAAGGCCCGCGACGTCTCCATCGCGTGGGGCTTGGCGCCAGTAGAATTGGATATAAATAGTGAGAACGACCAGTTAGCGCCCTTTGAGAGAAGAGGGAGAGAGGGGGTTGGACATGTCAGGGCTATCGCTATCATGTAAGACTTGATGGCGATCGGGGCTGAGGCAAGTCTCTCTCCCTATCTGTCGAGACTCAAGGGGTGGGGCCAGGCCCTAATGAAACATCTCTGAAAGACCCCCTGGCGTCAGGAAAGGAGTGCAGGATGAAGTGGCCAATGACGGAGACTGGATTGCCTGTAAATTGCATGTGGGTTTGCGCCTTCTGCACTTGCGCGAAAGGTGCGCAAAGGGGGAAGGTTGGGCGGGGGCCGATCAGCCAGAAGCCAATGGGGCGACCACGGGAGATCCGGCGCGGACTTTCGATAGCCGTCACTGCGGAGTCCTATACTATCTATAGTTGCACACGTACTTCATTCAGCTCAACTGCCGTATGCACAAATCTGAGATGAATGTGTAACGTAACGGTCGAGTGATCCGATCACCCGGCAGTGATGAGGTATGGTGAAATCCTAGGGTTCGAGAGTCAGAGAGTCATTTCTTCATCCTCAAACGAAGTACTTCGTAGGCAACACGACAAAAAGAAAACAAAGAGACAGCAACAAAGAACCCGACAGCAAACAAACAGACGAACAAAGTCCCACAGCCAGCCACATTCGACTAATCGAATATGAAAATGACTAGTGGCTCAGCTCCGCTCTGCCACTTTGTAAGTTTGAGAGATCCATCGAGAATGTCTACTCGCACGTCCAACGACGAGTCCAATTGGAAGTACCTTGGTGCCTCGTTGCTACTAGATAGCTGCAGGTACAAACACCTGCTAAGGTGATGATCTATAGGCGATCTATGATCTCAGGTTTAGCATGTCGTTTCCAGATATACGGGAAGCTTCTATCAACGGCAAAATAACCGATGGCCTCGGCCACGAGATATGGATAAGCTGCGTCATATAGCACCTGCCGAGACCTAAGGTTATGTAGAATGCATAATCCTATAATGACGCTTCTCGCCAGAATTGCTCTCGACTATTCACGCCAGCATCTCGTGAACTTTATTTATCAATCGTCTCCAAGATCTCTGCGTTTTTAGGTGAAGGAATTAGCTTTTAATGACCTTGGAAAAGACCTTCGGAAAGGGTGATGGTAGGAAGGGCGTACTAATGAAGGGAAGTAGAATGATAACTCAGTCTGTTATAAGGCTAAAGATAGAGGTCGCCTATACGGTCGCTAATTATATCAGAGAGAAGCGTTGATGAGAATCATACATACGTAAGGACTAAGCAAGTATCTTGTAAATCTCGAATCTAGCATTTTGGATTTTGGGGGGGGAGGGGGGGGGGTTCCTCATTAGGACTAGCCTTGTCGTGTCATGAACTTTTCCCACCATACAACCACCATACAAAGTGCTACGGCAGCAGGAGTTCACCTCCAGCCTTTACACCAGTGAAACTGTCGCCACCTCAATGGTTACCACCGGTTTCCTATCTTCCAGTGATACCGGCAATTGCCTCCTTCGAGCTCCTGTATTTTGTCTCTATTTCCTTGAATGGTGATCTATTGTAGCTTCTCAGTTCTGCTTTGTCCACGTGCTTGTCAAATACCTAACCATAATCTTCGGACTATCTACACTCGAGAAGGCCATGTTTCAAGCCCTACTCAGTTTGCATGAGGTCTAGCTCTCAAGAGTACTGAGATGCAGAGCAAAATGTGAGGTGTGACATAGCTTGGGACTAGTATACTCTATAGTTACTCCGTAACTCAGATGTCATCATCCGCTCTAAATCACTTCTACCTTCTCCGTATATCTTGTGTCAAATTGTGTCCAACCACTCAAAGTACACCATCGGTCCCTGATTGCTCCGACCCAATCGCCCATCTCCGGGATGCCGAACTACCATCCATGGAACACGCCCGCAGACCCACGGCCATTTTTGTGGAGAGCCAAAGAAGTCGGTGTTTCCGACCGACCAATCTTCGGCTCCGATCACATTCTCCGGGTGGGAATGTCTTGAATCCAAGACATGATGCTGAGCAGACTTTTAGTGGAGGGTGCGTCGCACTGTATTCCTATTTCAGGTATGAGTGTAGGGTAAAACTTTGCGGGAGTTGACAGATACTCATATTTGACGCTTTTGTATGATTATTCAGACGAGCACCTGATGTTTTATGAGTTTGAACACCCGATGGAAGGTCGATGTCCTCTGCTTGGTCATGAGTGGAAGGATATGCCGGAAGCTATACGGAAAACCCATACCTAGGCCATTTGCAAAGAAGGTCGAGTACTTGTGTAGAAAGGAATCTTCAAAGTTAAACAAAGTACGTATGTATAGCGCGGTCACTTCTTGTGATATTCTATACCTCGACATATACATCCTCTGTACCTTCTATTCAAAGAGACGAATGGCATGTCTCTACCATTTAGTCTGAATGCAATATCCACAATCCACGGCAGTATCGAGTACGTAAGCCGCTCGTCGAAAAAGGAAACGAAACGAAAAAAGATATGAACGATTGAAAAGGATCCAAGCCCAGATGGGTAGCTATACAAGCTCCAACTTGAGATACAAACACTCCTTAAACTCCTAACAAGATGTAGACGATAACAGGATATACCACTCAATCTCCGACGCGAAAGATCTATTCATCGCTTTCGGACTCGACCTGGTCATTTTCCAGATGCTTTCTGCGCTCCTCGCTCATTTCACGGTACGTGCTCCAGCTCAATAGGAAGAATGCCGCCATGATGAGGATTCCGCCGATGATGGCCGCGAAAGAGAGGGGTTGACCCGTGCGGAACCAGTCGACGATCGCGACGAGGAAAATTGTCAAAAGGGCGGCGACGGATGATAGGACGGGAGATGTGAGAGATATTAGGACCAGGAAGGACCCGGAGAAAGCTAGTAGGATGGTTAGTATATGTGAAACGATCGAGGATGCTGATACTTACTGGCATTGGCACAAACGGAAATTAGCAGCATCCAAGCCGCCTCGCCCGTTGGGATACGGAAGGTCTCCCAGCCTAGCATGTGCAGAATAGGAATGGGAATCCACAGTACTGTAAGTGTGAAACACCCAATCATGCTACCAAATGAATTGGCAAAGATGGTGCCTCGACCGGGACTAGTTCCCTCCGGCGGACAGGCAAAGCGTTTGTAGAGCACCTCGTACAGACCGTAGAGTATACTGCCGACACCGATGACGATATTTCCCAGGAGCCTGCTCTGGGCTTCTTGGTCCTCGGCACCAGTAGTGCCTCCCTTGGAGACCTTCTTCTCGGGTCGGTCACCGTAAGCGACGACGAGGACACCGATAATTGCCACACAAACGGAGAAGACCTTGTCGAACCGCAGCTTCTCGTTGAGGAGGGGGATCGAAAAGGCGTAGGCGAAGAAGGCAGAGCAGTTGTAGATAGCTGTCAGGTCGCTGGCCGTCGTCAAATTAACGGCAACGTACCATGAACCGCCGGCTATCGTCAACGCGGTAGTCACAAATGCAGTCGTCTTCAACATGTACGGGATTGGCGAGCGGCGAGAGTCGCGAGTGGACAGGTGTACATCTTGGGTTTCAACCATTTGAGCGGTGGTTTTGATGAGGAAGACATGGCGGCGCCAGAATGCTTCCCATGATAGCTTTCGCTTTTGGATTCGCAGTATGAGAAGCTGGACGGGCCAGAGCAGTGCCCAGGAACCGTGGGTGATATAGCTGCATGTGGGAAGAACCGAACGGTGAGCGATTTACAAGGCCAGTGGGCAGATTGGCTGACGGGCAAGGGGGAGTATCCATGGGCATCGAGTATGGGCTTGTATCGGTGTGGGCAGGTGACTCGGCTTGATAAAACTTACAGCATGCAATATGGTTTGTCCCAATGCAGTTCATGCTGGATGTATACAGCAGTTTCAGTCTGAACGACAAAACTAGCCAGACTCAACAGCAGGAATCCTCCCGCAATCATATACTTCTTGCGAGTCGCTTGGGCAGCGTCGTATTCCGAGTTTCTACTCTGAATGGTGGGCCGACGCGTGTGGTGCAACATGGGCCGGTGTTCCGCGTCATGGCCAAAACTGGATCGAGAAAGGCGCCCGTGGGGGTCATCCTTGAGTAACGGTTGCTGCGATCGCCCGTCGGTCGGTCGGTGCATTGGGGGGCGGTTGCCAACCATCTCGTCGTCTGAGTCCTGGGAGTGCCGACCGGGGCTCGGGGTTTTGTCCCGCGATTCCGCAAGTTCAATGTTATTCGAAGCCACAATGCCGTTGTTTCAGCGTGCTTCGGCTCTTGGCCCCTTGGGATGGAATTGCAGAGGGCCGTCTCTATTGCTAGAGATCTCGGATGGTGGTGTTGTAGATTGACCTGGCCGCTTAAGATAACCGATAAGAAGTGGAGTGGAGGTGACGATGTTGTAGTTTCCCTTTTCTCCAGGAGTATGGGAATAACAAAACGATCCAACTTCAGCGTATGGTTCTAATACTTCTCTCCGTCTAACCCTAAAGCGCTCAACCCCGGGTGTAGCTTAGATCTTTAAGAAGAAAGCCGTGGCTGCGCATTCGTTCAACAAACTGTTCGGGGGCGGAGAGCGCTGTGGCCACGTAGAGCTCGTTCAAGCAGGGCCCAGGGGTTGTGAATGCGTCAACAACAAGCAACGGAGTCGGCTTCACTGAGGGATGGGTTCCGGGTGAGACAAGTCCGACTCGAGCCGTTGAACAGTCGAAAATTGAGCAGTTGTTCACTGCGGAAGCACAATGGTCCCCAAGGGAATGGACGCCTTCGTCATCCAAGACTCTATGCCGCTTCGGGGATGGCTGAATCACGTGATGGGCCCTGGCACATGACGCTAATCCCCATTGAGGATAGCGGCTCTCGTTAGATCAGCCAGTCTGTCTCAGGCGTCTCTTCCGAGTGACCACACTTAGCACGCGAAACGAGATATTCCAAGGTGATGATGGACGCTCAGACATCTCATATTTCCTAGGTGCTCACCTTGATTCGCGCATGTCAGAATCCGGATTTTCGGTTTCAAACCAGCTCCACCTTACAGTTTCCCAACCACCCTACAGTATCTACGTAGTTTTCCCGAAGGCGTGTTGTTAAATCATCATATCTTTGAAGTTTGAACTCATAAGTGATCACCGGCTTAATTTTGCTTATATTCCATGCCCCTTATGTACTACGTCCGTCGGATCGCACAGGTATACACGTACTTTTAGGGAAATCACCTCCCAAATTAAGACTTCTAACGACCAACTATTAAGCCTTAGCCTTGGGCTTGAACAGGGCTGCCTGGGTGTCGTAGGTATACTTCAGGTCCAAATGCCAGTAGTTTGTAGAGTAAGGCTTGGCGACCATCCAGGCCTGGTCCAAAACCTCCACAACTTCCTCCGGCAGGGGTCCCTTCTGTAGGTCCCTCAGATTAGTCTCGAGCTGATTGAAGCTGCTCACTCCAACCAGAATACCGTCGCGGCCTCCATCGTCCATCTTCAGGGCCGAGTGGTGGCGCACCCATCGCAAGGCTGTTTCAATGAGCGTCAAGCCATGCTTCTCAACAACAGGCTCAATCAGGCTGAGAGCTTCAAAGTTGGCATCTCGGAAGTAGCGGTTGCGATAGTTGTTTCCAGTACCGTTATGGTCGCTATACCTTCCTTCGGCGGGGATATCCTTGGTCTTGTACTTTCCAGAGAACAATCCTCCGGCCAGGGGATTGTAAATAACAATGTCAAGACCGTAGCGCCGGCAAACGGGGACTAGCTCGGTCTCGATATTGCGAGCTATGGTTTGAGTCAGTTCTGCCCATGAGACATGCAAATAAAGTAACTGTGCGACCACTTACTGATAGCATTATACATGGCCTGGAAGATTGTGGGACGCACCCAGCCCCTCTCGGCGCAGGTGGTAACAATTTCCGCAACCTCAAAGGCAGCGTAGTTGCTCAGGCCAAACTGGACAAACTTGCCCTCCTTGTGCAGCTCATTGACCATTTCCAAAGTCTCCGCAAATGGGACTGAGCGATCGGGCGCGTGTAGATAGAAGATATCGACCTGGTTGGTATTCAACTCCTTCAGAGACAGCTCAAGCTTCTCGCGCAGCACAGCAGGCTTGTGTGCGCCGGGTTCATGCGGGTACCATTTCGTCGCAAGGGTCAGGCCGCGCTCCTTCCAGTTAGCCTTGGCCGTGAAGGCCTCCTGCTCGCCACCGACATAGATCCGAGCAGTGTCAACTTCATTGAAGCCCTGCTGCTGGAAGTAGTCTAGGCACTTATTGTACTCGTCGAGGGAGGTGATGCGGGCACCCTTGGACTCGGTTGGGCCAAAGGTCATCAGCCCGAGGATGACTCGAGGCAGGGGGTTTTGTGCGATCAGCGGCATTTTGAGGTGTGATATAACTCCGATTAACCTAGTGACGGTTTGCGAAGGGACAATGGCGTTGAAGTTGACGTTGGAGATGTCGACCTCAAGTAGTTGAGCGGCGCGGGGTGAGGGGTTGCGGAATGGACCGCTGGTTTGATACGAGATAACTCCACCTTGTTTTCGGACCTGACCGCATTATTGCCGAATCCAACCTTCGCGCAATCTTTCCAGGATATTTCAAATTTCTCAAGGTCTAATCACTCGAAGGTCGACTAATCATCATTCGACTGGCTCTGTTTTGGGTTTCATCGAGCATACAGCCACAACCATGGCTCCGCAACAAGGCGATCGTCGGTTCAAGATCATGGTTATCAATCCGAATGTATCTACAGAGATGACAGACGCCTTGAAGCCTATATTGGAGAGCCTCAACTTTACTGATGTCGAGTGGCACTTCTACACCTCTCCGAAGGAGGTTTACAACTACGACCCCGCCAACCCAGAATCCCCCATCGACAGTATCAACGGCCCCGTGGACTCGGCCAAGACCGCATTGGTCTGCCAAAATACTATCCAATATATCCCGGACTTTGATGCATTCCTCGTTGCTTGCTATTCTGCTCACCCTCTTGTAGGGATTCTGCGCAAGGCAATCGCAGAGTATGAGTCGAATCACAATAACCAACGCCACCGTTACGTGACTGGAATTTTCGAATCCAGCGTCACAACGTCCCTCTCCTTGGTCAGCGCATTCAATCTTACTTCCGTTAAGTATGCCCGTGCCCAGGTGGAAGACTCCTTTGGCATTGTGACCACCGGCAGTGTATGGAAGCAAGAACTCACCAACGCGGTCACGGAGATGCTGGTTGGCGAGGGCAGAGATGCCCCTGCTTGCTTTGCAGGAGTCGAGACAACCGGTCTTTCTGCCCTGGAGCTGCACCATACTGATCCCGAGGAGGTCAGACGTAGAATTTCAGAAGCCACCACGAGGCTGCTGAAGAATTCGTCTACCTTCGTCGCAGCAGTCTGCTTGGGCTGCGCCGGCATGGTGGGCATGGAACAAGCCGTAAGAGAAGGTTGCATCGTAGCTTACGGAGAGAATGATGGCCTTCGAGTCCGAATCATTGACGGTGTCATTGTGGGAGCTCGCCAGCTTGCCGATCACTGTCGATCTGGCTATTAGGGGATGAAGGAGCTCCGACGCTGTTGTTGGAAACAATACGAAGACGTCACCATCCAGCCAAGAACGGCAAATTTGATATGAGGCATGAATTGGCATGACATTGATTTCAAAATGTATATACTTGGCGAAGCCAAACAACAAGGATTGAACTGGTTTTTTTGTACGGAGTAGTTTGAATCCATTTGCCTGCGGGCGTTTGATGTTTTGTTCCCAACCGTAAATGGCTGCCTAAGGCCGCAGCTACGAGCCCAAAAAGTTCCCCGCGTCAACGCGATACGCGTAGACATCCTTTTCCCCTCAACGGCGCAAATTTGGACCACGATGCCTAGGTTGGTACTTCTGAGCTCAGATATACACGAGAGACCATTCGCAACCCCAGTTATACTAATGCCAATGCTTTGCGTAGGGAAATCATCACGATCCAAGCCGGCCAATGCGGCAACAACGGTATGTTGCTCTCCTCCGCGGACTTTGCGAGCAGTGACCCCAACACCATAATCGCCTAAATCCCGAATTGAGTTGCGGCGGAATCGATCGTACAACGAAACTGGGATGTTTCTGGCTGACAGTGTCTACTCGTAGTCGGTAGTCAATTCTGGCAACAGCTGTGCCTGGAGCATGGCATCAACCAAGATGGGAACCTGGAGGAGTTCGCGACCGAGGGCGGTGATCGCAAGGATGTGTTCTTCTACCAAGTCAGTCTCAATAGTAGAAGCGTGCCCTGAAGGCATTCCTTGTCGGTGTTTGAGGCTAATTGACTTTTGCGCAGAGTGACGACACCCGATACATTCCCCGCGCGATCCTACTCGACTTGGAACCAAGAGTACGACATAATTTCCCCTTTGATCGAGCTATGGGGGACACCCTCACGTCCTTGGAACTCAGCTCCGCTCGAAATTAGTCACTAATCTGAGCACAGGTTCTTCACGCCATTCAATCCGGTCCATATCGCAATATCTACAACCCCGAGAACTTCTTTATCGGACAAAATGGTGTCGGTGCTGGAAACAACTGGGGTGCCGGATACGCAGCTGGAGAAGGGGTCCAAGAAGAGATCTTTGACATGATCGACCGAGAAGCAGATGGTAGTGATTCACTAGAGGTATTCATGTCCCCCGAGTCTATTCGTGACATTAATTTGCGACGAGTTATAGCTCACCATGATTCGAATACAGGGCTTCATGCTATTACACTCCATCGCCGGTGGTACAGGCTCTGGACTAGGAAGTTATCTCCTGGAGCGAATGAATGACCGCTTCCCCAAGAAACTGATTCAGACATACTCTGTCTTCCCGGATATGCAAACAACAGACGTGGTCGTCAATCCTTACAACAGTCTGCTTTCCATGCGGCGATTGACACAAGATGCGGACTCTGTGGTATGTGCTCAACATTGACACGACCAATTGATACGTGAGTGATGATGTTGATTCTCTGGCAGGTCGTACTAGATAATGGCGCGCTCTCGCGCATTGTCGCTGATCGCCTCCACATGAGACCCGACTCTTTCGATGATAAGATGAACTTCGACCAGACTAACCAGCTGGTGAGTTCTATAATCACTTATGATATATTCCGACTGGTTGAAATCTGACTTCTCTAGGTATCCACGGTGATGTCGGCGTCCACGGCTACACTCCGCTACCCAGGCTACATGCACAACGACCTCGCCGGAATCATTGCCTCGCTCATCCCCACGCCACGGTGCCACTTCTTGCTCACATCCTACACTCCTTTCACCGGCGATAGCATCGAACAAGCCAAGACAGTGCGCAAAACCACCGTGCTAGATGTGATGCGCCGTCTTCTCCAGCCCAAGAACCGCATGGTCTCCATGACTCCCAGCAAATCCAGCTGCTACATTAGTATCCTGAACATGATCCAGGGTGAAGCCGACCCTACCGACGTGCACAAGTCGTTACTCCGTATCCGCGAGCGCCGACTCGCCTCTTTCATCCCCTGGGGCCCAGCCAGTATCCAGGTTGCCTTGACGAAAAAATCGCCGTACCTGCAACACTCGCATCGGGTCAGCGGTCTCATGTTGGCTAACCATACCTCCGTGGCCACCTTGTTCAAGCGAGTCATCCAACAATACGATCGGCTACGCAAGCGCAATGCCTTCTTGGAGCCGTACAAGAAGGAGGCGCCATTCGCCGATGGATTAGGCGAGTTCGACGAAGCAAGGGCGGTAGTAATGGATCTTGTGGCGGAGTATGAGGCCGCCGAGCGGGAAGACTACCTAGATCCAGGCGCGGGAGCGGAGAAGGAGCTAGGTGTTTAAAGTGACGAGGCATTTCAGCTTGGCGATCCATAGTATTTCATTTCCTCTTTTCTTCCCCCCTCTCATGTGTCTTGTCTGCCATGGTTCAATGTTGCCCCGGCAGGACAAGGGGGGTTTCGGGCGCATAAATCGGGCGCGCAGTGGCACCGGCGTTTTGTTTCATTCTTCAAGTCCAATACCACTACCTATTTTCAATTTTCATTGACTGCCCAAACCCATGCCAACACATGATTCATGAAATTTTCGTAAACGCCTCCCGCCCAGCTTCGTCCACGCTGGACCACGTAGCCGGTGCTGGCTGGAGTGGGAATTCCGGGTGATCTGCGCCCGCAAACTTTAGCCGTCTCTGCAGCGGTGAGAGTGCAGAGTGCAGGATGCGGGTTGGGCCCGAAACGGCGAGGGAGAAGCAGGTAGTTTTGTAGGGTGGTAAAATAGTCACACTTGGTGGATACTAGATTTCACCCGCCGTGGGTGCCGGATTGAGTGTGGGGAGGATGAAAGGTGGAGGATTTAAAGTTTGCCAGTTTCTCAAAAAGGGACCTTACCTACCGGGTAGACGTAGACGTGGACGTGGACATGGACATGTATAGAGATCTCTGTGGTGGATTGCGTATGCTTCGAGGTATATACATGCCTCGGGCAATGGCACACGAGAGCAAGAGTCAATTGTGTGGTATCATCGGCTTGGAAGCCCGAAGCAGCCGTTCTGCTCATATGTACTCCGTACAGATCCCCGGGAATCGAGGAATCATTCATTTCTACATTCAATATTCTTTTGGTGTATCAAAACTTCGACGTGGTCATCGATCTAACATGACCTGGAAGAGCAAAAAGCAAGAGCGCTCCGAAGATCATCCGATGTGCTTCGCTAGGCGCGCATTGGGCCAGTAGACTCGTCCAATCTGACCGCAGACAGTTCATGACCTGCCCCCTCCATGCTGTATATGTATGTATACAGGGCTTTTCTCGATGTGATATACGATTATTGCCTGGGTCATAGCTCCCCTCCATTAACTACCACTCGTGGGCCCAAGGGCTGTTTGCCCGATGGCAGAGGGCTAGTGTTGCCCAAGCTCTTACATATACTCACCGCACTTATGTTCCATCTACCACTGTATATGCAATCCGTTGGGTTGACCCTTGAAGTCCAAGTCTGCGGCACGAACACCTTCCGCCTTGCCACTGGGCCTCCGATGACCAGCGTTTATCATTCCGTGGGTGGCGTGTGTGCTGGCACCGGTGGAACCGGGAGTTGGAATCTGGGTCCTCTCGGGGAATAGGGGATCGACCATACTGGATTTCGGGAAGAATGACTTTCTTTCAGCTTCGCCATCGGAGCTAGCTCGTTCCAAATCACCCCAAATCACTGCATTCCCCATCAAGTGGTCTGGGGTTCTGGGTTGTTCATTACCGAAGTGGCCCAATTCACCCTTTCACGTGAGAGGAGCAAGTCACGGGAACCGATCGCCTCCCGCTCCACTAGTCACCGTTAGTGAGGAGACTACCACCGAGAGTGGGTTATGGGCTCCAGCAATGTCCCACTTCGGAGTACAGACTCCAGAAGTGTAGTGACAATTATCCACTATGACTCTACACTGATGTACCGGTAGCTAGGCCTCTCTTTCCAACCCTCAGGCGCAGGATTAGCGACTCGGGCTACTTAGGCGCAACCCAGCACCCGCACGGACCGATGGCCGCATTCCGATCACTCGATCACTAGACCCGATCAGCCCTGGCGGGTCGCGTGCAAGAAAGAGACGCAGATAGCGCAAAAAGGGGGTTAAGCATGTCAGAATGGCATAATAGCGAGATGGTGAGATGGCGAGATAGGAAACTAGTAACTTCACTAGGGGAGCTTTTGACCTATAATTTCCCGATTTAGAGTAGATAGACACTGTGGTTTGAGTCCTCCGGCGTACGGAGTATACCATAGCCACTATCTTGGTGAGGATGAAGAATACGTGGGAGGCGCCACCCCGAACTTCGGTAAGGACACGGTCAATAAGACCCCCAGAAAAAGAGGAGGTGCCACCGTATAATTGATTGAGCAGATAATTCCAGATTGCAGTAATTAGAAATCAACTATTTGAATAAGGTGTAATATGAGATTTATTGAAGGCATTGACAATGACTGGACGAGAATGTTCTATCTCCGACGGTAATTGAATGATGGATGATTATTAACGATCCTACCGCAGTGAAGGCCGAAAATCAAATCCCAGAAATTAAAGAAAAAAAAATGGAGCCTATCGAACCTTCTGGGAAGAGACCCGCTCGCCTCCACGCCGTGGCTGATTCCGTCACTCCCCCGGGACTTGGATGGTATTGTAGGAGTACTGGACAGAGTACTGCCTGGCTAGACGGACATTTCTGTAGTAATCGTACTCCGTAGCCTTAACTATATTACTGTCAATATACTGGCATTTACCGGGTAGATTATGTACTCCTAAGAGCGAACTATCTCCGTTAGCCTCTCTTTGCGGTAGTTCGCCTCACCTACTGACTCAGCCGACCAGTCTTTCATCCTATACTCCCGTAATCCTTTCCCTCCCCTTTGAAACCCTGGATCCGGCCTCTAGACTTTTGGGCTTCTTGAGTTTTGGCAATTTTTTTTTCGGGCTTTTAGCCTTTGGCCCTCCACTTTTGACTTTTTCACGCTTTGCTCGTTTCTTTGCTCCCGTCCGTTCCGATCCCGGGGTCTATATATACACTATACGTGGCCCCGTCCTGCCCCTTCGGAGTACCATCTTTCCCCCCCCCCTTTACGCCTTTACATCATCCACTTCCCCCAACGTCCAACGCTTTCTCTTCCTTCTTCTCTCTTGTCTCCTCCTCCTTTCCAATTCTTCCTCTTCCAACTCCTTAAATCTTTCGGCCAAGAACCTCTCCATCCCTCCTATCGCTCTCACCCATTCCTGCGGATCCCGATCTCTATCTGTTATCAGCGCTCTCGCCCTTCTCCGCACGCCTTCCATTCTCCCATCCTCCCGTCCGCGGCGCTTATCTCAATCCCACCCGGCTCTTGAAGCAGTCCGCAGTCCAACAACTTTCTCTTGTCCTCGGTCCGCGCCGCTCATCACCAACTGATCTCAAACCTCGGCATTCCATAAACTACACCTTCGTCTTTGCCGCCAACTTCTCATAACAACTACCAACCATGGCACCTCGCAAGCCCCGTTGCAACTTCAAGGAGTGCAAGGAAGCCGCTCAGCGGATCGTCGGTGACTGCAGCTTTTGCCACGGCCACTTCTGCTCGAAGCACCGTATGCTCGAGGCCCATTCCTGCACTGGTCTGGAGGACTGCAAGAAGGAATCGCATGCCCGCAACGCAGACAAGTTGAACAGCGAGCGGACGGTGGTGGTGAAGGGTGTATGAGGATCTTGAGGGATTTCTGATTCAGGGTTTCGGAGATTTCTTCTACCTCTCTCTTCCTTTCTCTCCGTCTCTCGCCTTCCCCGGCAGTAGGCTGGTGCCATTTAGCCGGTTGGACTTAGCGCGGTGTTGACTTCTTTACGTGATTGATTTCTTGACCTTCTCCGTTTCTTGTCAGGGGTGTTCTGGCAGCCTGGTTTTTGGCTACCCGGTTTCTTCGTTTCTCATCCGTCCGAGTCGTTTTGATTGAGTCATCTCTTTTCTTTTTGTCGGGAGATATGCCACCATCTACACGGCGTTTATATGTTCCATCTTCGTGATTGATTATGGTTGACCCCACCTACCTGGGATTTTTTGGTTTTGCATCCTGTTTGCCTGGTCCTTTTATCTCCTCGTTATTTTTCTTCTCTTTGACTTTCGGGGCTGCTACATAGAGATCCCACGGGACTCCCTTGGGGCATTATTTCTTTTTTTGGCTCGCCGATTGGAATTGGAATCTACATGAATATACCATCTTAATCATGACGTTTTCCATTCGTAGCTTTCTCGACTCTTGGGGCGTAATCATATGATACAAGTACATTAAGTGGATTTCTAAGTTCAATGCCAAACAGCCCTCCTGACTGACTCTTCCCAGGTCCCCTTTCCAGTCACGGGACCTCGCACATTCTTCCTCAAGCCTTAACCTGGGCCGATCTTCGGCCTATAGGGATGGGTCAGCTTCAGCTACAAGGCAACGAGGGGGGCATGATTTGAGACTGATGACTCGAGTAAAGTGGGGGTAACACGTACATATCATGATGCTCGCTCAGCCGGCTGAGGTACTTGTTCAACTCCTCCACACGTTCCTTGTGTGACTTGATGCCTTCTTTCTGAAGCCGCTCATGCAACTAAAACGAAACTTAGCTCTGGACGTTTAATTTCACGCAACCAAGCAACATCCGAAACACCGCAAAAGTACAGCAAAGCAGAAACGACCTCGGAAAGACAATAACGTACCCGTTTCCTTCTAACCTCCTCATACTTCCTCTCAGCCTCCGTCTTCGCCGCCGAAGAACCGGCCTGTTCGTCTCGTTCCCGGGACTCATCCCGCGGAGAATCAGCCTCACCTGACTCCTGCCGCTGGGACCGTTGAGCTTGTTCAGCTTGGTCGCCTTGCGCAGCGTCTTTCTCCTTCTTCGCCTTCTTCTTCTTTTTCTTGTCTACCCGCCCGTCGCTCACTTTGCTGCCCTTGAGCTTGAGCTTGCCACCCCCGCCAGTGGAGTATTCGTCTGGCGCCATGGTGGCTTTGGGTCAAGTGAGATGGGGTATATGGAGTACTGGTGGAAGGCGGTGCGGAGTAAGTACGAGGGCACAAGAGGGTGTCTCTTTTTTGCCACTTTTCTCCGATGGGTATTCGGGGTATGATTGGTGGATTGGGTAGGTGGTGATTACTAAGGGGAGTCGACCTCACTGCCTTGTAAGGCTGTGTAGGCGTACTTATGGTCTTCTACTATTTATAGAAATTTTTCACAGAGCAGGATTCTACCGATGAACTTCATCATTTTCTACTGATTCTTGAGTGGCCCAGTCTATCATACTGATGTAAGTCATCCACTTTTCGGATTCGGACTATAGATATCTAGTGCCGTGTTGGTTGGTAGGTATACGAAACCGAGATACAGCGAGATTGACTTGAAATGGATAGAAATTATTGAATTAGATGAGTTATCTGTAAAGTTTCCGAAATTAAAGAGTACAGTCACTGAACGATCCATGCCACGATCACGCAGGGAACTAAAGCTAGACCCCCATCACCAAAAAAAGTACAAAACAAGCGCTAAAATTCGTATTCTCATAAGTATCGCAGGAAGAATAAGAGCCAATTGATAGATCACATCAAAAGGCCATGTTCAAGCCTGGATCTCATTCAATGGTAATCTTCTTCGCGGCCGAGGCGGTAGCCTTTGGTACCACAACGGAGAGAATGCCATTCTTCAGACTCGCCTTGACATTGTCCTGATCAACACGAATCGGGAACGAGAAAGTGCGGGAGAATTCCCCAACGGAACGCTCTTTGGCCCAGTAGCGATGATCAGCCTTGGAGGGCTTCGAAGTCTTCTCCGTAGCTTCGACGGCCTGTTCGTCACCAGACTGCTCCGCGGGCTTGGGAGTGTGGTAATTGCGTTCAGTGCGACCCTTTACGACCAGAGTCTGTGCATCGGTGAACTCAATGTTGATTTCTTCCTGGGAAATGCCGGGCAGTTCACCGTCCAGGTGGAATGAGGTCTCGCTTTCGCGGACGTCGAATTTGGGGGCGAAGCTGCGAATTGTGGATTGGGCGCTGCTTCGGTGGTTGTCGTAGTCGTCTAGCAGACGGAAGAGAGGACCGAAGTCACCTGCAGCAGGGAAAGTGGTGCGGAAGAGAGACATTGTGGTTTTGTTTGAGTGGGATGGTGGAAAGAAGAGTAGAATATTTGCTGTTGGAGTTTTGGTAGCTGAAGGCTTTGCTTGTTGTTTGGTCTGATCTGTAAAGATGAGTAGACAGGGTGATGAGGGGCCTTTTATAGATCAGTGGTGGCCTCTTGCAACATAAAGTGATCTGTATCTGTGCCATAACCTTACGCGCTACTATTAGATGCCAGATGATACATGTGCTTACCAGTTGTTCCGAGTAGCTTCTAGATCAGAACAGACGCTTCTCCAAGATTCTATAAGTCACGTGATGAACAGAAAGAGAAACACTTTCATCAAGGTAGTGACATGGCATCATGGAAACGAATCTTCTAGACGTTTTTCGTATCATCGAGGATGTAGCATGATTCATGACTATCTTACAAGGTTAGTAATAATACGCTCGATGATTTCAATCAACATTTATGCGCTATTCCGACTTCGCCGAAACATTCAGATTCTTGTAACTCTCACCTCCGGTTGGATAATTGTGTCAAGACATTTTGGAGTTCAATCTACCAAAATTATATAAATTAGACTATTCTAGTGCAATCAGGATCCTTGAGCCTTAAGCGGTAGATTGCATGGCGTGGGATGGTGTTGCATATTCCCAGGTATACTTTGCGCCTGCGGTCGTACCTGTTTCTTGACGCAACAAGAATGCATTGCCAATGACACTGAACTGAAACAAATTACTCTCTATTCCTATAAAAGCGTACTTACTAAAATTTGAACCACATATGGAGTTACGTGGTATATCGTAGATTTTGAAGGTGGTTTTGAGCTTGCTCCAAAATGACGTCATTACTTTTAGTCAGCCTGCCATCCATGGTACCCCCCTGTCAAAAGGTGGAGACAATAGAGATTGTCCCAGCATCGCCAGACCAAGCTCACCTTCAACAATTACTCTTGTGCATCATAGCGAGCTTAGCGAGCAATGTCGCTCGTGCAGCATGTTTCCGCCATCGAGGGTGTTGACCACGATCCAGAAGCTGAAATTGATGAAGATTTCAGGCCGATTGCGCGCAAAATCAGCTACGATGTGTTACAGACACCAAGTCACCCCGTTCCGGATGAGGAACAGCCACCGGCAACTCCCGCCTACAATGTTTCTGCGACCAAGAGATTGAGTAAGTGCGATCACCGCCCGTGTATACCAACCTTACTGAAGGATCTTGTAAAGTGCAGGTCATCTTCACCATTCTGGCATGTTGGGCCGCATCAGGTATCCTGTTTGGATACGCAGCTCTGAAGCCCATACTGGTAGAAGAGGGTCTCTATCATGACCAATGTACTCACGAAGAACTGCAGGAAGGAGTCGAACTTTGTGTCCAGCAGGACTTGAGGTATGATTTCTCATCCCAGCCAGCGACTGCCTCTCTAACAGATTACAGACTCAACCTCTGTTTCACCATTGCATCTATCACAGCGAATGTTTCGGCATTGCCCGTTGGGACAATCCTTGACCACTATGGATCACGCGTCTGTGGCCTAATTGGCAGTGTACTCCTTGCCGTGGGCAGTCTCTTTATGTCATCTACATTCCTCTGGCCAGAATTCCAAGGATTCGTCGCCGGCAACTTCTTTCTAGCATTTGGCGGAACTTTCATCTTTGTCCCGTCTTTTCAAATTGCAAATGCATTCCCCAAATATGCAGGCTCCATCGTCGCGCTTGTGACAGGAGCATTCGACGCTTCTGCAGCTGTATTCCTCCTCTATCGGCTTGTCTACGAGGCCTCAGCTCGCAGAGTTACCCCCGATAAATTCTTCCTGGGCTACCTAGCCGTTCCGGTCTTGATTATCTTTGCGCTTCTCTCCTTCATGCCAAAGCGTGAATACTACTCAACACTTCGATTGGAAGACCAGATTGAAAAGGCTGAAGACCCTACTCGTGACGTGCATGATTCCGATAGCGATATCGATAGCGACAGGGAGTTACAGCGCGTACGAAGTAGGCGCGCGGAACAGCGACAGGAGATACTCGAGAACATCAACGAGGTGCTCGGCGACGAAGACGAGAGACAGCAACGGGCCGAGCGCGAGGAAGATCGTCATCAAATCAGTCAGGTCTGGGGTGTACTGCATGGACTGCCAGCTCACCGGCAAATGATGACCCCGTGGTTTATTCTGATCACTCTGATGACTATTATCCAAATGGTTCGTATGAATTATTTCATTGCAACTGTTCGATCGCAGTACGAATACATGCTTGGCTCTGTTGAGGACGCCATACGAATCAACGACTTCTTCGACGTCGCACTACCCGTCGGTGGTATTCTTTTCACCCCCGTTATTGGGGGATTGCTGGATCATCTGAGTGTACCGTCGACGCTCAGTCTTATTGTCGCTTTCACCACCATCATTGGCATTCTGAACTCTATCCCGGCCATGTGGGCAGGATATATGACCATCATACTTTTCGTCCTGCTCCGACCCCTCTATTATTCAGCCATGTCGTAAGTTCCTATCCCTGGTCTCCATGAATTTTACTAATTCGAGATAGCGACTATGCAACCAAGGTGTTTGGTTTTGCAACTTTTGGTCGGGTCTATGGGACTATCATTTGCCTCTCTGGGTTGGTCAATTTCTCTCAATACTGGCTGGACTCACTTACCCATGGACGGTTCAATGGAAACCCAGTTCCTATCAATGTGGCCTTGGTAATCGCTGGTTTCGTTGTCGGTGTTGTGCTCGTAGGATTTGTCTTTGTGGCGGGTTGGCGGCTTAGGAACGAGGATGGCAACGAGCATGAGAGGGAGCCATTGTTGTTGGAGGTCGACGAGGAGGAATGAACGCATGACATACCTAATATCTAATAATAGCCTGGGTTTCACAGTCGTCTGTGGAGGTTGGCCCAGGGTCCAGGTTGGACGATTCTGGCCAGATTGACAGAATGAATATCTGCCAATATTGTCGAGATCACTGATATCAAATTATTGTGAGTACTCAACTAGATTCTCACAGTTTCTGGTACGGTGTCTATTTTGGTACTTGCATTAGCGTAATTTGAAAGGTAATTTCCATGTCATAGCTAGCTAATGCTCATTCATTATATCCTTATCCTTATCATTTTAAGGTCCTTGAACTCCCAACAAAGATCCACTAGGATCCTGCGATACTCCCTTAATCAAAGGGAATCGGGCGCAAGTTCGACCCACCCATCCGCTTACGCATCTCTGCGCCGGCCGCGATCGTACTGGGGACCTTGATGCCGCAGCAGTCACCAAAGTAATCCGTAGTAGTATGACCATGAGGATGGTCATGACACTGGCCATCTTCATGTCCATTCCCATCACCACCGTCCGAAAGCTCACCCATCCCCTCCGCAGCAGGCAACAAGCTTCCAAACATGAAGTGCTGCATGATGGGGAGTTTGCCGAGGACCTCCTTGACAAACATCTTCTTCATGCCGCTCTCCACCTTGAACCAGTTCTTGGAACCGGAGATATCATCTAGCATGGGGCTATGCCAGCGGAGACCCTTGACGGTCTTCACGCTGTCCACCCACCGGACCTGATCCAGGTAGATGTACTTGTCGCCTTCCTCATCCAGCATGGCCGTGTTGTGAATCCCCAGGGGCGTAATGTATGGATGGTCTACCAGTTGGCTGGCGCCAAACAGGAAAGGGAGAAAGTGGTAGTCGTCCAATCCCCACACACCATGGGACCCGGCCGGTTCGAGGTAGTATGTGGATTGAATGTCCCGCATGAGATGCAGGTACTGGACATAGACTTTGAATACAACGGCAGGGAAATCGGTTACCGGGAGGATGCCCAGCTGGTAGAGGGTCAAGAGCCACATCATGAAATTCAACTCATGGCCAGACCCGTAATCCAGTCGGTCCCGCGAACCCAATGAATGGACGAGATATGTTGACGCCTCGTCGATTGCCGCAGGATCCGTCAAACCCAGGATCTCAGTGTGCCATGATGCGCTCTGTGCAGCGACATCGTCGAAGAAAGCTCTGAATGCAGGGTTACCGAATCGTGAACCACCCTGGTCAAGTGCCGGGTGCTTCTCTAGCAGCGACTGTAGCCTTCCTACAATTGAGGAAATCTTGGAGATATGATCGGAGTCGGGTTTGTTTTGTAGATCGGTGATAGCCCGGCCACGCACAGAGTCGGATAGGCCGAAGATAAAAGCAAGTACTAGTTTGTATGTCGGGGATGACTGGAAGAGCTCATGGTCTTTCGGTGATAGGATGCGGCGAACGGGGTGGGAGTATGAATGGGTGGAGAGATTAGGCGGCGAAGGCAAAGGAGGGGTAATCGGGGTTGGGTCTCGGGAAGAAGTAGTTTGAGATCGGCGATTATTGCTTGACCGTAGCGCTGATAGCTTTTTGGAGAGATCCAATGATCCCACTCGTGGTGGTAGTGAGGTCGACGCCATAGTGAGCAGTGTGGGGGTTGATGGTTGATAAAAACAGTGGCTTTCAGATCGACGTGACGGCAGAAAGTAGTTTATACTTTACCGCCTTCCCTAAGCGGAGAGGACATGACGCCATTTTTGTGCCAGGTGGGGTCACCAGTGCAAACAGTGCAAATACTATTCAACTTGGATATTTTGCCAGCAGAATTGTTGGCCCCTTGATTCTGAATTCCAACTCTTAACTTAAGTGACACATTGATGACAGACTCGCTCAAAATACAATAAATTTCAATATCGATTGCGCCACCAGTTCAAAATCTCACATGCTCAGCCACTCATCCTCCAGCTTCTTTGCCTTGTCCAGCCTTCCCTGGGAACAATAAAGGTTCATAAGCTTGTTGACTGTCTCGACGGTTGAGGGATGCTCAGGTCCAAGCGACTCTGCAGTCCCAGCTAGCACCCGTAAATACATTTGCTCCGCCTGTTCCAACTTGCCTTGGTTGCAATATGTATTTGCAAGGTTGAAGACAGTGTCAAGAGTAGAGGCATGATTCGCCTCCAGTTGCTTCTCTTTCCCAATGAGCGCCCGTATATACGTATGTCGCGCCTCCTCCAGCTTCCCTTGAGCATGATATACATTTCCGAGATTGTGCAAAGTATCGATGGTGGAAACGTGATCTGCTCCGAGCGCCTCCTCTCTCACAGCTAGCAGTTCCTTGAAGACATGTTCCGACTGGTCTAGCTTTCCTTGCATACAATGGAGTATCCCAATGTTGCCAGCAGTCTCGAGTGTGAGGGCGTGATCTGCTCCTAGGGCGTTCGCCCTTCCAGCTAGCGCGCGTGTATACATCTGCTCTGCCTCGTCTAGCTTGCCCCGTCTACAATAGACGACCCCGAGATTGTTGACGGTGTCTAGGGTCGAGGTGTGTTCTGCGCCTAATTTCTTCTCTCTTTGGGCCAGTGCTCGCATATACATTTCCTCTGCTTCAGGTAGTCTGCCCTGGTCACGATATACGTTGCCCAGGCTATGGGGATCGTTGGAAGTTGATGATGACGAGCCCATATCAGTGGTGGGAACAGGCGTGTGGGCCCACCGGACTGCGAGGATGGCGAAGGTCAGCGACAAGGACGAGGCAAAAAATGGAGAAGGTAGCAGCAAGGGCAAATGTGCTTCTCGTGTTTTCAAGGAGGTTAGAATTGCCTCTGGGAGGTTGTTGCAGGAGACTTCTATATAAGTGGGGTTGGGGGCTGTGCCAAGCTCAAATACGAGATGACAGGGTTTAAGCTTCTTCTTCACTGGCCAACAGACAACAAGGCTGATCTGTGCATACGTTGCTCAGCCGACTAGCGCAGTTCGGATGTTTCAGTAAATATCAGGCTAGGTATTTTTGCGACTCCCTTGAGGGATATAATTCGAAATCTTCAAATGAGCCATTTGATGATTGATGATTTAGCAAGTTTAATTAAGCCCAACAGAAGAATATACGCGAGTAATGTAGGGAAACCAATGGGTTTGATCCGTCTTTTATCAAGTCCAAAGCAGAATATTTTCTATGATTTCCTGCTTTTAGACTAATGCAAAGAAAATTATTGGAGACAGATACGTTCAAACAGTACCAGAAGCTCAAAGAAGTCTGGACGATACGACACAAGTCTATCAAATGAGGATTGCTAATGTATTGCTCTAGACTCGGTTACTAACATTTCATTTCCTTTCATATGTCCTGTTTAACTCGTAAGAAGATATTTTCTTTCACCTGTCATGTGCGGCCATCTACTTCAGATGTTGGACTTTAACAACCTCCTGATCCACCTCCTGCTTCTGGAGCGAAGCAGCCCTCCGAGGATTTCTTGACTGGAAGATCTCATTGAGCTCCTCGAGGGTGTGTCCTTTGGTCTCTACCATGAAAATGTAGTAGTAAATGGCCTGGCAAAAGCACACTCCCATGTAAATAAAGTAAGTCTTCCAACCAATCACATCGAGGGAAATCGGAAGTGCAAACTGATTGACCAGGCCGGCTGCGTTTCCAGCGAAACTATGACAAAAATTAGTTTAAACAAATGAGGCAAGAGATATTGATGAACTCACTTTTGCAGGGCCATTCCCTTGGCTCGCTGGTCAAATGCTAGGACCTCGACGGGGTATAGTGCTTGGAGTGGGGTGTAGGCGGCAGAGAAAACGATACCAATCAGGAAGATGAAGGTGATAGATACATCGGCAGCGGGATGGCTTTTATAGATAGCATATCCGCCTGTACCACCAACCATGCCGCCCCAGAGGAGAGTAAGAAGCGCACAGCATGAAATCAGCATCTTGCGTCGGCCAAACCGGTCCATCTGGCTGGCACCGAAGCAGGCGGCTACACTAGAAGCTAGCGTGATACCTAGGTTGATGTCAAGGACCGTGTCGGTTTGACTGATCCCAGAAGTGCTTAGCATGGCAGGCAGGAAATATGATACGCCCGACTGACCAGTCAATTGACTGAAAGCTGAAACAGCGACGGCGCACAGGATGGCACGATAAAGAGCTGCCCGAGAGTTGAACAGGGAGCGGTAATCCCACCAGCGCTTGTCCGCACCGTCGAGCTCTAGCTCTTCCGCAAATTCGTGCATTTCCAATCTCACATAGAGAGATTCCGGGTTGTCATTGCCATGATATTTGATAAGAGTCTCCCGGCACTTATCTACTTGCCCATGAACGTACAGCCAACGCGGTGACTCAGGAAAACAGAGACATCCAACTAGCAGAATACCTGGGAAAAGCATCTGGAGCCATGTGGGAATGAGCCAGGCCGCGTTGGTGGTATAGTGAACGCAACCACGTAGAACTGCAGCGGCCAGGATTGCTCCAAGATAGTAGCAGCAGTTGTAGAATCCAGTAATCACACCACGGTAGGCCGGGTGAGCGAATTCGACGACGTAAGAAGGACAGGCGACATTGCAGATGATGCCACCAAACCCGAGAAAGAAACGCCCAGCGAGGAATTGAGGCAAGTGGTGGGACACACCTTCAACGATGGTACCAATGATGATAAAGACGCATCCAATGGTGATACCCACACGACGGCCCCAGGTATCAGTCAGAGGGCCGATAAAAGGCAGACCACACACGGAACCGATGGAGTACATGCTCATGATGATGCCAGTCTGCACTCCGAGAATCTTTGCGCCAAATTGATCTTGGAAGGGCTTCATGACAATCAGATTGCCCATCAATGACCCGTCGTAGCCACCCATCGTCGACCCCAGGAAGGCCAGACTGCAGATAGCGTAGAGTTGAATCATACGCTTGCTGAGCTTTCGGACTGGCTCTAGTCGCGTGCATACTTCCAAAGCCGCAGTGCCGCGGACAGCGTGGAACACATCGACAGACTCCTCAACGTGCTCAGAGTCAGCCCTGGGGGACTTCTCATCCTGTGTGGAGGCCATGGAAGTGATGAACCACTGATTGTCTGAAAATGGAAGTATGATGCAGATGGTTTCTGAGGTTGCAGATGCTCATGGTGATCCGCAGTGGGGGCTGCTGCCATTCATATATCTTCGCCATCTTGAATGCGGGAATGTTGCTCGACTGATGAAATCCCGACGGTTTCTCCGATGAAATCCGGGGAACCGAACTCGCAGGCCAAGAAAGTCTTAGCTTGGAACTTAAAACGTGTCCCTGGCCTTGAATTTGTAACGCTTCCCCACGCGGGGGCGGGGTTGTCTAAAGGGACGTACATTTTTCGGAGAAATCGTCGCAAAGGAACCTAGATTGAAGTTGTAGCCTCGCCGATCTTTTTTCCGCTATAATGAGACCAAACCAGATAGATATTTGAAGGGGTATTCCGAAGTCCAAATCGATCTACAGTCATTTTTCTTCCATCTCAAAAGCATGTCTTCCACTGCGTACTCTTCCACTCCCCCAAAGATCACACCGGCCTCGTGTGAAGGCGATCCCAACTACAAGGCCCCAATCTTCCCACTCGGCCCTTTCACCAAATACTCTGGCAATCCATTGCTCCTTCCAAACCCGGTCAACGAATTCGAGTCGGCATACATATATAATGCTGCCGCAATTGTCTTGGACGACACGGTCTTTCTGCTTTATCGCGCCCAGAACGCTGCCAAAGTTTCTACCATTGGACTAGCCTGGTCGTCTGATGGCTACGAATTTACACGCCTCGATCATCCAATTCTGGAACCCAGCGAGCCCTGGGAAATGGGCGGTGGTGTGGAAGATCCGCGTGTGGTGCGCATCGACGGCGTCTTCTACATGACCTATACCGCGTGGGATTTGAAGGTGCCAAAACTCTGCCTTGCGACATCGACTGATCTGGTACATTGGGAGAAGAGGGGTGGTCCTCTGTTTCCAGATTTTATCGACGTCGACGATGCGCTCGATGGACGTATCAAAGTGCGTTTCGGCCACTCCAAGTCCGGCGCAATCTTCCCAGAAAAGACAGCAGAGGGTAAATACATGATGATCTTTGGCGAAGCATATCTTTGCGTGGCTGAGAGTGAGGACCTGATCAACTGGAAAGCGTGGCCCTTCAACGAGTACTTCGCAAGAGGTGTCCATGAGTGGGAAAATCGCCTCTTGGAACCCGGTCCAACCCCAATTAAGACCCGCGATGGCCGGTGGATCCTGGTGTACAATGTTGCCACGAAAGGCGCTTCTGGATTCAAGTTCAACCAGTATTCTATCAGTCAGATGTTGATCGACCTCGAGAATCTTAAAGACGGCCCGCTCGCTCGCCTCGACCGACCGTCAGTTATCGTGTCAGCCAAGAACGAGCATCTTGGACAAGTCAACGAGGTCGTGTTCTGTGAAGGCATGGTGCAATTTAAGGGGAAGTGGTTCCTGTATTATGGACAAGGAGATAGCGAGCTGGGAGTCGCGACTGCCGAGGTTCAGCCATAAGAAAGGGGTAGATCGATGGGTTGAAGATGATGCAGATTGCGAGGATAGTAGACATAGAAATTTGATTGCGACCCTTTGATTATACTCATTATATCTTTGATTGATCTCTGGAAATCTTAATCGATAAGAGTATTTGGCGAGGGCATAGTAGCTTCAGCGAGCTGAGGAAAAGCATCTTGCAGATGCAAACTCCGAAGATCGCGAAATGTCCAAAACACAGAATAGCCGTCCGTCTGATCGATATTCCAGGGCCCAGGACCAATCTCGTCCCGCACTTCCTGGGCCAACTCCGGATAGCGGCCAAGTGCGTCATCCCAAAGGTTCAGAAGGCCTTGAAAATTCTCAAACTGTGTTTGACGCCATAGTTGTAGAACTATACGAGCCGTTGCAGCCTGAATGTCCGATAGTAGAGACCAGTGAATGAGCATCTCCCGCGGACAGATGAAAACTGACCGAACCAAGGAACAAATATAATGCAGTACACCTGGAACTGGACGTAAGGCTAACATGGTGCCAAGAGTGTCTTGTCGACTTAGAACAGTCGCATAGAATTTCAGAACCACCAGATTATGGAGCGAGTGAATTGTGATCGCCTCTGGTCGAGCTGGCATCTCATCGCGAAGATCAAGTAACGATGTAGGAAGTTGAACAGCCCAGAATAAACACTCGTACTCAAGGCGACACCACAATGGCTTTGCATCTGGTTCAAATCCATCCCGCTCCTCTGCAACCCGTAATCGATCGAGACGCAGGCCTAAGTCGGATATTCGGAGATAATGATGCGCAAATGTGGAGTTATCGACTGATTCGGCGAAGATCATGAGGTAATTTTCAGAAATCTCGAGAGGCTCCAGCGATGAGTCAACTAATCGAAGCCAAGTGTTCGCTACAAGTGCACCCGCGAGAATAGGAGCTGGTAGGTCTTGTGCCATAAGCAAAGAGGCATGGACAGTGCCAAAAATCTAGAACCGGTCAGCATAAACAAGATAGGAACATGGTGCTTCGACCAGCGACTTGCCCATTGTATAAAGTCACTCTCTACAGGAAACCGTAGGATCAACAGCAGAGCGCCAGCTAGACGTGGCAGCGTCATCTCGCTTTGCGTAATGGATTTTAGAGCCTGGCTGGCCTTTTGCGATATGTCTGCATGGGGCGTGCTATGCAACCAGATACTAGCAGCTAGTTCGACACATTGTTGTAGCGTCGGATGCCAGCTCTTATTCAGTTCGTGAATCATCCCAGAGGGCAAAAATGGTGTAAGTGGTTGAACATGCTCTCTGTAATTTAGTGCCGTCGACTTGAACACGGGTTGAGTGTCATCTTTCAGAATGATCTTTTGACCTTGAGGGTATTTGGAATCCGCAAAGTTCGATTGACTATCGCCATCCTTCACGACTGATACGACGCTTCCGGTGCTGGCCCATGAGGTATTTGTCGGTGACAATACTGCTGCTGCTGCAGCCGAGACTCTTGTTGCAATGCGCTGGGACGTTTGACGACGCTTCTGGCTCGGTTGACGCCGACTAAACTCGCAGATCAGGTCTAGATGCTCGCATTCAGTGCATCGGCTAGCCCACGGGCCTTCCAAGGCACACTTCTTCTTCCGGTGTCTGCAGTAGTTGCATGATTTGAACATGAGTCATTTGGAACGGGAAAATGCTCGGGATGAGACCTTTTCTTAGCCGATATTTGGGATGTCGGGCTCTAGTTCTCGGGGTGGGCGGAGAAAAGTTCGGAAAAGACACCTTGACTGAGATGCGACGTGCTCAGGCCTTCCATGACTAAAGGCTGCTTGGTTGCAAACCCCGCTCAACCAAAATTATTAAGGTTAAACGCCCCTGGAGCATCCATCTACCCCAATGTGGAGAAGGCGGGAAATTCGTCGGAACCGTCTCCAAAAACGGCTATCAGAAGAGTGCTGTTACATTCATACAAAGGCCAACAATGGACGGCCTTCTCCAACTTTGTGAAAGAATTGATTTCAAACCATATTTGACTTTGCGTGTACTTTGTCATGTCTGTTGCGAGTACTTTGACACTCTCCGGCTGGAGATGGCGACAACTTGGAAAAGCAAATGAAGACTGGCATCGGTGTGTACATAATAAGCCGACCACGGAGATTTTCACCGATCTCATCGATGCAAAAGTCATTCCGGATCCCTTTATCGACGAAAATGAGCGCCATGTGCAGTGGGTGGGTGAGGCCGACTGGGAGTATGCTTGCGACTTCCAGTATGAAGCAGACCCGAGCCACTCTCGACAGGACCTCGTCTTTGAAGGCTTAGATACGGTGGCAACCGTCTTTCTGAACGAGCAAGATCAAATCTTGGAATCGACAAACATGTTTCACCGGCACCGCATCGATGTGACAGGCAAATTACGCCCGGGATTGAACACCCTCCGCATCGTGTTCAAGAGTGCTCTTCATTATGGGCGTGAATTGGAGAAAAAGCATGGAAGCTACAGAGCCTTTAGCGGAGAAAACTCTCGAGCGCATGTCCGCAAAGCCCAGTATCATTATGGCTGGGACTGGGGACCTCTGTTGATGACATGCGGACCATGTGGAGAGATCAAACTCGAAACCTACTGTTCAGCCTTGATCAATGTCTTTGCCGATGCACGAGTGTCTGAAGACCTTCGTAGTGCATCTATCAATGTCAGTTTTGAAGCTATCTTGGATCAAAATGTCACTGCAAATGTCACTGTTACCGCTCCTGATGGGCGTGTCTTCCACTCAAAGGCAGCCCTCGGCTTCAGCACAAGGGAAATTCGAGCTTCCTTGTCGTTGGAGATCGAGGAACCGCAACTCTGGTACCCCGTTGGTCATGGTCCTCAAGTTTTCTATCTGGTGGATGTTGCCATCATAAATGGTGATCAGCAACCACTTCATCACATCAAAAAGCTGGTTGGAATACGACGCCTTCGCTTGGTGCAACAGCCTTTAAATGGTGAGCCAGGCACCTCTTTCTTCTTTGAAATCAACAACAAACCAGTGTATGCTTCTGGCAGCAACTGGATCCCTGGTCATTCATTCCTCACTGCTATGACGGCCAACGACTACGCCTCAGCCGTTGATAAATGTGTGAAAGCGAACCAAAATATGTTGCGTGTCTGGGGTGGCGGTATATACGAGCATAATGCACTTTATGAGGAGTGTGATCGACGGGGGGTTCTGGTTTGGCAGGATTTTGCTTTTGCCTGCGCCCAGTATCCTTGCTATCCTGAATTCGCTGCAACTGTGAAACGAGAAGCCGTTGACCAAGTCAAACGGCTCCGCCAATACTGTTCCATCGTCCTCTATGCTGGGAACAATGAGGATTATCAAATCGCCGAGATGCTCAATCTGACTTGGGATCGTGACGATCATTCACGAGATTGGACTGACACCAATTTCCCGGCACGAACTCTGTACGAAACTCATCTGCCAGACGTGGTGGCTGAATATGTACCTGGTGTCCCCTACCATCCTGGCTCGCCTTGGGGTGGCGAAGGGACGACTGACAGGACCGTGGGTGATATTCACCAGTGGAATGTTTGGCACGGCCCCCAGGAGAAGTACCAGCTCTGGGACAAGCTCGTGGGCCGCTTCGTCTCCGAGTTCGGCATGCTTGGCTTTCCGGTTGCCAAATCCATCCGTCGTTATGTGACCGATCCCGCGCAGCGTTACCCTCAAAGTCGTGTTCTGGATCTGCACAACAAAGCAGATGGTGCAGAACGCCGACTGGGGTTGTATGTCTTGGAGAATCTTCGGGTCAACTCGTTGGATCTCGACAGTTGGATCTATGCCACCCAACTCGTTCAAGGCGAGTGTCTCAGTTTCGCCGTTCGAAGCTGTCGCCGCCAGTGGAAAGGCCCTGGTCAAGAATACTGCGGAGGCCAACTGATCTGGCAGGTACGTGAAGATGTTGATATCTTGATTATTATGGAGTATTGATTGATTGAAATCATCTAGATCAATGACTGTTGGCCCGTCTCGAGTTGGGCGATAATTGACTTCTATGGGGAGAAAAAGATGGCTTACTTCATGACAATGCGCGATAGTGCATCGCTAGCTCTTGGAATTAGCCGTTCGACACCAGAGCTCAAGAAGCTCAAGTCGCCACCTCCACAGATCCTGGCTCCTCCTCATGATCTTGCCCCCAAGATATACATCTGTGACGTTTGGGCAATGAATGGGACCTTACAGGATGCCCAAGCCCAAATCGAAATCCGGTTATACGACATCACGACTGGAGCCCTGCGTGAGGATAAGTCCATCGGCATTCAATCGCTTCCATCCAACCGCACCACCGAGTTGGTGGAAGACCTGACTGTGGATGACCAGACAGCCGTCCAGGCAATCATGAGGGATACTCGAGATGGCCATGTCATTGCCCGCGCTTCAGATTGGCCTCAGCCACTTAAATACGTCACCTTGTGTGCAACTATAGATGTGTCTGTATCAGTGCTGGACGGCAAGCTTGAAGTTCGAGCGAACGCGCCTGTCAAGGGTCTTGTGGTGTCCGTGGTTCCCGATGACCGTGATGTTGAGTTTGAGGATAATGCCGTCGACATCTTCCCTGATGATGTCTACACAATCCTCGCACGGGGGTTGAAGAAGGATGATAAGGTAGAAGTGCGTTATTATGGATCGGACTTTTAGACTGCAGAGGCTAGATAGATAACCCGGAGATGTCTTGGTTATACTTGAAAGATTGAAGTAAGAAGTTTGCCAAAACCGCATACCTTTCTATCAGAAGATTTCTACACTGAATTTTCATGGGATCAAGAAGTCATTTTCAAGCCTTGATGATGGTAGATAGCCTATATTTTCGATGTAATTTTGTTTGTCATTTGCCTCCTTGGGCTTAGTACCGAGAAGATTAATTGTAGACAGCTGCCTAATGTGATCTTCATCTAAATCAATAATTAGCCTCCTGCCTCAAGCGTCTCCGTGGTTTCCCACCAGGGCCGATGAGATATTAGTTGGTCCATCAGACATGTTGCATTGATGCCCGGAGATTTGATCGCAAAATAAGCAGTCTAAAGGGAAGCTCCACCCCGGAATGGCCATCGGGCGGGGAATTGGCGGGGTAATTCCATCGATGTGGTTGCGCTTGAGCCCACTCTATTTTCGCCGACGTTTTATCCGCTCTCATCTCGGGACCGAGCATGCTAAGTATCATTAAACTGGCAATGATCATCAGGTGCAAGTGCAGAAACGTGGGACTTGTTGAATATTCAACCCCGCGCTTGATAAAATCTTGATACTAACTTGGGTGACAAGCTGCCCCGAGATTTGAAGCACTGACACAAAGAAGGGAAAAAGCGAAGATATTACCATGACCCAGATCTGCAGCATAAAAGGGCGTCATTGCCCTCTTAGGTATTCAAACAGTCTACACTTTTATTTTTCTTTTGTAAGCCTTTGTATCATTCCCTGATGAGGTGTTCATTGCAAGTCCTCACTTTAGGACTGGGTGCTGTCACGGCCCTTGCGGCCTCCTCCGACAAGCCCCCCAAGGTCACACCAAAATCACGACAGAACGAAGCCAATTACACGGCGCCATACTTTCCTTTACTTGGCTTCGAGCAATATGCGGGCAACCCTATCATGAGGCCTGATGCGAGCCACCCATGGGAGTCTGCGTACCTCTACAACCCGAGCGCCATCGTCATGGATGACATGGTCTTCCTCCTATATCGCGCCCAGGATTCGCAGAAAACCTCTAGAATTGGTTTGGCCTGGTCCGAAGATGGGTGCAGCTTCACTCGGTACTCTCAGCCCATTATCACTCCAACAGAGCCGTACGAGACCCCGGGTGGATGCGAGGACCCCCGAGTCGTCCGTGTGGATGGAACTTTCTACCTGACCTATACGGCTTACGATGGCAAGATTGCTCGCCTATGTCTTGCGACATCGACCGATCTTGTCAACTGGAAGAAGCACGGCCCCATCTTGCCAGACTTTACCGAGACCGTGTACAATTGGCGCGACCCTGTTACCTACTTCGCTTCCAACCCGCCCGGCTGGACAAAAAGCGGTGCTATCATTGACGAGCGGCAGCCTGATGGTTACTACTACATGCAATTCGGTGACACATACCTCTATACCGCGAACTCGACCGACTTGATTAACTGGGAAGTCTCTGGCTCCGGCAAGCCGTTTGCTCCTTTGATGAATGTGTGGGAGCAAGCTCTGACTGAGAGTGGACCGCCGCCCGTCAAGACGAGAGACGGCAAGTGGTTAAAGATCTACAATGGGATGGCCACTGGTGGTGTCGGTGGCTATGCGGTTGGCCAGTATAGCACTGGACAGATGCTCATTGATCCGGCCAATTCTCCTCTTGGCCCGCCCATAGCGCGCCTTGAGACCCCGATCTTGCAGCCGACCACGGCGACAGAGATCACTGGGCAAGTAGATAATGTCGTGTTCAGGTAAGTCGACCACACCTCCATCTGATGGCAAATGCAAGTTCTAATCTTGATATTAGCGAGGGTTTGGTGCAATTCAAGGGCAAGTGGCTGCTCTACTTTGGCGCAGGTGATGCGTTCCTGTCGGTGGCTCAGACTCCTGTCCAGCCTTAGGTATATCCAGAGTGTTTATTTGAGAGTGTGCAAGACCTCGTTCGCCTTGCCTTCGATCATGTTGAGTAGACTGTGCTTTTGGATGTATTGGAAATTGAGCCTATATTCTAAGGTCATCTGTAATCAACGGGAGGCAGTTACTCTAGAGATATACAGGCATCTATAGATCCCACGATAAAGGAGACTTATACAGTAGGTCATATTTCAAGAGTAAATATGCATCCTGAAAAGGTTAAAGTACTTCATTGTCATGAATATGATGCAGCTCGTATCTAGGAGCGCATATCATCAGAAGCAACATTATTAACCGAATTGCAGGCAACTCTTGAGGTCTCCAAGAATAGCAGGCGGGGCAAATAAGATACTCAAAAACACCATTTGCTGAAAACTAGTGACCAAGAAACGATCACGATCACGATCCCCCTCCTTGCGGGCAAGCGTTGGGATCAAAGGCAGGGCTTACCAGAAGGACCCCGTTAAAGCGGAGAGCAGGGCGGAGAGTCGAGCGGTGACGTTTCAGCCACTCAGGGACTGTAGCTCCCTCAAGGGACCACCAGACAAGCCGAAGGAGGAATAGCGCGGTGGAGCATGTGATCTTCCCGGCCCAGAAACTCCAGCGATCGACGGATCTCTTTGCTTTTGCACTGTCATTCGAGGGCGGAGCTGTGCACATGATGGTTGCCAGCTGAGTGGGAATTATCTATTCGAAGAGAACCCAATAGAGACAGGTCAATAGCCTCAAGAAGGCATCTTCTCACCCTCTCCACATTTCCCTGCGAGAGCCTCGCTCTTGTCCATCAACCGGGCCAATTCCGTGCTCTGCCCCCTCCACCCCGTGTCTGGCACCCGGTGCTGTATGAAATATTCAATTCTCGTACGGGCTATTGGATAGATCATTAAAGTGACCGCTGAGGGCATGAGCACGCCATCATGAATACTTTCGATTTTTCGGCGACGACTCCGACAGGTCCCCGCGACTCTGGGGAAGCCAGAGATATCCCCGATAACTCATCACGCTCACCCACCCATGTAGATTCGGCCCTGTCATCTTCCTTTGGCAGCAGCCGGTCCCACTCGAGCTATTCGTCCCGAAAGTATGCTGGGGCCCCGCGGTCTCACAGACAGCAGTCCGATGAGTCCACCCCAGTCTTCAATGAAGCGGGCGCCTCGACGCCGAACTACGGGGCGACGCAGGCGCCCAATTTGTCTAGCGCGGCGTCCAGGCGAACAAGCAACGACAAGCAGAGCGCACCAGAATCCAGTGATGGCGGCAATGGCGGTAACGGATCACATCAACACAATGAACATGATGAGCCACATCAGTCGCGGTATAGCCGATTTGTCGATCGGTTCGGGGCCCTCGAGCTGGAAAACAAGGGCAGCGTTGCGCGTGACCACTTAGCCTTAGGTATGGCACTTTGTTCTCACGAACTTCTTTCAAATCCAGTCTAATCCAAATCTACAGAGCGAACCTTTTTAGCTTGGATGCGCACATCCCTCGCCTTTGCCTCGATCGGTATCGCAGTCACCCAGCTCTTCCGTCTCAATACCACAACAGTCTCTACACATGCATACGGTCTTGATGTGACATCTGCGGGACATCCCGATATACTCTCTCCTGAATTCTCCTCATCTTCCATTAATACCGCTTCTGCATCCTCTCGTCTTCGGAGCGTTGGCAAACCCCTCGGCTCAACGTTTATCGGCGTTGCCATCCTTATCCTTATAATTGGCTTCCACCGTTACTTTGAGAGTCAGTACTGGATTGTCCGTGGCAAGTTCCCTGCTAGTCGAGGAAGCGTTGCATTGACTGCGTTCGTCGCGGCAGCGTTGATCATTGCAGCGTTGGCTGTTATTCTGGCCGTTTCTCCCGGGGCTATTGAGCAGTGATTTCGTTCCATTTGCATCTTCTCTCTGGTTAGTCTCGGCTGCCATTCTTGCATAATATTCGGTTTTTTTTTTCTCCCTCGAATTGTCTATATATCTGCTATGCCGTGCGTCGATTGAACACCTTTTGGCCCGCGTGATGAAAATAAAATGGGGGATTTCCACCTCAGGAGGTTTGGTATTCGAATCATGGTTTTATGTTGATAATCTTCTAGCTACGAGTTATCTTTTTGTCTATACCACAATATCTACTTACGACCCTCTCTGACGGATCTAGGGAAAATACACTGTGCCTAACTCAATTACCCCACGGAGGTACCACATAGTAAACTACTCCGTGTGCCACAGATGCAACAATTGGTCCGACCTAGAGCAAGGATGAGTACAAGGAGAGAATAACCCAGAAGAATATCAGCGATGGTGCCTTACCCAATGTATCCAATGATAAGTCGGAAATGATGTGGCCACATAGACACCAAAGCACCGAGCAGGATTCATGGCTACCGATTGGAGTGTGAGATGATATTATCCAATATCCATTGCCTCCCAGAGATTATCGGGGGCTATCACTTACAAGCACCAGCGAACCCAGTTCGCACAAACGCAGAGCCCCAGCTCAACGTCCCAAGTACCATTCCGACTAGAAACGGCGACAATGCCGCTCCATAGATCTTCCCTTGCCGCGGATCCAGTCCCACGCCGAATGACAAGAATATGAGAATCAAGCTGAATATGAACTCCAAGAGAAACGCTTCGTCCACGGGAACATCTGACAGATCAACTGCACAGCCTCCGCAGGTGAAATCTCTAGCTCCGTACGCCTTGCGGAGTATAAACCCAGCGAGAGCGCCGCCGAGTGTCTGGCAAGACACGTAGATAACCATTCGTGGGAACGAGATCAGACGCGCGAAGAAAGTAGCTACTGAAATCGTCGGGTTGAGGTGACTACCGCTGACGTTGGAGAAGGAGAAGATGAATAGCGTTAGAAAGAACCAATTGCTTATACCGCCGAACAGAGGACCCAGGAAAGTCGTCGTAGAGTAGACTCCTGAAGGCGAAGACGGTACGGCACTTGAAGAGCCCGGGGGGCGTATAGAGACCCAAGCCGTGACGAATACCATCAGCATGGTACCTGAGTCGATGTATCAGTAACTTGTTCACTGCTTGCATCGCGATCGCAGGGCAAAGTGTGAGTGTCCCGCTAACTCACCGATCATCTCAATAAAGCCGAATCTCCACAGATCTAGGTCCCCAAAACCGCGCAAGTCGGTTCCTTCACGGAAGGACATCAGAGGAGCCGCATCTGGGATTTTCTTGAGAAGATCTGCATTTTGGGGGTCACTGCGATCGACGACTATCTCTTGATTGCCGCCGATTCGTCCGGCGAAGGGTTGGATGACTGGTTTAAGCCGCGACATTTCGTACGTTGTCGGCTGCTCCACGTCTGATTGATAGCTGCGTCGCGTCTCCTCAGGTAAGAGAGCCATGGGTTGTGAGAGATTCGGTGAGAATGAATGCCCGATTGCTATGTCTGGGGGCTGTCGCTGCGCGTAAAAGGCTAGGAGAGGAACAATTGTCCTTGTCCTTGCATCAATTGGAATGAAAGAAGGACAGACTACAGACTGGCGGTTCAACCTGAGTACGAAATCTTTGGGCAAGATTTTGTCTCAAGAGCAGGGCCGCTTCGGATAGCTCGAGTGGAGAAGGTAAGATTTTAGTAAGGCTTACTTGACCACACGAATCCCGGCCGGGAACGGCATTCCACCAAAGCTCGACCAGGATAATATACGCCGGCTACTTTCCAAAGGGAGATATTGAAGCATAGAGAAATCATTGAATTGTCCACTTAGGGCTAAAGGTAAGGTTTTTTTGTGAACAATTAATTCCTAACCTTTTTATGAAAATTTATACCGTGAACTCTTAATTTACAGACCCGGTCGCTAGCACGTAGCCACCATCGACAACGATGGTCTGCCCATTCAAATACTGATTTGAAGCCGTGAACAGCACGGCTCCAGCCATATCCTCATCCTTTCCAGGACGCCCAGCGGGAACCTTACCCTCATACTTTTCTTTTTCAAGCGAGCTTTTCTGCTTGTCATCACTCTCCTTAGCTGTCATTTCCGATGGGAAAACTCCAGGGGCGATATTGTTCACTCGAATCTTGACACCCGAGTCGGCAATCTCGTGAGCGAGCATCTTGGTCAGATGAATGGCAGCCGCCTTGCTTGCATTATAGGCAAAGTGATGCTGCGATGCTTTGATAATTCCAGAAATTGAAGAAATGTTGATCACAGTGCTAGACCATCCAGGCGTTTTCTCGGTGCTCTTACTGAGCAAGGGCAGGAAGGCGGTGGTGACGAAGAATAGTTGCATCACGTTCGTTCGCATGACATCCTCCCAATCGCTGACTTTGCTTGTATTGTGGAAGAGCTCTTGCTGGAGTTCTTTGGGGTCTTCGCGGTCGGTATCCTGCTTTGCAGAGCTGATACCGGCATTATTGATGAGGATATCCAGCTTGGACTCCTTGGCCGAGATCTCATCGACCAGCTTCTGGATTGACTCCTTCGATGTGACATCGGCGGTAATTGCGACGATTTCACCGGAAATATCCTTTCCGTAAAGCCCCACGACACGGTCGAGCTTCTCTTTCGTACGGCCAGTGATGTAAACCTTGGCGCCATTGACGGCCAACGATTGAGTGGCCATCAAGCCAATACCTGATCCACCGCCAGTGATTAGGGCAACTGTTTGAATAGTTAGACAAAGCCGTATACATCCAGATGTGGACCAACTTGGCAGAAAACATACCCTTGCCCTTCATACCAAAGAGATTCTCAAGCTTGAAGCTTGCGTTATTAACTTGGGACGACATTGTGGTACGTATTGGAATTTGAAAATTAATCTCAAGAATGCTGAACTTCAAATAGGTAGTCTAAATCACTGGTTGGGCGGGTTTAACCGTCATTTATATCAAATTCTCGTCTTCCGTTCTGCATTCTTAGTGGCGGAACTACAGACTTTTCGACGGTGATAGCAGGTATATCGACCCCACAATGAACCCCACTATCTCTCGAACCCTGACTTCATGATGACAGTCGGCCTATGGGGTAATTCTTGATTTCCATAATATCAGACTGGCCGTCCTCGGCCTGTTAGCTGCAACAGATTCAGGTTTCTGCGAGTGTAACAGTTCACTGGCCCCGTGTCAAGATTGAGGTGCCAACGAGCCTGCTGTGTGACGTCGGCTCAGGGTCTCAATGTCGAGACAGTACCCGAGCGTAGAACTATTTTAATGAATTAAGCTCGGACGATCATTTCAGGAGAGATTCTAGGCACAAGAATTGTGATGGTCTACGCGGCCCGGGAAGCCGAAGCAGGTCACAATACTCGTCTTACGATCATGAACAGCCTGAATTCGAAGTTATCTGGATGATTCTATCGCTGCATTATTGAGGACGATTTTAGGCCTGTGTACAGTCATTGATCATAATTCTCTAGGTGCCATCTCATCCTGCCTTTGTAACCTGGGAATCAAGCTTGTACCGCTACCATCCCGGCAAGGCCCTAAATAGAAGCAGCGATGTTAATTCAGTATTGAACATGGAATATTATTTCGGGGGCCTTCTGATCATTGGAGAAAATTGTGCGGAAAAAAATCGATGTTCACATTTACGAACAATGTTGGTGTCAGATACGAATTACGTCATAGTGAAGTCAACCGTGCAATCAGCTAACTAGAGTTTACATTTTTGGCTATCAAGAACATCAAATCTTTAATTGAGCGATTCGTGATTTGTCATAACTAGCTGGTAACAGATCGAATCAAAGAAACCAAGTCATGCACAATATCAGAATTTCTCGCGAGTATCCCTCGAATACATATCGAGTATCGAAACACACAAGATTTGTGGCGTTGATGCTCCTTATGTATTCTGGGAATGGTAAGATAGTCTTGCTAGAGACACACGACATGGAATATAGATTCATTTCAACCTATGATCTCCGTTGGAAATAATTTAGCCATTAACAACGACTCCACCATTGGGATGCAAAGACTGGCCAGAGATAAAGCTGCTATCCTGGCTAGCAAGGAATACAAAGCATGTTGCGACCTCGCTAGGCTGACCTGGACGACCCATGGGGGATCCACTGAACTGCTCCTGCGCAGAGGTATTCATAGTGGCCGGAATAAGCGGTGTCCAAACTTTTTCTGCGTTAGTTAAGGGTCATATCACGGGAATTGGATTGACATACTCGGTCCAGGGCAGACGCAGTTCACCCTGATGCCGTTCTTGATCTGCTGATTCGAGAGCCCTCGAGTAAAGGCCACTATCGCTCCCTTCGTGGACGTATAGTCGAGAAGATCCGGCCGACCGATGTAAGCGTTGACCGAGGCGCAGTTAATAATGGTTGAGCCATTCTTCATGTGAGGAAGCGCATATTTTGAGAGATAGAAGAAGGGGTGGATGTTGGTGTCGAATGTCCGTTCCCATTGATCGCTATGCAAGGCGTGAGTATCATTATCACAGGCATCAGGCAACTAAAAATGAACATACTCATCCAGATCTTGAATATCCTCGACCATGTTTTGGTAACCATGGTTATTCACCAGCGTATCGATGCCACCCATGGTTTGAAGAGCCGTGTCGACCACCTTTTGGCAATTCTTCTTATCCCGCAGATCGACGGCGAGAAGATGAACCTTCTGCCCCAGTTCCTCTACACGCCGCTTGGTCTCTTCCGCGTCTGACTCTTCCTCGGGCAAGTACGTGATCAGGCTCGTTGCGCCTTCCATTGCGAATAGAAGGGCAACGGCTCGTCCGATACCCGAGTCTCCGCCCGTAATGATTGCCCTCTTGCCTGTCAGTTTTCCTGCTGCTTTGTAGGTTTGGTATCCATTGTCCTCGGTCGGGAGTTGTGTTGATGTAGGCTTTGGATCCCCTAGTTCGCTCTGCAAGCCAGGCTTCTCAAGATGTTGAACGGGGACTTCGTGACCTATTCACAGTCAGGAATGCCAATGCTCAATTTCTCTCATATTGATTTTAGACCTACCAGGCTGGAACTGGGATTGAGGCCCTTGAGATCCCCTTTCAGTTGACTTGTGCATCGTTGCAAAAAGAGTTCTGTTTCAAAAATATTGTAATGGACTAGTTGAGTCGTAGGCTAAAGGAAGTTGATTGGAGCCGTTCTTTGAACTTGAATAAGGAAATCGAAGAAATTAGAGCTTGATATAGATCTATTTAAGTCTGATATGGCATTTTTCAAGTATTTTCGTCAGCGTGACGTCCATCAATCTTGGGAAGGAATTCAGTTTTTCAAGATTATTGAACGGAGTGGGTCCATTATTGAGCGCAATACTAGCGACACGCACCAGCCTGTTAAATAATGCCAAGAAATCATATTACTTGTATTCAAGCACTCCAAATCTAGATCTAGACTCCATAAACCATTCTACAGACACAAAATACCACTAAATATCGTGAGTGACAAAGCTGTTGTCTCATTGAACCCAAGGCCGTCGACCAGCACATGTCAGTGTGTAACAATTGAGCTGATCACACCTGACGCTTCTGCTTGCCACACTTGGTCAAGCACTCCTCGACCTTGATCAACATATTCGCCGGGATAGCATGTCTCACTTTATCGATATCCTCACCCGCAATGCTCTGCCCGAATGTTGCAGCGACAACATCATCGCTAAAGGCAAAGGTCTGGTCCGCGACCAAGAAAAATCCCGGGTCCTCAGATGTGAAGGCTGCCGTGAAGTTGGCAGGCCCACAGTCCGGATTCACCTGTGTGTGGAATGAACCGGCCGGAAAGATGGTCAACATGCCCTGGCTAAGTTCTTCACGGATAACTCGTTGGTTCCCCTTAGAGTCAACCACGCCTCCTTCTGGAACCATTTCAGAGAGCACGCGGCCAGAGTTGATGGCAAAGAGCTCGGTAGCACGAGGATGGAGGTGAACAAAGCTCATGCTGCATGCTATTCATATCGTTAGTATTACCTGGGATATCCAGTGAAAGCTATCATACCTGGCAATTGTGAAACACTGAAAGATGCGCCAGTGCCAACGAGCGCAGGAAAATTCTTGTGGTTGGCCAGCGGAAGTTCAGCGTTCTTGTTGAAATCGAAGACAAAATCTTCATCCTTCGGCAGGAGCTGATAGCGCTCGGCAGCACTGAACAAGTCAAACATTAGTATATTCTATTTGAGTGAGAGCATTGCAACTTACGTATCTGCGAGTCGCAGCTGAGCTGTCAAGCTGAGGTCTGTTGTAGCACGCTCGAGCATTTGATGAGGCGCTGCCTCTGCCTGGAGAGCTAGAGCGAGGGCACAGGCAAGGACAGAGCTGATGGTGAATTGAGGAAACATGACGATGTTCACTTGATGATTGTTCGTGAGTATTTCACAGAAGAAGTTGCTTATCTAGTTGGGGATGTTTGATGTTAGATGGTTCAGAGGAGAGGGCGATGGAGATCCTTATATACGGCACTTCTTCAACCTCATAGTTCATTTTGAAGCATCATTTCACGACTAATTCCAAATATCTTTCTACTCTTCACAGATGACTGAGCCTCACTTGCTTGGCACAGAATATTCCATGGTTATTTTCTCAAGCGCACCACTCAGCCCAAAGCTCAGCCTCATTCAGGCACCATCTTCATGACAATTCCCTCATATGAGTGAGTCAGAGAGTCGTATACAACATAGGACGATGAGCAAGGAAAGTGACTCCACTGCCAAGAGCATCGATCTTGCCCTGGTAAGAAAGATAATAATACTCGGGCGCGGTTGTTGCCAAGAGCATCAGCCCCAGAATCCAGAATGAGAATATGGATTGCCTTTCAGAGGCGATGGAAGTTCGAATCTCTCAAAGACCCTAGAGCTTTTGAGTTGACAAATCAACGATGGCTGAGACTAGAATGAAATTTCCAAATCGAACAGCCAAGAGAGTGCTCTGTCCGTCTGGGCGGCGGCTGTCGTATTGGTCGTATTATGCAATCCAGCTGGAGCGTATTCACAATACGACCATGTGAGTCTGACAGCGAGATAAATGCAAAGTGTATCCACGTGGTTAATACAGATCGACAGGTTTGCGGATTCATACGGCTCTTAGAAACGCAGTTAGGCGACTATCGTTGTAGTCGATGGTTATGTTGATTTGTGGCACATTTTAGGTGGGATTTTCTTATGCGACCAAGATACCGTTGACCATTCACCAACTACGAGGTCTTTCGAAGCAAGCATGCAGTAGCTTCATGAGCGTTGAATTAAATCATTTGAATTCAAAGGATGAAGATAAGGCCGCGGGGAATCCCGGTAGACTTCTAGACTGATGGGCCCAATTCCAGCTTGACCATATACATGCTCTGGGGCCACCACGTCTCTTTATCGTCCCTCACTTGATGAAAGAATTCCTGCGTCTTCATCAAGAAGACTACTTGTCCCAACTCCCATTGTCCAATACCACCAATCCACCACACTCCGTCTAACAGCATGACTAAAACCAGCCAATGAGCGAAAATATCCATGGCCAAAAGTTGCGTCGCATCAAGCGGAGGGGTTTCAATCTTTGGCGAGTCTCGCACTATCCCATTCTCAGTTGGACTTGCCTCTGTGATTGGCAAATCCAGTATTGATTGGATAATGTTGAGGTACTCGGAAGGAGCTTCGTTCAAAAAGGACATTACGGTCCGTCGGAGTGCCCTGGGTGCTTTCATTGATGTCACACTAATCATGTATTTTGCAACCCAGGGCGAGACCTTGGGAGATCCGTCAAATGGGGGTATTTCATGCTCGAGATCCTTGGCGCTTTCACATTTGTCTTTTCGAGACAGGGCAGCGGATGCACATTTCCTGAGGATAGGCAAAGTTTTCAGACACACGTCAAGGTCTCGAAGGTCGGAGTTGAAAGACGCTATTCTCCCAACATGAGCTGATATGGAATCGGCTCTCTCCGAAAGTCTTCCAAAAGCTCGATTATACGTGGATACGACTAGAGGAAGAAATAGGCGCTCTGTTTCCTCGGAAGGGCCGTTTTGTGGCAACAAGACATTCGTGCTGCTCAAATCTATATGCGGAAAGTCTTGTATAGAAGATGTTGTCTCAATGCCATCATGATGGACTCCCTTCGAAGCATCAAAGACATCTTTAAGAATCGCGGTGGAGGCTGTATGTGCTGCACGTGTGAATGAGATCCACTGTGAGTGTTGTGGAAGCAGCTCAGCTGGTAGCCGCTGGCCTTTTTGTTTTGCTGTGGCTGCGAGATATACTCTGATGGAGTGACTTGCCGAGGCGTATAATACCATCAACGCGGCATTAGCAAGGACTTCGTCGTACCAATTTGAGTCAGAGACGGTGGCTTGGATATGTTGAAGAGAAGCCCTGTGATGGCGCTCGGCAAGTTCCAGAAGTTCCTGAACCTCAAACAAGGTCTGGTTGTCCAGGGGTACTTTAGATTTATTGACAATATCATGGGACTTGCACGCTGCTGCCAAAGCTATTAGGGACGACATGACTGGCTCGTTTTTAAAGGCGAGGTTTGGTATTCCTATAGAAAGAGCGTAGAGATCCAGAGCGTCGAAGGGGATGGTTTTGCTAGTGTGTGTGAGGTAATGACTCAAAAGATCGAGGTCTCTGGCATCAAGAAAGCCTAGAGATCTTGAAACTGATGATTGTGGATCTTCATATCGGATTGAATGTGGAGAATACGGAAGAGGAGAGGTTTGAGAAGAAGCGTAATGCAAAGAGCTAGAATTTGAGAGGCGATCGTCCGTAGGTGTGATTGGCCCTTCGGAGGCAGCAAAAGCAGATCCATGACTCAGGGTTGGGACTTGCAGAGTCCCAGTTGTCCTTACTGGAAGGTCATGTTCATCCGATGATGAAGAAGCACCTGCAGAACCTTGATACCGACAACTATAGCTGTGCTTGGCACATCTAGAGCAGCTCGGTCTCAACTCATCGCACTAGATCATGCAATAAGAATCTGGGAGAGCCTGCAAATTCATATAGGAGAGGTATGACTTACCTTCTTTCTTTGCTGCTTGCATCTGAAGCAGCCATTCCTAGATTTTGCGTGTGCTCTTCGGACTCTCAGACCTGTCGTCTGCAGATCCGATCGGGTCGTACCGCCAGGCATGTAGTTGTTTGCACAAGACGATAGTACAGGGAAGGATGATCGTACCGATACGGTAGGTGTTACTCTAAAACCTCCGAGCGTATTCGTCTCAAAGGCCCCAGGTCCCCTTTTCAAGGATTGCGACGAGGGTTTGAACTAATTATCCTCGGGCTTTTTACTATCCAGCTGCGAGGCTGAGCAGTGGCCCCCAGCCCCACTTGCGCTGATGATTTGGAATAACGCTTGAGGAAGAACCACCGGGTGCATACGCTTTCTTGGCGTAATCAAGTACCGAATCTGGACCAAAAGGTTTCGTCTGTCGTATTTGAACCAAGGGTGGAAATTGGGGGCCGTCCATAAGTCCCGTCGCTCGTATATACTCTTGACATGCTGGCTGGCCGACTTCAAAGACAAAATTGAGCTGTGTATGCTGCTGTCATGACAATCATACAAATCGACGAACTCTGAGATAAAGGTGAAGACGCCTAAATGATGCGCGGCAAGTTACTGTCGAATCCGACCAGGTCTCTCTCCCAGACTTATCATTTCAACATTCGATGCATCAACGATCTATTCCAGCAGAATTTCCCGACCCTACCCTACAAGGATCAGCAAGGATCAGCAAGGATCAAGCTTTTCGATAAAATATTTCTTTCTTTTCTGTCAAAGCCCCAGAATCCGCCCACAAGTCTAGGCACAATACTATATCAGAGGCAGGAGACACGCGAAACAACGTGATTGATAGGAAGGATATCGACAAGGTCGGCCAAGGGGGCGAGGAACGAAGAATTGGGACGTAGGAATCGGGCGACACGGCTTGCAGACAATGCGGGAAGAGTGCGAAGCAGAAGAAAATGAATCAAACCAATAAGAAAAACCGCCTAAGTACATATCGCTTTGCTTTAACGGGGGCCAAGCTTGGCCAGCGCGCGAGCACCTTGTTCCTCCCACTCCTGCTTGGATACCCACATGTCGTCCTTGTCGGCGATCTATTGTTGCGCATGTTAGCATGTAATTCGCCGGAAAGGAAAATGTGATGATGATAACCTACCAGGTTGGCGAGGACAGCACCACCCAGGAAGACCATGTGCCTCCGTCGTGGGGGATCTTCGATGCGGACCTTGAATTTCTGTGGCTGTGTTAGTTCTGACAAGCAAATAGTTTCATTAGACTTGTAATCTCGTCAACATACGTTCAGACGCTCTGGGTTGCCGCCCAGGACTCGGGTGAGCCAGAGCTGCTTCAGCTCCTTCTCCAAACGCGAAGGCAGACCAGGGTACATGCTGCTACCACCGCTGAGCACAATAGCCTTGTATAGACTGGATCGAATGTCGACATCGGTGCCTTGGATAGTGTTGAAGAGCAGCTCAGCCATACCGGGCTGATCAACATCCACCAGGTGGGGCTGGAAGAGACACTCGGGGGCCTCGAATCGCTCACTACCAACACGAATGACACGGCCGTCGGGGAGGGTGTAGGACTCGACCAGAACAGTGGTATCCTCGGACAGCTTCTTGTCCAGCTCGAGGTCGTAGGAAACGTAGCAAAGCTTCTCCTTGATCTGGCGGACGGTCTCGAAATCGGCGGTTCGGTTCAGCGCATAGCCGCGGCGCAGGAGAAGGGCAATCAGGTTACGGGTGACATCACGACCAGCGACGTCCAATCGCTTGATGTGGTGGTTCAACACGGTTGACTCGTAAACGGGAATAACGTGTGTCACACCGTCACCGGAGTCAACAACAACACCACTGCTCAGACCTAGAAAACCAATACAATCAGCACTTCCGTCTCAAAGTGTGGATTATCTCCTCCGGGGCAATTCTTCCATACCCTGGGCATAGAGTGCCAGCACCGCCTGGATCGCCACATAAACACCTCCGAAGTTATATCCCTCCAGCATGACCTCGGCCATCTGTTCGCGGTTCTTGAGCGGGTTCATCGGTGGCTCCGTAAGGAGGATCTTCCGTCCCGTGGGATCGATCTTCAGCTTGTCGTAAAAGGTGTAATTCCACAGGTGTTGCATGTCATCCCACTTCTTGACGATACCATTCTCCATCTAAAACATCACCGCAAGGGGTTCATTGTCAGCGACATGCTCGTGCCTACCCTGCGGAGAGGGAGGGGGCGGGGTATTCGAAAGCCAGGCTACGAGGATTCACCTCCCAAGGCCAGACGTACCGGATAGCTGATTTGAAGCATCGACCGCGCGGCGGCGGCTTCTTCACCACACATGATATCTTTGACCACAATGTCGCCAGCCTGCTCCTCCGTTCGCAAGATGGGCCGCCCCACTATCGAGGGGAACTGGTGCTCTGGGAAGTTCTAGTGAAGGCGAAAGAGTCAGTTAGACGCTGCTATCATGATGAATCGGTGTGCGACGTACCTGGCCAGCATATCCGACCTTGAGGAAACCGGTTCCTCCGTCGAGCACTACAGCCTGTTAGCTTGGGGGAGCTGGGAGGGACACGCGGTCTGCCAGGGTGAGGGGAGTTACCAATGGGCACGTCCGCCATGATGAACGAATGTGAAAAGCAAGCGCCGTTGAAAGTTGTTCTGTGCACTTATCTCCAAGGCAAGGGCAATTGGAGGAGCGTCGGGGCGCGGAGGTGGAGGTGTTGGGGTTGGAGTTGATGTCGGTAAGTCGAGTTACTGTCGCCTGGGCATCATCATCGTTATTTACGTGACCGTACCGTACCTCTTCCGCTCCCCGCATTTGGGGCGCAATGGGGATTAAGTCAGTCTCATTACATAACGTGACTGTGTCCACAGCATCTGTCAATTCAGACATACATAGCTCAAGATAGGGATTTGTGCAATATTCAAATATCATATTGAATTGATAGATTGAATAATTGGATGGACTTGTTGGATTCGTTTAGCCGTTATAGTGGCAGCCTGAGGCAGAACACATAGGTACAGTGGGCGGCCATCCTGCACCTATCAGACACATAGGGGATCTAGACCCTGGAAATAGTACAAACTCGGGGTACTCGCATTTAATCGCATTCAAAAGGACACTATCGGCCCGATTTTTAAAATCTCCAGTGCAAGGGAACTACTAGCCTCTTTGGTAGACGTCTACATCTCCTATCGGCCGATTCCGATACCCTCGGAAAAGGAACACGCTCCACCCTCTTCACTTCTGCATTGATGCGTCAAGAACAGCTTCTACGCACTATCAATCGATTGATAGACACCAATTGGGCTGATTAAACCCGTGTGAGCTCCGCTAAAACGTCTCAGAAGCTGTTCTGGTGGTTTGCCAATAGCAAGGCCGTTCCACATCACCGGCCTTTCCCGACTCAATAGCACCCAGCAAGGAGCCAGCAACACAATGACACAAATCGGCTGGGTAAGCTAGATCTAGATCATCCGAATTCCACATGCTCGGCCATTTTATTGAAACTTGGAAGCTAACATATGACCAGTATGGCCTTGGGTCCATGGGCCTCGCCATGGCCAACAACCTGCAGCGACACCTCGCCACCAAAAAGGCCCTAAGCCTACTCTACTCCAACCGCACCATGTCTCGCGGCAGCCCCCTCCAGACTCTAGGTGGTATCCCAGAGCCTAGCTTTGATAAGCTAGTCTCCCGCTGCGGTATCATTTTCACCATGGTACGCATCACGCCTCCAATCAGCATGAATCCAACGTTGCACCTCTCTAATTACATCCCCAGGTCTCAAATGACACTGTCCTCCAAAGTCTGATCTCGTCAGCTATTGACTCAGGCCATTCTCTCAGAGACAAGATCTTTGTAGACTGCTCCACTGTTCATCCCGAGACTGTCAGCTCGGCTGTAGCTCAGCTCAAGGCTAAGGAAGCCTCGTACGTCGCGGCACCCGTCTTTGGGGGTAATCCTATTGCCGTTGATGGAAAGTTGGTGTTTGCTATCGGTGGTCCTAGGGGTGCGACTGAGATTGTTAAACCCCTGATTCAGGATGTTATGGGTCGGAAGGTTATTGAGTGTGGGGAGGATGCTACGAAGTCTTCATTGCTGAAGATTGCAGGGTATGTTTTACCAGCGTGCATATTATATATGCTGAAAATTGGACGGTTTCGCTAATACATCCACGCAGAAACATCATTACTGTGAACATGATGGAAGCGGTTGGTGAAGCCCAGGTTTTCGCAGAAAAGACCGGTCTTGGAACCGGTCCAATGGAAGAGTTGATCGGCGAAGCCTTTGGTCCCGTAGCCGGTGGATATTCTAAGAGGTATGTATTTCTGGAGGGTATGCGCTCCCTCAAACCAGATACTAACGTGTGCTAGATTGACTACCGGCGCCTATGCTCCGTCCCTCGATGCCCGCCCCGGGTTTGGTGTCTCTCTAGCCATCAAGGATGCCAGGCACGCCATGTCGATGGCCGAGGAGCAGGGTGTCAAGCTTCCTGCTCTGGAGTTGGCTCGCAAGAATATGGAGGCTGCCCGCGAGTATGCTGGTGAGTGTCTCGACAGCAGCTCCATGTATGGAACCTTGCGGCAGCAGGCTGGCCTTCCATTCTGGAACGAGAAGAGTCGGCAAGAGTAGAGAAAGCCGATTGTAGTTTTAAGAGGGCATCCTGTGCCATGACAATAGAGTAATTTTTACTTTCATTCAAGTATGTCCTGTCCTTGTGATCAATATCGAAATTTAAAAGGAAACCAAAAAACCCCAGCCCGCTAATTGCCTCACCCATCCAGACCATCCATGCTAATTGAAGCAATTACAAATTCCATATCAGAAAGAAACACCATTAAAAGAGTTTATCAAGTCCAGTACTATGCACCGTCTTACAACGACATGCCCGAAAACAGACCGAGTCCAGCTTGGTCCCCTAAAAGCAAAGGCCAACTATATCGGAGTCGAGCAATGCGGTTTACCCGGCTCCGGTCTGATTCGCGTAGTATCAACCAATCCGGGGTACGCCTCTGCAAAGTGCGGACCCAGAGACCAATTGCTGAGGCTCCGCATGTGGCGTTCAAAGACGGGATTGATGATAAGTTCCTCTGAGTCGCCGGCTGATAGCAAGCAGTCGGTAGCTTCGTAGGGCCAGTTCACGTCCATGTCTCGTGTGAATGGGATGAACCAGTTCTCAAACGGGTAGTCCCGGTGGGACGTCACCAGTCGGTCTCGCATTCGAGGCCACGGAACGTAGTCCATCCATGGGGGATGGGCTTGAAGCAGCTGCGTAGGACGTGGTGTCAGCCACTCAGGTAGTCGATCGTAGTTCTCTTGCGTGGGATAGATTTGCCAGCGCATCAAGAGGAACATTGTGTAAAGCACGGCGACCTGCACAGGGAGAGCGGAGATATCAGGGAATGTGCGCAAAATATCCGTAAAGACTTTGGAGAGAGGATGTGAGTGTGCACTCTTCTCAGGGTTCAGTAGTGAAGAGACACTTGGGTAGGGTGGTCCCACGAGCTTCTGTCGCGGAATCCCTTCCGCGGCTTCACGTTGCCGGTTGTGAAGGAAGTCAAGCAAAATGCTATCCAGGGTACATGTAGGTCCTGAATTTCTGATAGGAGTTGCATAAGCCGGTATCTGATCGGCTGGATAATGCAACTGCTGCATGAAGAGCGGCGCTGGCGAGGGTTGAGCAGAACGGAAGTTCTCTGAAGTGCTCCGTCGCAGTCGGTCAACTTTTGGGACATTCTGCGAAGGATCGAGGAGGAAATTAAATCCTAGCCGCTCCTCTGTGCCTAAGTCTAATCCATGAGCGATGTTATGCCGTTGGGAGTCGAGCGCGGCACGGAATGCAGCCGGTTGGAGGGTTCCATTGTGACTATTGCGTCGGCTGCCCGAAGCCGATCCGGATTGAGTGGGGGAGGGTGTGTCGGCGCTGGTCACAGACTCGGCATATAGTCTATCGCCTTGAGCCGTAGATTGGTTGTTTGTGTTTATGTGGTCGCTTTCGGGGAAAGGAGGGGTTTGGGATACTGGGGGGATCGATCTCGGTTGGGTGAGGACGGGAGGGAGATCTGTTGAAGTCAGCTATGGTTCCCATGTGTCATAGATAGCGGGAAATTCTACCTGAAGCCTCTGGTCTAGCTAGCAAGGGCTGTATGATGTCCATGACCGACTTTAGATGTTGGCGAAGCTCCCTGTTCTCCGATCGGATGCGCTCATTGTGCTGAAGTGCAGCCTGCAGGTCCAAGACCGGTTTCTGCGATGCAAGATCCCGAACCTGTTGCTCAAGAGTCTCGATATGAGACTTTGTGCGTTCGCGAATTGCACGCTGTGCCTGCCGATCATTCGCACGCTTTTTCGCCAATTGATCGGGTGTGAGATTGGCCACGCCTCTGGACGAGGTGCTGTTCAGCTTGCGCTTCCGCCCCGCGGTCGTCGGCCCATTGCCCTCGACGTTCTCACTGATAAGGCCCTCTGCACCCAGTGAGGTCGACCGGGAGGGAATGGGTGAATCTTCCGTCTTCGGAATCGTGGTGGATGGATATGAGGCGCCCTCGATCATCGCCTCGATCGGCGGCGAAGGCGCCGCATAATTGAACGATCCGCCCAGTGCGTGGTTGGACATCGCCTCATACACGCGCGCGCTCGTAAAGCTCGCAATTGACGGCCATCCGCAGAGGGGGGGAACGTGAGATTATTAGGGGCACAGCAGGAGTCGACTAGTCAAGTCGAGCACAGGAAACGGCATCCGGGGGACGTTTGGTGTTGGCGTTCAGGGTGGGTCGAGGTGCTGAGAGCGTCGGTTCCAAAGATTTGGGGCAAGTCAGCTTTACCCAGCAGGTTGACTTTGATTCGGCAGGTCGAGGTTCGGGCATTCCCCGCAACCTTGTAGGACCGTTTGCCAAATTCACCACTGATTGTCGACTTGATGAGAACTTTAATCACCACTTTTACCGTCCTGGACGAAGTACAGTAGCGATTTCCTTCCACACAGAACTCCACTCCCTCGCGATTACTACGAGTCATGGACATCAATGATCTGCGGAATCTAGCAGTCTTGGGGAGGCTCAGACACGAGCTCTATCTCCACTCTCAGCTCAGAGGAGAGACATGCAGCCTCCGTCTTACTCAAAAGTCAATAATAGAGTTGTGCACGAGGTCTCCTGAGCATAAAATGCCAACATATTCCATAGACTTCATAACGAAGATAGATACAGCGGGTCATCACCATAATACCACACCTTCGCATATGTATCGCATAGAATAACACCATGTAGAGGGCCGGTTTGTCCGAATGGAACTATGCAAGGAATATAATGACAATGATGAAGGGGGAAAAAAAGAAAAGAATGGTCATGTCGATCGTGTGTACAAGGATGCGAAACATTCCCAAAAAGAAAAGGGACACAAAAAAGAATCACGCCCACCAAAAACTCCCTGGCAGATAAACAGACAATTGAACGTCGGCAACTGATCTCACCAAATATGAGAGCGAGAAGCCGATACGGAACGACGAAGAAACTTAATGAGAGTGCCAAGTCTATCGATTATTGGATCATATGGCCCATTTTTGAAATCTGCCGAGAAAGAGCCGTGTTAGCAAAAGCGTGTTTCCAGCTGTCCACATAATTTAATTGTTCAACGGTCCATCGATCATCCCCCTGTCGGCTTCGTTGGAAAGGAGTATCTTCGGCGAAACAAAACTAACCTTAGTTCTCAAGTAGCCTTCAATCTCGGAACTCTTGATCCCGCGTTCCCCGCCTGTCCGCCACGCCAATGGAATCATAGGAACACGCTCCTTTACCAACACTTCACGGTTAGGTCCTTCTATCGCCCGCACCTTATCGGGGTTATTCGTAAGCAGGCGCACGCCATCAGGATTCACGTCTGCGCCGCAGCCAAGATCCATCAGCATCGCAGTGGCTAAGCCATAGCTCCGGGCATCGGCCGGATGGCGTAGCAGAAGATTCGCCTCGACAGTGTCGGACCCGAGGTCTTGCAGATTGTAGGCCTTCAATTTCTCACCCAAGCCAATACCTCGGCCCTCTTGTCGTAGATAGATAATCACACCTCCGGCAGATTGTGACCGCAAGGACTGCGTCTCGGGAGGGGCATTAGCCGAAAGATCCTCGACCGGGAAGGACATCAATCGCGCAGCTTCGTCCAACTGCTCACCACAGTCGCATCGAGCAGACCATGCCGTCTCGCCCGTATAACATTCCGAATGAATCCGAACCAGCGGGGGTTCCATGCGTGAACCCGATGCCGATTCCGTGTTCTTGTCGTCATCGTACCAACTGCTAGTTCGCCCGGGATGCAATTTGCCAACATATGCACCTCGGATCATGCGGTCCATCTCGGTTTCGCCGGGTCGAACACGATCCAAGCTCCGACTGCGGATATTGCATCCAAAGACGATGGCCAAGTGCTCCTTATTATCGATATCGTTGTGGTAGAGATGCAGGAACATCTCCGCACCGTTGGTGGTTGGAATACGGGCCCGGACGATACATTCCACATTGGGCAACTGCTCTAGCAATTTGGGTGCTTTCTTGTGTTCTCCCTGGTGTCGAATGCTCGCGGCTTGGATGTCGTGCAAGAACTGTGTCGGGTTGGAAGTGAGGTTCAATGTGCCACCGGGAGTCGCGGGTGGGGTAAATGCTGGCGATAGAATCGAATTCGGGAGGGCAGGAGTTTGTTCGCCTGTCGCGATACCGCTTCCCTGACTCTCATCGTCGAGCAGGTCGTTTGGTCGGTCGGTCGGCATAGGAGAATGCGGGGCGAGTTTAGGAGAGGCGTGAGCCGGGAGATCCGCCATTGCGACGGTTGGCGAGGAGGAGAGCTACTTCGGCGAGGACTTGAGAAATCAATTTGAATGTGTCAAGTCTAGGGTTCAAGAACAGAATGACATCCAGGGAAATCTTGTCGGAATTATTGCGGTGGCACCGACACCTGCATGGCGTCAATTATTCCCTCGGCCCCGGAACGGATGAGGGGCAGCTGAGTCATTACAGTCAGTGCTTACTCTAGCAGCTTCCATCGCTTATTCGAGGGTCCGATAAGCGCGGTCTGGATGCTGGATAACTGCAGACGAGTTTACAGTACTACATGGTCAAATATGATAGCTTTAACTGAAAAGAAACCTCCTTTCAAATAGTAATCTTCATTTCTTCATTCGCAGAGGTAATTCCCAGGACCAGCGCGTATCCCATTTAGTCACCGGGAATCCCTCAAACTCCAAGTAGCGCCTCGCTAAGGGTATCATTATCACATCAGATCATCGAACTATTGCTGGCTGGCCACCCTCTTATTTATTGGGAATGTCCAGAACAAATCGTCGCTCGGTTTCCATCTCTTTGTCATCTTCCTCGCCTTCAAACTTAAGGCGGTATGTATCTTTCTTGGATCCCATCACCTCTGCCCGATAGAAAGTAGTGGTGTCGGGGTATCGCGCTAAGACCTGCTTACCAACGGGGAAGGAAGGCAAAGGGGCACCAGCGTGTGGAATAGGGATAAGAGACGATGCAGTAGTCTTAAAGACAGCACCCTCCTCGCCGTTTTCATTGGGTTCGGGGTCTTGCACATCGTACCATCTATGGCCAGCCGAGTTAGTTGCGGGTATTCATAGAGCTGTATTAGGGTATGAACGTACCGTTTCTTATGCCCATCCCCCGAGATATTCTTGATAATGCACTGGATTCCCTCGCCTTCTACTCCCTGTTTATTCTTGTTATGTTTGAAGACCACCAGTGCTCCAACTACGAGCAGACCGCTGCGCTCAGCCATAGTGCCTTTCGTCCCTTCAGACCCTTCTTCAATCTTTACCGCAACTCCATCACTCCGGGCATCGCGCGCCTGGTTGCTGGAGACACTCGTGCTTCGGGGTACACCGCCCTTGGAACGACTGGTTTTGTCCACACCCGACGCACTCGGTGAGTCGGTAGCCGAGCTCTCAATTTCGCTTCGTTTCTTGCGAGACTTATTCAGGGTGGATGATCGATTCGGCGGAGCTTCTGCTTCTGATGCTTTGCGTAGTGCAGTCAGCAGCTCCAGATTCTTGATCACGTCGCAAGGCTCGTCCTGCATGATCGAGCGTTCTTCTTCACTGAGCTTCTGGCTTTGCCGTAGCCATGTGTCGAGTTGGTCGTGTTCTGACATTGTAGGCTCTAAGCAAGAACGACAGTTAGCTCTGGTCCATCAAGGGACAATGTATTTGTATTCGGGGACGTTGCCGTCATCCCCGCACGCCGATGATCGACAAAGGGCGGAGCTATGTAGCTCTGGTAGCCGTATGGGGAAGTTTACTTACTGTTGCCTTCGCGAGTAATCTTCTCTACCAAGGTCTTGATCTGCACTGACAGTGACGCCTGCTGGTCAAACTTCTCTTTGGACTTGCGAATGTCCTGGCAGATCCGGGTCCAAAGCTCCATCTCCTCGTTGTTGCCAAGCCCATTGTCGCGGGGGCGTGGGCGATTCCGGGACATGGTTTCGTCTGATCGAAGGTTTTGTCAGACGCGTCAGGTATGGCAAGCACCGACAGAAGCGAACGAGCTCGCAATGCGGAGAGGTGATAGACTTCCAGTCGGACTGGGGAGGCGGAGAGATGCGACGGCGATAAGCTCGGGGCGGTCGGCTACCCGCGCGTCTAAACATTGGCGTCACGGAACGCTTGTGTCTTACAGATCATTCTATTCTACAGTTGACTGCGGCGATCTGTGTCTATAAAGTCTCTTGGGTTTAGATAAGGCAAAACTTCAAGATAAAGAATTGTGTTTGATTTCCCATTGAGCTTAATTCAGACTACGGGAAGAGAACTGTAGAGGGCTGTGGCCAGACGGTTGCGGAAACTAGAATTGGGCACGTGCTGAGAATGTCCAAATTGGGATGTTTAGATTGTTCGATTTCGTCGGTATAAAGCGAGATCAGTCTGGACTTCCTCTTTTGAGTATTTCTTTGTCGGGACAGTCCTTGCAGAACGCTTGTTGGCCACGGACCCTGGTTGAATCGCCCTCACCGAGAGTCTTGGCGGGGACATTCTGCGTAATAGAAAACCAGTTACGCGCCCCTCATCTTTTTCCCGAGACACATTCTCCAAAATGCAGATTCCATTGCTTCGGCTACAGTGCGGTGGGTTTCGAATCCTTCTTATGCACGCCTAGTTACTGACTGCCCTCCTTCTAGGCGTCAACAGCTACGACTGGGGTAAGTTTGGGTCAATATCCATCTTGAATGCCCCGCACTAAGCTTCGTCATAGGCAAGGTTGGCCAAGAGTCGGCAGCAGCCCGCTATGCGGCCACGACGGCGGCCCCAGATTTTGCGATTGAGGCTGAGAAGCCCTATGCGGAGGTATGAGTCTGATCTTTATGGTGTTTCGAGAAGAGAGCAACAAACGTAGGTGGACATGCTGACCGACGTCACAGCTCTGGATGGGCACTCACCCCTCTCTACCTTCCAAGGATGTCGAGACCCAGCGGACGCTTCTCGATCTCGTTCAAGATAACCAGGCGTTGATGTCAACGGCAATCACTGAACGCTATGGCGGACGGCTACCGTTCCTCTTCAAGGTGCTCTCCATTCGCAAGGCCCTGAGCATCCAGGCCCACCCAAACAAGAAGCTGGCCGAAAAGCTCCATGCTCGAGACCCGCGCAACTATCCTGGTATGCGTGAATATCGAAGGGATCTAGTAGAGTGGAAGATTTTACTAATCCCGTTTTCCCATTCACAGATGACAACCACAAGCCAGAAATGACCATTGCCATTACACCCTTCGAGGGTCTTTGCGGCTTCCGCCCCTTGGCCGAGATCGCCCACTTCCTCCAGGCTATCGAGCCCCTCCGCAAGCTTGTCGGCTCTCGCGCCGCCAGCGACTTTGAAGAGATCGTCAAGGGTAACGAGGAGTCGGATGATGAGGCCGTTGTGCAGCGGAACAAGGATGCGCTTCGCTCATTGTTCACCACGCTGATGGAGTCTACACCCGAAAATATCGAGACTGCTTCAAAGGAGCTTGTTTCTCTGGCAGAAAACTCACCTGCCAGCTTCGGCACCCTACCCGGTGAAGTTGCGACCAATCCTACGAACCCGGATGAGTTGGCTGCCATCATCCGCCGACTGAATGGACAATTCCCCAACGACATTGGCTTGTTCGTATTCTTCTTCCTCAACTTCATCAAGTTGTCCCCCGGCGAAGCCATGTTCCTCAAGGCCGACGACATTCACGCCTATGTCTCGGGAGATATCATCGAGTGCATGGCCTCTTCTGACAACGTCGTCCGCGCTGGCTTTACGCCAAAGTTCAAGGATGTGGATACTCTGACCAACATGTTGACGTACTCTTACGCCCCCATTGAGGAGCAGAAGCTCGCCCCTACCGACTATCCCTATGCTATTCTTAACGCGACCGCATACTCGAGCGCTTCCTCGTGCATGCTGTATGACCCTCCAATTGAGGAATTCAGCGTCGTCAAGACGGATTTGAACCGCACGGGCGCCAAGTTGACCTTTGACCCAGCTGACGGCCCTAGCATTATCATCTGTACTCGTGGCAAGGGCCGGATCAGCGTTGGTAACAAGACCGAGGAGGTCAAGGAGGGCTACGTCTTCTTTGTTGGCGCTACTGCGGAGTGCATCATTGAGAACACTGGCAGTGGGGAGGGTGACGATGATGTTTTCACAACGTACAAGGCGTTTTGCGAGCTGACCGGTAAGGAGGATATGGTCAATGGACACTAGTACCCTGTTTTCTAATTCGGGACTATCAATAGGCCGTGCCAGTGTGAGTGCGAACCTATGATATACCTATCTAATCGAAAGCTGGATTTAATGAGGTCGATGTTTGTAACCACGCTATAACTAGATCTGCGTGTTGGTTCATCACATACAATACACAAGGCTTTACATTAAAATACAACCAAGTTCTCTCACTATGAGCGGTCGATACCCTTGCAGGCTTGCAACTCACATAGATCTCAATATCAGGGCATGTCGTGATACTTGAGCCGGTTCTCCTAGGGCTTCTAAGGAGTTGCATCATGGATACTGCATAAACGGATGGCATAAACCATTTCCGCATTATTGAAAGGATTTCCAAAGTGACATGACATGTAGCTCGCTCTTCTTGAAAAGATCCATCACAGCTTCGGGGAAGCTCCATGGGCTAGTCCACCATTTATCTCTTTTTTGGTCCACTAAGCGACGCGCCGCAAACCACAACTCGAGATTTGCCTCATTACCATTCCCAGTCATCGTCGGCAGTCGGGCGGCCCCACAGGGGAGCAGCCGAGACCGAGGCAAACGGTGGAGATTCTGTAGCGCGAGGAAAGCGGGGAATCGTCATCGCATGACTGGACTCGATCCCCTCTTTGTTCAGAAATATTACTGTGAAACCCTCTCCGCTCGACGCGATTCCTCATCAGTTGTTTCTCAAGAAGCAATCTGCAAGTCACCATGCCTGGATCCAAAAATGTCGTGCAGGTGCCCCAGTTAGGGTTCTGGGAGAAGGCGGATCTCCCCTTCGTCCACGCTTCCGTTGTTGTCCAGGCTTTGTACGCTGCTATCACTGGGTTCTTCCGTGGTAAAGCCAGCCCGAGGAAGTATAGCCATCATGTTGCTGCTGCAGCTATTCGCGGGATGGTAAATCGGATCTCTATTCGTCAGAAGCAGTATGTTTGTTTTTCGCTCCGATGCTGGTTGACTTGGGGCTGTCGCGGGATAAGCGCCCCAATAAGATGTGAGAATTGAAACTGACAGCTTCATTGTTGTATAGATATCTCGACCCAACAACGCCGCAGACGTACCATGCCGTGATGCAGCGAAGAGGCCTGCAACCGGAGGCAGTCGAACTCCCCCACGACACAGAGGGATACTGGCTGGGCAACAAGAATGCAAAGAACGTGATCATCTATTATCACGGTACGCCCATCTCTCTCTCTGTCTCTCTTTCTCTTTCTCGCTTCATTCCCTACACTTACCATGTGCACGTGTAACACCGATCACTCTTCCGGGAGGAAATCTCACAACCTTCCATGCCGAAAGCTAATCTAAACTCTGTGCAACCACAGGAGGTGGCTTCGCCATGGCGGCCGGCGCCACACACTTTGATTTCTGGCTAGACCTCCTCCAAGTCATCAACGAGAACGGGCACGACGTCGCCGTGTTTTTCCCTCGGTACACACTCACCCCACACGAAGTCTACCCAACCCAGTTACGCCAGGCCGTCGGTGCACTCCGATACATCCTCACCGACACCGGACGGGCTCCGTCTAACGTGATCGTCGGTGGTGACTCGGCCGGTGGAAACCTTGCCATGGCGGTGCTGCTGCACCTGTCCCACCCGCATCCTGCTATCGACCCGATTACCTTGTCGAGTCCACTGGCTGGCGTGTTTGGGTATGCGCCGTGGATTAATTTCAGCCAAGACTGGCCCTCGTTCAAGGATAATGTTTCTCGGGACGTTCTCACTGATCGGGCTTTGTTGAGGTGGTCGAATGCTTATCTTGATGGTAAGCCGGGTGATAGTTGGAGTGAGCCGGGTCGTGCGCCGGCGGACTGGTGGCAGGATGCGAAGACGGAGCAGATCTTATTGTTGGCGGGCGGTGACGAGCTTTTGCTGAGTTCTATTGAGTCTTTTGCGAAGAAGGTCAAGGTATGTTCGCTCCTTGTTAGGTTTGATACTTGGTTCGACTTTCGTTTGTTTGCTAACATGCTCGGCAGTCGGCTTTCCCGAATACTACGTTCGTTGTTGGATACGACGAGTCTCATGATGCTCACTTGTATGTCGAAGCAGGCTCAAAGGAGGGCACACAAACCAGCAGAGAGCTGCGGCAATGGATTGCTTCTCGTCTGTGAACCCAGTTGGGGGGCAAGATGTATAATTCAGGGTCGTGCTTGTCTCAATGGATTTATAGGCCCTATGCACATAACATAGGATAATTCAGGAAACCATTCACAGTTCATATTTGACAAACGTTGATAGTATTCAGTCTGATCCATGATAAGATCATGTCGATGCCAAGATCAAGATTCTGTCGTACGGAGACACAGCTTGTGGCCCCCTGGGGATCTGATCCTGCTCATTCAGATGATACTCCCTGTGAGTTCCTTACTCTTAGTACTAATTATAATTTCCTCAGCTGTGTCACCGTTTTGCCTTTATCGCACAATTTCTCCGTTAAGCAGCTCTGAAGCTGTATGATTACGCCATCAACTGGCCACCTCAACGGGAAGTTGAATACAGGACCAATATTGTCATTCTCTATAGAGCATTGATGAAGTATTTTGAAAATCGTGCAGCCTATTGGACACGGTAAAATAATGGAAAAACAGCATGTTGCCAGTAATTGCTCTACAATGAGCAGGGGTCATATCAACTCATAACAACGCAGGGTACTCATGCACCTGGCTCCAAATAACAGGCTTCGCAAGAAACAAAGATAGAACTTTCCAACTACATCTCCCCGTACGTTCTATACGTCTACGAAGACACCTTCGGCGAGTACTTGGCCGCCGCGGCATCGAAGAATTCGCTCTTCTCCTGAATGTCGGCGAGGAGGGCGTGAGACGGCTGCACCTGTTGGAGCCGGCTAGAAATTGACGGAATTAGCATAAACATCGTCGAATGGGAAAGGACGTCACGTACGCCTCCAGGTCTGCGCTGGGCTTACTCGCCAACACATTCAATACAATGGTATTGGCAATCAACTCTGCGTTATCGGGATATTGCTCCAGGGCGGTGGTGAGGGCGGCCTCGGCTTCGGGGAGACGGCCGAGATGGAGTTCAGCGACGGCCTGGCCGACAATGGAGATTGCGGCGGAGGTGCTAGGAGCAGAGGCGAGCTCCTCGTAGACGTAGAAGGCGGATTGATACTTCTCGCCACCCTAGAAAAGGACAAGCCGGTTAGTCTCTGATTCGGACAAGGCTCCAAATTGCGCATTGGTAAACGTACAACTCGCAGGCCAACCCAAGACTCGGCTAGGTTGACCAGGAGGGAGTCCTGAGCCCAGCGCTTGGCGGCCTGGACTTCCTTAAGGGCAAGATCGGTACGATTCTGCTGCAGGTGGATCTGAACAATCAAGGCGACACTAAAATTCCCCAAAGGACCATTAGCGCTCTGACCGATCCCACAGAATCGTGACAAGGGGACACCTACGCCTCCAGGTTACCCTGGTGCTTGGACAGCAGCGCCAATGCCTCCTCACTGTTCCCATTGGCCTGCAGCACTGTGCCAGCAAGAACTTGTACGGTGGCATTTTCGGGGTAATTCTCGGCGAGGTCTTGAGCGAGCTGGAGGGCGGCGTCGCTGTCGCCGGCGGTCTGCTGCGCCAAAGCCTTGGTGGCGGCGAGGTCGGGGGTATCATCTTCGGTAGAAATGGCGGCAATGACCTCCTCGGTCTGACCAAGGGCAATCTGGGCGCGGAGCTTGAGCACACGGGCTGGGAGTTGGTTCTCGGGGGAGAGGGCGGCGGTGTCGAAGTCGATCACGGTCTGGTATTGGCCGGAGTGGAAGGCATTGTGGATGTTGAGGAGCTCTGGGAAGGGTATTAGCGGTTTGATGGAGGTTCTGCAGAGATTTCAAGTAGCTCACCGCCCTCTGCTGAGAAAGGATCCATCTTGTAGTTAATGGGGATTAGAGATTGGGGGGGCTAGTGAGGGATGCGGTGTTGATGTCCCGGGTTGCAATTGCATGTTGGCGTTACGGCAGAATAGGCAACTCGGCCGATGGCAGGTAGGCCGACCGCCTTTGTATACTTCGAAGCAGCTACGGAGAAGTTTCAGTGAAAACCGCACGAGATTTCAAGACTATTAATGTTTGAAGAACTCCATGTTTCATTGTGTTAAGTAATCGTATATAGGATTATCATCAACAGAAATCCAGTCAAATCATAGTATACACAGTCCAAGAATCTAGTTGTCAATAAAACCATTATACAGAAAATAATCCAGTGCGGTGATGCGAATCCGGAAATACATGAATCAGTCCATCATAAGGATCATTCGAACCCCATTTCTTTCCCTGTCGAACCTTCTCAAAAGCTCAACTTTTTTCTCAAGATTCGATACGTCGCGGCGCCGTGGGCTGCCGCTTTCCGGGCTTTGTTGGCAATCAATTTTCCAACATTCTGGGTTTTTTCCTCCGACGAGCTGGCCATAGACGATGCCGAGTCCGAAAACGCGTAAGCGTATGGCTCAAGGACTGGGTCGATGAGGATTGGGTGATAGAGGATTGGCTCCTCGGGCTGCGAGCGTGGGTGCGTCTCGGTCTGTTGAATTGGGAGTCGAGAGAAAGTATAATGTTGCTTCCGAGGCGACTGTATCTGGTCGTGCAGGCTGAGTAGTGAATCTCCTGCGAATCGATTGGGATATGGAGGTACGGCCTCCAGTTGGAGTTGCTCAAGCTCGATACCCGCGAGGCTGTCGTTGTCGTCGTTGACATCGGCGTCAAGCTCGATATCGTCAGCGGGTAGGGGCTCAAAGCCTTCGGTCTCCCAGGCTTTCATACTGTTGTGAGTCCAGGTGGTCACTGAGGGCTTGATAGGCGTTGGAGCGACCAGAACTGGGCTAGTGATATCGAGGTCATCCATAGGGTAGGATGGACCTCGGGCGGGCAGAGGGAACCGGTGGAGATCACTGGTTCTGTGTGAAACTGTCAGGGCAGTTGATGAATGAGCGCGTGGACCCTACTTACCTTGGATCAAAGAATGATTTGTCCACAGACATAGCATCAAGCCAGTTGAAGGCGGCTGGTGCGTGAGAGTGGATGGCGGAGAGGGGAGGCATTGCGAGGTTTCTCGGTATATACTCGGGTTGATATATTGGGGTGTCGAGTAACAGGGATAAACTGTGGAGAGCTGTGTAGAGCCTTTGTCAAGTACCTCGAAGAGCTATTCAAAATTTATATGAAAGATGGGTGACTGCTGGGTGAGAGATCAGTAGGTGAGAGGTGATTTGGAGAAGAAACAGAATTAAAAGATGAGAGAGAGAGCTTGTCAAATTAATAAGGGAATAGATTGCAGAACTACCATTCCCTTTACGAGAATCCCAGGCTTCCAAAATAGGATTAGTTATCTTGTTAAGGAAAAGGAAAGATCTAAATAGGACCGAATGGTACTATCCTCTACTTAAGAAGTATTACGATAAGTGTCCATGGTTACAAACTATCACTGAACCTAGGAACCTCAAAACTTTATGCTTTATACTTAACCACATCTATCAATTTATGCGGAGATAAATCGCGACTAGTCTAAATTTGACCGTTTTAAAGAAACAGATTCGGTCTAGGCTCTACGAGTTACTAGCCTCAGAGAAAAACTAAGCAGAAACATCATCTGAAAACCATCCCTAAGCTATTATAGATTGGTACTCTTTTAACGGCGATGTTGAAATTGATTCATCTTTTAGCTAGGACATCAGGGTCTTCTCTATCCTGGTTTAGCAGTTCTTGTAGCTAGTCTTTCTTTCTCTCCTTCATCGAATTTTATAGCATTGGCGCTGTGGAATTTATAATGACTTTCCACAAAGCTAGAAAACCGCTCCGTCAAGACCCCTTAGGATATATTAAGACTCATCATATGTCGGAACCTATTCCTAGAATTGCAGTTCTAGAGGGTTTGCTAAAGAGTACTGGTTCGTTGGCCGGGAAGCCTAGCGCTGGTTTTCTCAATCTAGCCTAGTAATTATTTTAGGAAGGAAGGGACTGGAAGAACCAGAAACTTTAGATCACCTTTCTTTTGTCTCTGGTCTTTCTAGATCAATACCTAAACAATGGGTCTAGTTTAGGAAACGATCGACCCTTCCCTATACTTATAAAAGATATTATAGAATGCTTTATTATTATGATATGCACCGCAATCTCTCGTGATCCCAACGTTGGGACGTATGATGATTTTCTACAGCCACAAACTTCTCTCCCCAAGGCCTAGAGTAGATTTCAGATCGCCACCATTCCTAACCCCACACTTATATTGACCTTACAGTGTTACCCCACAGCTGAAAAATCTCGACAACGTTACTTAAACACTTGAATGACTTTGCATCCCTGACATGTGGCTTGAGACGTCCCGCCACCGGTAGTCCATGTACTGCGGCCAGCGGCGATCAATATGCGAGCCACGCCGGTGGTGAGACAATATTGAAACCTGAGAGGAGGCTGGATGATCATCCTCAAGCCTGTTCATAATGTTCCGCACGAGGAGCCAAATCTCCTTTACCGAGTTGCTCAATTTGGATCTCATCCTTTTCGGCATAAGCGACTCGGTGCACCGTATACCACGGCCGCTGAAAGAGACTATCCAGAGCCTCAAGTGATCGCCCGGTTGTATCCTGTACGAGTTAGCCAATATCCAATTTACTAGAATGTGTAAAAGCCGAGTAGATAGACTCACTGGCATGGCAAAGTAAACATAAATCAAAGAAATCGAGCAAATACTCCCGAAGAACACAAAAGCGCCCCATTTCTGGCTCGCAGCAAGCAGACTAGGCATTGCCCGCGAGCAACCAAAATAAAATGCCCAGTGGAAACCCATGCTGATGGACATGTTGAATGAACGAATTTTTGTCGGAAAAATCTCCGAGCCAATCAGGTAGGGAATACTGAACCAGCCAATGCTCCACGCCACGGCATGGAAGTAGATTGCTACTATCGCACCAGTCGATGCGTGAGAAGCAACTGGGGAGTTGATAATCTGGCTGGCTGTCATGTTCTTTGTTCCACCCAGGTAACCGCCGACGTAAGCCAGAGTGATGATTTGGAGGGAACTGCCCGTCAACAGCGACCGGCGTCGACCGATGAAATCGACCACGAAGAGCGCGAAGCCCAGTGTACTGACGAACTTGACTATAGCGTAGATACCAGTTGCCAGGAACTTGGACTCGTCGCCCGAGATACCCAGGTAGCCGAAGATAGTTGGTGAGTATTGAGTGATAGCATTCGCACCAGACCATTGTGAGAACAGCGTTGCCATAAAGATGAGAGAGAAGCGACGTCTGTTTTCGACGGGGATGAGGGTTTCATTCAAAAGATGCCATAGCCCGGATTTTCCGACTGCTTCTGTTTCATGGAGAATCCTTGCATCCATGGCTGCTATCTCGGCGAGGAGGACTGGGTGGTCGATGGGGAGATGACGCAGTTTTGCCAAGTTGGCCATCGCTTTTTCCCGTTGGCCGATGTATAGAAGCCAACGTGGGGATTCGGGGCAAAGAAAAATACCGAGGCCCCAGATAGCCGCTGGAAGAAGTTGCAAGAGAGTTGGAAGCATCCATTGCGTGTTTGTTCCGGCGTAGCTTTTGGTGACTCCGTAGTTGATGAAGAAGCCGAAGACCACGCCGAGTTGTTGACATGCGGCGTACTGGAGAGTAAGAAGTCCTCGGATGGCCTTAGGGGCGATCTAGAAATTAGAACGAAGTTAGAAATGAGGGGCCTTGAATGGTTTACCAGTAAAAATACTTACCTCAGTGATGTACATTGGGGGAACGACAGTTGTGGCTCCAATGCCAATTCCTGCGACGAACCTGGAGGCGTACATGCCAGATAGGCTTCCACCATTGAGGCCCTGTCCGAGAACACCGGCCATATAGATCACACTTGCAGTCAGCAACGTCCATCGGCGCCCTATCTTGTCTGCTAGAGGCAGACACTTGCGTGGATTTCAGTTACGGGTCTTCAACCGATCAATGTAACAAAGACTATTCCACATACCCCTAGACATCCAAAGACAGCACCGGCAGTGGCGATGGAAACCAGCCAGCCTTTCGTATTGGCATATTGTTCATCCGTCTCTTTGGAAAGTCCGAAAACGGTCTTAAAGTGGCTTTGCACGACGATTGAGGCAATATTCCCTTTTTCATTCAGCGACTAAGTGTTAGCCACGTTCAGAGGAAAAATTGAGTCCGAAAATGAGGACTTACCTTCATCAAAGCCCTTGGACACACCAGGAAAGGCGAATATACAGGTACACATCAACACATACCAATTAAATATCCCACTGGGAGAATCCCGAATCGCCTGTTTCGTGTCCGCAATAAGCCCCATGATGTCCGAGAGATGATCAATGGCGAACGAGTCCCAACGAGACCTCAGCTTCTCTTAATAGTCCACTCGGCTTATTCGTACCCCAACCTTGCATAGTCTTACTCCTCATGGCCCTCCACTAGCGCATCACGCTGGTCTGGGGTACAGCCGCAAAGGCTGGGGGGATGTCGGGGCCCCGAACGTGTCGTCGGAAAATGTCCGTCAGCATAAAAAGCCCAAATTGCCTTTTCTGAGAACGCTGATGTGGCCGGGGGTCAAAGCATAAAGGGTCTGCTCAGTTTAGTGTCTTTCAATTTCCCCTCAGTCTTTCTTGCATTGCTGGCTATTAAATATGAATTTCTATCCCGTTCCACCGGTCATTCAGGCCGAGATATTCGTGCGGATCCCTGATGCGTTGAGATGCACAGGACAACCCTCCGATTGGAGAAGTGGATCGAGTAGTCCGCCATCGGAAATCTTCCTTGAGGGACCTACCTACCTTGGAAATGGGGACCTCTACGTGACTGATATTCCTTACGGTCGGATATTGAAGATCGATAGCCAGAAACAGGTGACCGAGTGTGTTAGGTATGATGGGGAACCGAATGGCCTTGTCGGGCGTGAGGATGGATGTATGATTGTGGCCGACTACAAGCAAGTACGGCGTAAACCTGCCATGTCATCTTATGCAAGTCCAAGATGCTAATATAATTTAGGGTCTTTTATTGTTCGACCCGGTCGCAAAGACCATTTCTCCCTTTTTGACACGCCGGAATCTGGAGCGTTTCAAAGGCCCCAACGACCTGATCGTGTCTTCCAAACATGAAATCTATTTCACCGATCAAGGCCAAACGGGCATGACTGATCAAACTGGTCGCGTGTATCGACTTAGTCCCGATGGAAAGCTCGACTGCCTGGTTGATAATGGCGTATCTCCTAATGGAATCGTCTTGTCTCCGGATGAGCGATTCTTGTACGTGGCCATGACTCGCTCCAACGCTGTCTGTCGCCTACCTCTCCACGCTGATGGCTCTACCTCGAAAGCGGGATTGTTCTTCCAGTCTTTTGGGTGTGCTGGGCCTGATGGATTGGCTATTGACGAAGAGGGAAATTTGTTCATATGTCATCCCAGCCTTGGATCAGTCTTTGTGGTTGATGCGGACGGAGTCCCTAAAGCTCGGATTGTTACTGCTCCCGAAGGAGGAAAGAATTTGACGAATTGCACTTTTGGGGGAGACGACGGGATGACCATCTTCATCACAGATAGTATGAAGGGAAATATTCAGTGCGTCAGATGGCACTGTAAAGGTGCGGTGAGACCGCATTGAATACTAGCTTTGGATAGAACCTCGGCATTTTTTAAAGAATAGTGAGCAAGATATGACAAGCAGGTCCTATTTTACAATACTATGAAATTTTTTTGAAATAGGTCTTGGTAATATTGAGATTCATGTAAACCTAACTGCTAATGCTCATCAAATAATCGTACAGATTGTTCACTGCCGCCGTCGCGCTCGCAGTCTGCGCCCGAATCGTAGCTGCGCCAATATGCGGTGTGCTGACGACGTTCAAATTTCCCCACAACGCACCATACTTCTCAAAAGTAGGAGGTTCTTGCTCGTGGCAATCTAGACCGGCGCCCCAAAGATGGCCCTCGGCAAGGGCCTTGGTGAGATCTGCCTCATTCACAATTCCACCTCGAGCGGCGTTGATGATAATGGCGTGGGGTTTCATCAACCGGATTTCCTTGTAGGAGATCATGTCACGAGTTTCTTCGGTCAATGGAACGTGAATTGAGAGAACGTCAGCCCTTCGGATGACTTCTTGAATGTCTTGTACACGATCATGTGGGATGTGAGGCCATGCATTGTCTGGCATGAAGACATCGAACGCGACCACTTCGGCATCAAAAGCCCCGCGGAAAATTTCCGCCACGGTACGACCAATATTCCCCATGCCGATAATTCCAAGAGTCTTCTTGTAAAGAGTAAGGCCATTGCATGTCTCCTTTGGAACAGGTTTGGTCATTTGGCGAGTAGTGATGGAGCGAATACCGCGGGCGACGGTCATAGTTAGCGCGAGGACTAGCTCCGCAACATCGCGTGCGTTCGCGCCAGGGGTGTTGCAGATCTTGATACCGCGGCTAGCGCAAGCCGCTTGGTCGATCTTGTCAATGCCCACTCCGTGCTTGCCGATGGCGACGAGGTTGGGGCAGCTGGCGATGTCGTCCGCAGTCAGATGTGAGCCTCGGATCAGAAGAGCAGAGGCCTTCTGTCGCCACTCTGCGAATCCCTTGTCTTCAGGAAGGATGACATTGAAAATCGTCTTGGCGTGCTCGATGGCCGTTTTGTTGAATTGATCGATCACATAGACCGTGGGCTTGGAGCTTGTGGAGCCGTTGCTTGAGGAATAATCCCCGTCATGAGTGAGTCCGGGAGCCATCACAAAGGTATTGATTGAAAGGAGGAGAATGAAGACCAGCGAGTGAAAATAATGGAGAAAATAAATGCTTTTCATGCAAGTGATGTTATCCAGCCCATATAAATTATTGCTTGGGATGATTCATTTTGCTGATTGCATCCATCTTCAAGTTGTCGGACATTTCCTATTTCCCATCGGACTCTTCGGATCCCGTCCGATAGCGTGCTTGCACCCTCGACGCCAGGCCCAAAGTGGGGTATCGGACGGAACACTTGGGGTAAAAATCAGATGAATCCGGAGATCAACTCTCGAATCCCTTCAGGTATTACTGGGGGAAGGTCACGGATGATGGGGTCATTCACTGTCTCGCCTCGAACCAAACCCGAGAGGGCCCAAAGCACACGGCGAAAGACCCGCAGGCCAGAAAATCGTTCCCCAAGAAGTGTGAGTAAAGCAGTACACTTGTTCACAATATTGGTGTCGTGTAGAGGGATTAGTGGCTTTCCTGCAGTCAGACAAACGATTATCACTCCGGCGTTGAAAATGTCATATGCTTCCACAATGCCTCCTGCAAATTCACCACGGTCGGACCTTTGATACTCCTCCTCAATATAATCCACACAAGCCTTGATGAAATCCTTCTCAATGCTGCTGGCACTGCGAACCAGATTGGGTTCGACAGTTATCGATCCTTTGAGTTTTAGAATTTCGATAATCGCCCGGCATGAGAGACGCATGATATGGACTGCCGGAGATTTGGCGGCGGGATCACGCCCAGCAGCGCAGTCCTTCCAATAACACAAGTTACTATAATGGTACAAGACACTCTTGGAAGGGGCGTCTCGAATGTTTGACATGAACCTTGCATGCGAGACAAAATGAAGAGCTTGATTTAGATCGCAATCCCTGGCTGGTATGGCGTTCTGATATTCTTCCGGGCCCTTTTACATCTGTAAGCCTGATGCTCCAGAGAGATACTTGAGGGGGTCAACTCACCAACACTGTTATATCTTCATCTTCAATGCTGAATGGTCGATCCATTATTGTACCGATGGTTCTGTATTCTTGTTGGTATCGCTACTGTGGCAGTTCCAATGGGAAAGATTCACCCACCTATCAAGGGTGTAAAGACTCCAGAAGACATTGCGCCTGGTGTTCAACATTCCAAGGGAGATTTGAGCATCAGCTTCCACATCTTTGTGGAACCTGTAAGCGATTGCCTTTTTCATGGCCAACCCTGTCAAGTGCCATGCAGACCCACCAAAGGCGCTGTGCATTGAGTATATGATGAGTGACAGCATGCAATGCAGAATGTCTAGTCTTGTTCCGTCATCAAGTATTCCAGGGAAAAGCTTCATAGCAGTAGCATGATAGCTACTGGCCAGACCTTGGAGACCACTCGAACCCGGAGAAAGTAGCGCGCCAGTGGCCATAGACATGTAAAGGTTGAAGCTTTTGACGGCTGAGAGGCAGCCAACATCACTGTTTGCATCTTCTGATGCCTTGAAAAATGTCTCGAAGTCACCCAGGATTTCTTTCGAATCAATGTGAAGGAACTGCACTCCTATTGTGTCGACAAAGCGAGTAATGAACGGCAGAACTAACAATCTGTTCGATATCATGGACGAGTCGACCATCGCCGCTACACTCTGTCCATGAGGATCTATGACTGATTGTGCTGGATTTGCTCCGCTGAGAAACAAAGTAAGTCGTAGCATACGTCCAATCGAAAGCTGCTGAGAAAGGCCACCAGTCTCATCCCGAGGTTCTGCCATGGCACTGCGAGACAAAAATCCGATCTCGCCCATCGCGGCCTGGACCGTGTTTTCCGCAGCATTTTGGTCGGCGAGACTTCCTTCTGAATGTGCCTGTTGACCGTTATCTAAATGTTCGGTAGGTGAATGGCTATTTGGACATGGTCGTTGGCTTCGTATGCGACCCTGCAAGTCATCGCGCTTTCTTTTCAATGTTCCTACATAACTAAGTCAAGACGTTTTAGTGATTGTGACGATGTATAATTTCCCAGGTGAGGGAGGATACTGACCTTGGAACCGCGGCATGGGATAAATTGCCGCCGTTCTTCGTGATTGGATCGACAGGGAACTTCCGAGGGACACATCGCACGCCCACCACTACGCAAGCCGTGCATTCGGGCAATTTTCGATCGCACTGCGTTCCGTCAGCTTTCGGCACCTGGGTAGATATGACCGGGGTACCTTTATGCCGCCTAGCGACGGTGCCTCTTCGGGTGCTTTCCTGACAGACCTTTTGTTTTCGCTTCCAGCATCTTTCACATGCTTGGCCACGGGCTCGAGGAGTTGAGCCCGGTGAGCTGTTCCTTGTATTACTACTTCCAATTCTCATTGTCTGACCGGCAATAAGGGGGGGAAATAGAATGCTCGTATGACTTGGGGAGTGTCGGACGTCGGAAATCCAGCGATGTTCATCCACGGAAGAATGCCGGGGCAGGTCTTGGCGATGTGATTGGCCCTCCCCTTCTAGCTCCACTCTGATGCATTTGTCCAACCTTCTGCTGAATATCGAAAGTCAATATATTCTTGTTGAGATTCTGATTTCAGCCTTAGATACAGCGACAAGAAACAGGATGGAAGTCTCTCTTCCAAGGATATGGGACACTCACATCCATTGTCTTGACCCGGCCCGTCATCCGTTCAAGTCGACACGGACGTATACACCTCCTCCTGCTCCTCTGGAGGCATTAACGGCCCAAATCAAAGCCGATCGACTCGTCTTGGTGCAAGCATCGATAGAGAGAGGTCACCATGGCTTGATGAAGCATCTTCATCGTATTCGCACTGAGTTTCCCCACCTCCTTGCTCGTGGGATCATGTGTATGGATCAAAATTGGACTACATTGTCAAATCAAGACATTGATGAGTTGCATGGTCTTGGTGTGCGCTATGTTCGTATACATGGCGTTCTGGGCGAGTCTGTGCCAGATTCTTCCAGTCTAGAGGAGCAATTCCGTCTATTTTCCCGCTCATATGCAGCTCAGAGATGGGGTTGGGGATTGTCAGCTCAGTTAAGCCTTGCCACATGGGCTTCACTATCAGAGTTTATTATTTACGACACGGAAGTTTCCCGAATTCGCATAATTGCTGATCATGTCGCCTGCTGCTCACCCCAAGACAATAACACGCCGCAATTTCGCGCATTCCTGAGGCTGCTACAGACTGGACGGGTGTATGTCAAGGTCTCTTGTCTGTATAGAAGGAGTCCAGATGACATACGGAAAATGAAGCCAATTATCCAAAATTTGGCGGATACTGCGTCTGATGCACTGCTCTGGGGTAGTGACTGGCCCCATGTGAATAGTTCTAGAAGATCGCACGACTCGCCGGTGGCCTCCGAGCGGGGGAACACTGGAAAGGAGTTGGAAGTCCTCCGAAGTTGGCTATCGGATGATCAATGGGGAAAGATGCTTTGCGGAACCCCAGAAAAGCTTTTCGCCGAATGAGAATTCTTCTTCAATGAATCACTCGTTCTCTGATGGTTCCGGTAGTTCTCCGTCTTCCTATTTCATGCTAGTCTATGAGCTACTTCGGCCTTGCTTTGACAATATCATGTTTGAATATTGAATTGAAACAGTCAGGCAATAACTATGTTGTGGCTCTTAAGGCCCAACCCCGCCCCTGCACCACAAAGTGAATCCTGAACTCTAATAGGGTGTCGGAGAATCTCCGAAATGCCAAGACCGGGGCAGAAAAGCCGGGGTACTCTGGGGTAAGGTATCTCCAGCGACGACCTGATTGTGGACAAGGACGACCAGCGAGATATAAATACTATGTATTCTGGGGCGAGTCTCTGTAATGATCCTTGTCACGGACTCTGCAACTACACTGAATTCATTCCATACCAGAATTTGCAATGACCCCTCCTGTTTCATCACCTCTGCCAAACAAAGATGGCTCGAAAGGGGGTGGTAAAGATGTCTGGGTGGAATATCAAGATGGTGACGCTGCAATCGATGTTATGGTGATCTACCGCTCCTATGAGCCCGAGTACCGTCGTGATATTGAGTTGAAACTACGCCGGAAAATCGATACCCGGATTCTACCTCTCGTCGTCATCATCTATCTGTTCAACTATCTGGATCGCAATTCCATCACCCAAGCTCGTCTGTATGGACTCCAAGAGGATACCGGTGTCAAGGGAGCGCAATACCAGACTGCGATCTCTATCTTTTCAGCTGGTTATATTCTCATGCAACTTCCGTCTACCATTATGATGACGAAACTTCGCCCTTCCATCTACCTTGTGAGAACCTACAAGTCCTTTCGTTCTCATTTGGTATCGCTAACATCTCATCCAGCCAACATGCATTATTATCTGGGCTATCACTAGTGGATGTACTGCCACCGTTCACAACACCCCGGGATTATTGATGGTTCGACTTTTCCTCGGTTTCGTGGAAGCCCCATTTTTCCCCGGAGCGATCTATTTCCTTAGCTGCTGGTACACAAAGCGGGAAATCGGTGTCAGAATGGCACTCCTGATCTGCGGTATCCTTCTTTCCAACGCTTTCGCTGGCTTGATCTCAGCCGGAATTCTGTCTGGTATGAACGGTGTTGGCAACTTGACATCATGGAGGTGGTTGTTCATTATTGAAGGGCTTGCCACGTTGGTAGTCGGTATCATCGCCCTTTTTGTGTTACCAGACTTCCCAAGCACTACAAAATGGCTTACTCGGGACGAGAAGGTGATTGCTCAGGGTCGCTTAGCCGCCGATGCTGGTAGCGATTCCTTGCTAGATGAGGAAAAAGTGCCCATTACTCGCGGATTGATCTGGGCGGCAAAGGATCTTCGGACTTGGATGTTTGCCTGCCTTCAGATGGCTACCACTGCGTCCATCTCGTACTCCCACTTTTTCCCCACCTTGATAAAGCAGTTGGGATTCAAGAATAATACTACCGTCTTGCTTCTGACCTCGCCACCTTACCTTGTTGCATTTTTCTGGGCTCTCTCCTGGGCATGGGTGGCTGATCGGCGTCAAATTCGCTCAATCCCGGCCGGAACATCTCAGTGTCTCGCCATGGTTGGCACAATCCTCCTTATCGCCGTTAGGGACTCCCTCTGGGCTAGATATGGATTCAGTTTCCTGGTTGCATGCGGCACATTCGGCGTCTATGCGACCACATACGCATGGCTATCCTCGACAATTACACAGCCTCCAATCAAGCGAGCTGTTGCCATTGGACTTGCGAACACCTGCGCAAATATTGCGTCTCTCTTTGCAAACTACTTTTGGTTGGATCAATACGAGCCAGCCTATCGTCAATCCTGGGGCTGTCTATTGGCATTCCAGGCACTCGGACTCTCTTGTATCCTTACCATCCGTTTCACACTCCAGCGCGCGAACAAGAAGTTTGAGAGCTTGTCCAATGAAGCTGATGTCATGGACCCGTTAGTTATCGAGCGTCTCAATCTTGACGAGCGCAAGGCGGTTCAGAACGGATTTCGATATATTGTGTGATAAGAAGAGCAGTAACAACCTTTTGTAACCGTGATGAAATTATTATTTATCATTGAGAAGCAGTCCTTACTAGTATTGAATCAATTATGAACCTTGTCAGAACAACAGAAGCCCGTATAGACTAAGAATGTAGTACGTGGAGCACTTTTGGTCTAGCGGTAAAATGCCCCAAATTTGCTGACCCTAATCTCATGCACAACCTCTCCCTTTGATGTTTGCTATGTTTGCTTTGATGTAGACCAGATCACCTGATGGACTCGCCCCAGACAACCAAGTGACTGCCGATTGCCGACCACGGTTAGCGGAGGTACTTCCCCCGGACACATATTCGAAGCCTCCCCCATACTCTCTTGGGTCCTTCGATTTGAACGTTATGTTATACTCAGCATGAATTAATGCTTAGCTGCAAATTACGATGAGCAATTTCAGCTGTGACTAATTTGATGCAAATGGCCACGGGAACCCCCTCGTTTTGAAATGGAGCGCAGCACGCCAGTTGTCGAATCTTTGCTATTTCAACCCAGTCAAGACGCAGATCCGCTCCCACGACTTCCAGCATGCCGATTTTGTTACGCACGAAAAGCCAAGGTAGAGTGCTCACATGCCGACTAATTGCGTTGTTCTAACATGGAATGGAACCATAGTGCGATAACGCTCGGCCTAAGTGCAGCTTATGCGTGAAACACAACGAGGAATGTATGACCCTGGGGCTGGACGAAAACGAGACTTTTAGTAGAAAGTTTGTCATCTTGTCTCTAGTCAAAAATTGGTTCAATCTTGAATACTAATTGCAGGATAGGTATATTGGAGACCTTGAACAGGAGATTAGAACGCTGGAAAGACAAACCCAGGCTTCTGACACAGACAGACCAAACCCGACTCTGTCTCAAGATACCCAAGGCTCAAACCAGCTTCGGCATATATCTCAACAAACCAACCCTAGAATCCTTGCTCGCCAAGAAGACGGCCATTCACCAAACTTTGTGGAAGGAGGCGGTATCAGGTATGTTCAACCGATGGCGCCTGCATCAATTATTTTTGCTCACTTAGTTGCTACAGCTTCATGCGACATCTGGTAGCAGATTCCGGATGGCGTGAGCACGATCCAACTTTGCTGCAAAACCTGACAAGGAATCCTGGACCTGCCGAAGCCGGTATTAAACCGCATTCTCTTCCTCCAGCCGAACAGGGCCGGAAAATCTTTGACAACTAGTGAGTAATAGCTGATTCCCAAGCCGTTCAATGACCTGTGATTATTTTATTGGCTAACGTTATCAGCCTGAATGGGTCTCATGTCCAGAATCCATTCTTCCTCCGGCGCGAAGTACAGAGGATCTGCGACACTGTATTTGGGTTTGACTTGGAGGGAAGCGAAAACGAGACTCAGAGCGGATTGACCGGATTGACCCAGCATATCTCAAACCATGATCTATTTCGTGCATTTATGATACTGGCGGTAGGATCTGTGGTTCTGTATCGCAATGGGGTCATCAAACATCATCCGTATGGATTCTATCTCTCGGCGATGAAGTATCTCGATGATAGTTTACTTTCAAGGGGCTTGGAATCAATTCAAGATTTACTGCTGGTGGGACGATTTGCAATCTACCATCACATAGGTACTGAATTCTGGCGGGTGTCACTGAAGGTCAATTACTAAAGCTTGAATTTGAACAGGAACATCTATCTGGGAGATCATTCGTCTCTGCATGCGCTTATGTATCGAACAAGGTCTCCATAAACCACCTCCTTTGACTTCTAAAGATAGTCTGTTGGAAGAACAGCTTCAACGAAGAGTTTTCTGGGAGTGTTACATGATCGACCGATATAGCTCGATCACGTTGGACCGTCCGTGTGCTATCGCGGACAAATACATTCGGATTGGGTTTCCCGCTGACGCCAACGATGAAGAACTAGAGGCCGTAGATGTATCTAAGTCTTTCCCTGACTTGGATTCTTTCTGTGCAGCCTCATCCATCCATTCGCCCTCGGACCGTGGGAACACCGAGATGTCCGTTTTCTTTGCTTGCCTTCGACTTCGTCAAATCACCTCCTCCATTCACTCTAAATTTGGCGACAAAGCAACTCCTACAACAATACGACATAAGGCTACGGCCAGAGGGGCTATTTACGCTGAGCTGGATCAGCTCTTGAGCGAACTACACGGATGGCGCTGCACCACTCCTTCTTTCGAGAACCCACGGAGTTTGTACGAGATGCAAGACTGGTACGATCTGCTCTATTTCAGAGAACGGCTACAGTTGGTGAGGAAGGCTATCGACTTGGTCCCCAAGCAAAATGGTATTCCACCCCGGGACCTTTTGTCCCTCTGCTTACAATGCGCAACTGGGGCCATAACCGCTTTCTGGAAGCTTTTTGAGCCGAAAAAGATCACATTCACACGAAGTTATTTTCAAATGCTTTTTACCGCGGGGCTCTCGATCATGTACTGCCTGTCGGTCGTAAGCGATTTTGAGGGAACCGAGGCTAAGGCTGGCACCGAGGCTGTGACAACCTGTGAGTACATCTTGAAGATGATGGGTGTGAATCTGTCAGATGCAAAGCGTTATGTTGCTGTCTATGAGGCACTGCGTGGCTACGTCATTCGCAAATACAGTCGGCATTTCCTGGGAGATCCGCAACCCGGAGACAACATTCTTGCTTCAACACAAAACGCCTACCAAACCTCTGCCTTAAACTTCGCTGCTTCTCGTAATGAAAAAAATACGGGCGATATATCCAGCAGCCAAATGCCATCCCTCGGCGTTATCGGCTTTACCAACCATCACACAGTCCAGAGCTCAGCAGAATTGCCGCTGCTCGATACAGCATTAGCCGATCTTCCAATCATGCACGGCACAGACGAGTCTATCTACAACGATGCAACCATATCCGATGGATCCGTTCTATCTTGGAATATCTTTGGGGACGATTCCCTATGGAACGTGGAAGCCGGTTTGAACGAATATGCGTATGGGGACCCGCCAGCGACTTTGTACTTGGAAGATCCTTTTGATTTACAGAACATCTTGTAATAAGAAATAGTACATATGGACTGTACATATTTATAACACAGTTAAACCGCTCTTCGACTTATTCATTCGCCTTGGCCAGCCTTGAGCGGATCTTATCGTAGTTCTGCACGGTCGTCTTCATGCCGTTCTGAAGGATAGGGCCGTCTGCAGCGCTCAACGACCAGGTTGCACCCATAGAGAACCACTTCTCCAGAAGATCGAGTCGCCCACCAATACCTCCAATGCCAATTGGCTTTCCGAACTTGTTGGCTGCGTTGATCGCCTTGGTGACCGACTCAAGATACCGTGGGTCGTCGTACTTTCCGGGAATGCCCAGGTCTGCACACAAATCGTTGGAACCAATTAAAACACCGTCAACGCCGTCAATAGCGAATATTTCCTCTGCAATATCGACAGCGCCGGGGGTCTCAATCATGGGAATCAGCATGGTCTGAGTGTTCATAGCCTCGTTCTGCTTCAGAGTAGGAACGTGCTGGAAGTTGAATGCGGGCTGGTTATTCGTGCATCCGCGAGCACCGAGCGGTGCATACTTTGCATGATGGACTAGATCGCGAACTTCTTGAACGGTCTCAGTGTGAGGAATGACGACAGCGGCAGCACCCGCGTCAAGAATACGGCTGATATGCCAGTGAGACTTGGAGGGAGACCGGACGACGGGAGAAATGCCGACGTAGTTGCAGGCCAGGGTGAATTGGGCCACAGTGCGCATATCGAGGGATGAATGTTCCATGTCGATGAAGACGGCGTGGAACCCGGCCATTTTGGCCATCATAGCCATCTCGTTTCCCACCATATATTTGATGGACATGAGTGGAGTAATCTCGCCATTGAGAATGCGAGTCCGGAAGGGATTCGGGATGGTGAATGTTGATTCTTCGATTGAGCCCATTGTGAATAATATATGGATAACTTTGATGTAGAGAGAACCAAGTTTTGTGGAATATGAGGAATGTGGTATTCATGGAGTCTCGAGGTTGTTTAAATGTACGACCGGGTCCAAGCATTGATGGTGGTGACTATTTCGTGGCTCTTGTCGGAGGATTTCCGGCGACGTCGGGAAGTATCCGAAGGAACCGCCGTGATCTATACCACGCTTACTTCGTGGATAATCGAATTGCCGTGTCAGGTTTACCATTGGATGTCCAAGCCCAAATTTCACTATTAACTACTTTGAAACTTATAGATTGAAATCTGTAGAATGCACACTGAGCTGACTTGATGATTTATCATGTAGTATGTCTGGACCTTGTTGATCAGGGTCCATACGAAGTGTCGCTTATAAGCCACCAACAGAAAATCCAAATAGCAGCGTTTGGTCGACGTAAATTATAATGGCTTACCACATAGCTGGAAAATTGCTCCTTAAAAACCCCCCAAAGAGGGAGGAACATCAGAAATCACAACCCATCGAGTAATGACTAAGCAAAACAAGGGGTCGCTTAGTTAACTAACAACCAGACACCACAACTTCCCATCCACCTTATTCTTACGAGCAATCTCTAACCCCTTAGCTATTACCACCTAGCTTCAAGGCAGAATCACAAAATAACACGGTGGGTGAACATGTAGAAGGAGAATATACTCAAGAGCATAGGAACAAGAAGTGGGAGATGGCCTTCCAAGGTTCGGATGAGGCAGATCGTCCCTGGTCTCTTCCTGGGAAATGTCGAGGCATCATACAAACGGGAAATGCTTCAAGAGAACCATATCAACGCAATTGTCTCTCTCACTGATGCTCGATGGGTATGTTGGAATTCCATCACGAGAGAGGCAGGCGTTCCAGAACATCGTCACAAATGGGTTCAGTGTGCAGATTCGTCGACCCAAGACCTCCTTGCCGATATGAGTGATACTGCGACTTCATCGACCAAATGGCATCCCCAGCTCTTTCCTCATTGCACTCCTTACCCATCGAGCACAATCATGAAACGAACGACGAGCAGCGCGGTGCAACTTCGGGGGCGGTATCAATTCACTGTGATCTTGGAATATCACGCTCGCCGACTATTATCATTGCCTATCTTATGCGCAAGTTCAACATGCAGCAAGCAGACGTAACGAATTCTGTTCAATCAAAGCAGAAAATCAAACCGAGCATGAATCTTACACGCCAACTTCAAGTTTGGGAGGAGGTTGGATTCCAAGTGTGGGAGAATGAAGATAGAACTGTCCCAAAACCCGCATACCAAGCATTTCTGGATCATCAGACTATTCTTCTCCGAGAGAGAGGGCTCACTGGAAATGAGCCACTTGCACCCCAGAACCTTTTTTAACTACACCGGTTTTTCTAGAAGTCAAATCAAAATGTCAGGCATGTTCAACAGCTTTTACATAGATAAACACCTATAAACGCACTGTATTGTGTCTAATCTTGATAACGCTCTAAGTAGTTTCTAGCTCTTTTAGAGCCTAAGTCATCTAATAAAACAAAAAGGCAAAAAAGGGCAGAGGGACAACGTGTGTGCCGAATCAGCAGGCCCAAATGCAAGAAGCTACATTCCTGTTTTATAGCCTTTAATTAGTGACGCCACCCTAGCGAGAAACAAATCGATCCCAAGCTCAGTCGTTGTGAGTTGATAAATACACATATCGAGAACACCATATGGAGGCTGTCGAGTTAGTAGGGAACTAGTCGGGCCGCCTTACTCGATTAGGATGCCGATGGTGGGGTCTCTTTGAGGCTGTAAAGCTAAACTCCGCTGGACTAACATCATTTGGGTCCCCGCGGCAAACATTGGATCATTGTATGCTCCGGCGTCAGTTTGTTTGACGGTTGATTTGCTGGCTTGTGGGCTTCGATTGGGTCATCAACTCAAGGAAAACCCCCACCTCGTCCCACATCCCTCTGCTTGGTGGCACTATTTAAACCGAGCAAACCTCCCTCGCCGAATCAATACAAAACAACAACGTCCGTTTTTCAACACTTTTCTCTTCTTTCAACCATTCTTCGCCCATCCATCACCATCATCTTCCATCTTTCCTGCCAGATTTTATCCCGTTCATCACCCTTGGGCATCATGGCTTCGACCGGGGCTCTCCCTCAGACCCTCAAGTCCATCACTGCCACCAAAATCAACGAGCTGTCCAAGCAGCGAGTCCTGTTCGACAAACGCAAAGCTGATATTCTCGCAGCTGCAGATGCTGCAACGGATCTGCGCACCCGGGTTCGCGTTCTCTTGGACGGTCTTTCCCGCCTGAAAGGGTATCCCAAGGACGCCCTCGATAAAGACGACTTAGACCTGGATATCAGCTCTTCTGATAACGACTCGGAAGATTTGGAAGTCAACTCGCCTGGCATGGGCCAGTTGTACCAAGCTGACCACACCAACATTCGTCGCTTCCTTCTCCAAGGCCGCTATGACCCTTCCATCTCAGACTCTGTATTGAAAGACTGGATCGCTCGACTTGAAAAGGATCTACGCTTCTTAGAGCTCAAGTACGAACATGCTTCATTCTACAGCAAGCTGGTTACCGAGTGGTTGTCAAACCTGGACGATGCGGCTGCACCTTCCACTGTTGACCAGACAGACGATGCGGCTTCTGCCAAGTCTGACGCTGGCTTTGAAAGTGTGGGCCGAACCGAAATGCATGAGCAGCGAGCACAGTGGGAGTCTCTGGTCTTCACAACTGACACAGAAGTGAATAAAGACACAATCAATTCTTACCTCGACGACTTGTTCAAAAAGACCAAGTTGTCCCGTCAGGCACTCAAGGAGCTCCGTGAGAACCTTCGCGCGTTCGGCACTGAATTGGCAACGAAGGGAGAGTGGCTGGATGTCGAGGAGCTACAGTGGGTGGCCAAGGCACTGATGAAAACCGACCTGCTCAGTGCCGAGAAAACGACTATCCTCAAGGAATTCATGCGCAACAAAGAAGTCTTGCAGGAAGTAGCAGATGTTCTCAACATGCGTCTCGCATCCCTTGACAGCTGGTCATGGGGTGATGACGGCATTCCGATCGAAATGCGCCGCCAACTTAACGGTAAATACCGTGTTTTCATGGACGAAGACTTGCTTGATAGCCTGTTGTTGCAGTATCTGGGGTCCACATGGGCCGTCCGGCTGCGCTTGGCGTTCAAGTGGTTTTTCAACTCGCAAGCATGGAATTCGGTACATGAAAACATCCCAACGGAACATATCGAGAGACGCAAGTATTTCCTTGGAAGTGCAACGGACGTTGGTTCCACTGGCATCAATCAGCTTCGCCAGCGCACCTACGGCGACAAATACTTTATGAGCCAACTACCCGATTCCCTCGAAGAGGGTGCTCGAAGCTACGATGACAACTCCCAGGTCAAAAATGCGTTGGATACCAAGCACTCGCTTCTCCATCTATTGATCACCGAGTCTCTGATTCACAAGAGCCAGCACGACGAGTTTACCACCATCCGTTCCGACTACCAGTGGTTTGGCCCCTCTCTACCTCATATTACTGTCCTCACAGTCTTGGAATACTTTGGCGTTCCAGAGATGTGGCTGAACTTCTTCCAAGTGTTCCTCGAGGCCCCACTCAAGTTCGTTCAGGATGGTCCCACTGCCTCAACCCAGATCCGAAAGCGTGGTGTCCCAATGAGCCACACTCTCTCGGACTTTTTTGGCGAATCAGTGCTATTCTGTATGGATTATGCGGTCAATCAGCATACCAACGGTGAAATCCTGTATCGTCTACACGATGACTTCTGGTTCTGGGGCGCCGAGAAGACCTGCGAGAACGCCTGGGTGGCGATGACCCGGTATGCCAAGGTCATGGGCTTGAAATTTAATGAGGAAAAGACTGGCACTGTTCGCATGGGGGAAAGGGGAGAGAAAATCGATTCCGTCCTCCCTTCTGGAGATATTCGCTGGGGATTCTTGGTTCTCGATGCAGACCAAGGTAGATTCGTCATCGATCAGGCGCAGGTGGACCAGCATATTGAAGAGCTTGACCGACAACTCTCATCTTGCAAGTGCGTCTTCACCTGGGTACAGGCATGGAATGGATACTTTGGGCGGTTCTTCACCAACAACTTTGCGAGACCCGCCATGTGTTTTGGCCGCGATCACATCGACATGGCAGTTTCGACGCTGAGCCGTATCGAGCGAACCCTCTTCAGCAAGACTTCCAATACGACTCCCGAGAACGGAGCCAGCGTCACCGACTACCTGCGCTCCATCATTGCAGAACGATTTGGCGTTCACGACCTACCCGAGGGATTCTTCTACTACCCCGTGGAACTGGGAGGTCTCGGACTGCTGAATCCGTACATCCGACTACTGGCCATGCGAGAAAACATCAAGCAGACACCCCAGAGGCTTCTTCAAAGGGCTGCGCTCCATGGCGAAGCAGCCTACCACGTGGCCAAAGGTCGCTTTGAGAAGCAGGGCTCGGACTCTCTCAGGACCTGGAAGGACGAGAAGGGCGAGCCCCTGCCCTTCATGTCACTGGAGGAGTACGCACGGTACCCCGAGACATACAGCTCGTACCTTCAGCAGGCATACGAAAAGCTGATCGAGGTGCCAGAAGAGAGGAGCGTGGCAGCCACCGCTAGCTTCACCAAGAATCAGACGGGGCTGAAAGGACCTAGAGGCAAGGCAATCAAGCCGGGCCCGATCTCAGCAGTCTGGGCTAAGATGACTCCTTACTGGCGCTGGGTCGCAGAGCTGTACCATGATGAGATGGTGCGCACCTATGGAAGCCTCGCGGCTGTGAACCGAGAGTTTATGCCTTTGGGAGTCGTTAAGACTTTGAAGGAGGGGCGTTTCAGATGGCAGGGTTGAGCGAAGAGTGCTTTAGACCCTGATGACATTTTACGACATAATTAATACACTAGTGATACCCTCTATAGTTCCTTGACTACAAAAATTTACAAATGAATCTTACCATAACTGATATTCTCCTCCCCGAAGTGGTGACAACCTCCCCGTGGTACAGAACAAGATATTGATATAAAAGCCGGGGCAAAGGTCAACCGACCGGGCCGTTTCGCGCAACTTCACATGAGATAGAGTAATGGAAGACTGATACTGGTCGCAGAATAGTGGGCATAGCATTATTGCAATGTACTTCAGGTATTATTCTTGACGCGTAATATAATCTCGCGAAGTCTCTTTTTCTCCTGTTCACCACCGAATATCATATCCACCGACTTCTCACACATACCCAACATCTCTGCACGATTAACGCCAAAGTACTCCGCAGCAAGAAGATACTCATTCGAGACAGGACTGCAAAAGAAGCCCACATCATCCGTCTAGAATATACCAGAGAAGTCAGTATCGGAAAGAGTCGCCTTGGAAAGATGATCACTTACACACAACGCAATCGGACACTCCTGACCTCTCCACTCTCCAAAATGATGATCCAGAAATCCCCCTTCAATCAATTTCGCGTGCACATTACACGATATGCACAATTCCAATCCAATCCTCCGCTTCGCAATCACCCGCTTTACGTCTGCCGGAACATGGATAACATGACCTAGCCGATCGGGTTGAAACGAAAGCAAAGCCTCCAACTCCCTAACATCCCCAGAGACCGGCGTCTCGGCAAAATGCAGCGTAATGCCCAGCCCATTCGCTTTGGCCCGCGCAAATGCATCTCGGTAGATGGTAACATCTCCTTTCGTCGGGTTACCGCATAGATCGACGCCGACGACGCCACGCGCTTTATTGGCGATGGCGAGGTCAATGATTTCCATGGCTTCGGTGGGAGTTGTGTTACCCCGGTCAAGAGCTAGGATGAGATATACGGACATTTTATCCTTGGAGTGAAACTGGGCGATTGTATCGAGGATTGTTGTTAGATATGTTTCCCGGGTTATGTTGGATGTTGGCGATGCGCGAGGGATAGTGCGTAGCTCGAGATAGCGGACTCCATCATTGAGGAAGGATTCGAGGACCGAGTTTGTTGCGTAGACGAGACTTTCTAGGTCGTTGCAGAGTTGGTAGATGAGCTTGGAAAAGACTTGGAAGAAGCTGGTGGTGCGGGGTTAGTAACGGTAGTTTGACGGTAGAGGGAGTCGAAGCCTTTACGTTTGAAGAGTGTAGTCGACTTTGCCTGGCGGCATGAGCATTAAGGGATCCTCAATAGGGAAGTTGGGGTCCTTCAGCTTCTTGCGCTTCCAGATCTCGTGGAGGCATTGGCGACTGATGCTGCCGCTCAGATGGGCGTGTACCTGGGTGTGCGGCGGGGTGGTTAGTTCGAGGTTGTTTAGACGGAGATAGATAGTGTCATAGTAGATTTTACCTCGATCTTTGGCAGAGCCCTGGTAAAATCACTGTCAACGGGAGCTGCAAGGTCTATCATGGTTGATTCTGAGTGTCTACCAGTTTAAACAGGAATGCGGGGAGAGAAAGTGGGATGTTAGATAACGTGGTAGTATTCATCCTTGCTGTATATCACTCATCTACTATGATACTCTGCAGCGTTATCCTGCTACATTCAACAATGCAGCAACAAAACCATTAGGATCTGTTTCCCTTCACTTAAACTACGAATTTCAACGAGCGATCTGCTTTATCTCTCCACATACAACCCCCGCAACCCGCAGTCAGCACCCATGGAACCGCAGTCTATCCGAACATCCCGAAAAGTTACTAGCCGAATTGTACCTCTTTTTTTTATTAAACTGTGGTAGCGAGGATACACTCAGTTCTTGTGAGAAATTCGCATGTAATGTAATTCAAATCAGGAGAAAATATCTTACCCATAGGCCAATCCCTTGATGGCCAAGGTTGTTGCCCTCTCAAAATATGTATTTTCTTGCCGAGTACACAAACTCCAAGTAAGCAATTTGAATACTCTCTGTCCCCCTTTAGGAGAGTAAAGTATTTCACTTTTCATTGACTATTACACTATCCTCATGCCTTAATATTAGCCATGATAAATAATACGAAAATCAATTAATTACTTGACCCATACCTACATATCTGGGAAATAATTGTTACCTATTGATTACCGGCGGGATCCGAGCCATTCAGCGAGATCTGCCCTCCCCGCACTAATTCGTCGCTTAGGATATGTATTTTGAGCGTACGTGGGTTTCGCATAGATTGCACGGTGGATGTTAAATCACGATAAGGGAGAGCTTGGGAAAGTTGGAAACACGGCAATGTGGAAACGTGGAAACGTGAAAATTCTGAAAACACCGTTACGGAGTACGAATAAACGAATAACAAGATGGAAAGGGGAGTTAGTACGGAGCTGTCAACCACTCGTTGGGAGTTCGGAGAGCCGCGGAGCGCGGAGATCTGGGAAGGTTCTCTCTCTCTCTCTCTCTCGTTTTTTTTTACTTTTCTTTTTCATAGTATCGAGTAGAATTCGTTATTCCATTGTGAGATTGGGGGCTTATTGTAAGTCCACCATTCATTTGCAATTGATGACGTGTATATTATTTACTTTTCATCAAAGCAGGATTTGGAATTACCTATCAACGTACCCTAAGAGTTGTTAACCACCTATCTGGGTGACTACTAAGTTATGACCTTGTTTAGTTCAAGCCCACGGTCCGGTCAACCGGGTTTCCCATTTCGAAAATACCTGGAAGGAGCAGGGGTCAAATGCATGCCATACCAGCGTTAATGACAGGGGGCTCCTCCATATTGAATATTCTCCGGGGAGGTAGACAAAGTTTGAGGAAAGAACTAAGAATAGAGTCGCGATCGGGATACAATTGCCGTTGTAGTGTCGGTTCCCGGTATACACAACAGAAAGGAAATGGAATCAATTTCCCGACCATTTGCTGGGGGCCATTCGCCGTTACGACAGTATCTCTTGGCACTTTTGCCTGGATGGGGACCCCGTTAGGCTATTAGGAAAGACCTGTCTCAGAGACGTGGCCCACTGCTGTGTTGGCCCTCTTAAGCTTGGGGCCACACCTCGTGTTTCTTCCTATTTGGCCTTTCCACTTGTCGGAAGCAAGCGAGCGCCAAGACCGCGGTCGAGTAGTGGAAATAACAACGGCCACCGGGCATCCGCTCGACCCGTGCCGTGCGCAGACCGTTTCAAAGCATCTACTCCATCGCTGACGCTGGATAGGAATTGCTTGAGTGGAAACAACCAGGATTGGGGCCAGCTGAAATGCAACCCAGCCAGTAAACTAATTTTGGGTAGGCGATGCATTCTGACTTCTTTTATCAACGATAGTAGCCGCAAGTTCCTGCAAGTAAGATGGAGGCCGATCCTTCGATAGGCATTCTGGAAGCCACGTTGTCCACAGCGAGGTTCCCAGTGGGTGTGGGCCAGCCTTAGAGGCGGCATCCACTCGGGTTACCAGCCCCAGATCCACGACGGGTCTTAGTGGGTGTCGGTCGGTGAGTCTCCCGGTCACAAATTGTTCTTTCGCGCTTGGCGGGTATCAAAGCTGTTAAGTCAATGTGGTCGCTGGCAAGTTACAGGACGGTAATTGACGTGAGATGCCATCGTGTTGGTAAAATTGGAAAGTCATTCGACAATTACTAGCAGATCGTGGATCCTGGGTCAGTGCGAGATTGTGCTTCAGATAAATCACGTTCTCGAATCTTTCGATGTGCCGTGTGCGGCATAGACTTGAAACATCGCAAATCTCCCGTGATAACTTACATATATTGGATTGCCAACGTCAATTCGGAGATCTGCGCACTCGGCTAGAACAGCCCGGTCGCGAGGCTCAATAAATTGAAATTGAGCTCCACCTGGCCTGTGGGATGTATAGCATCCCAGTTCTTCGGACGTATCCCTCGAGCATGCCCGGAGGCTTGGGAAGGCCGAAACATGATGCCGGTCCCACATGAATTTACGAGGCTGAAAACTCCCCATTGAGCCGCGTCCTTACCTAACGGGTGAGCTTGCTGGGTCCATAATTCTGGGTTTGTTGGAGATTCCCTATCACACCACGGGGGTCCTCGAACTTCAGCCCTGGCACCTGCGCCACACTGCTGCGGGGGAGTTTCGTTCGAGGCGGTGGAATCATGCGACATTGCCTTCTTGGGGTGCTCTTGGAAACTGCTTGCTTTAGTCCCGAGTGCTGTATCTGCAGGCTCGGTCGCTTTCATGCTCCCACCCAACCCCCCGGTATTTAAATCAGGCAACCAGATTCGGCGCCGCAGCGCAATACAGAAGCAGGTCAGCGGTGAAGGGGACATGCCAAGGGCCGTCGTCGAACCTGATAACATCGATGTCGAAACGGACGTCATATCAAACGCGACTAGCAGACGTCACGGGAATCAAGGTGGTCGCACCATCGGCGCGAACTATTTACCTGCCTCCCCAATAACTGCTCCTGCAGTGTTGCACGAGCGGGTCCTTGGTAACGGGAAGGGGTACAATAGACAAAGAGTTCTCGCGGAGTCATATGGCCTGATTTCATGATGAGGTTGAGCAATGTGCGCTGGAGATTGCATTTCAGCCTGCGGGGGTCCGTAGTCCAGCCACCAGGCAATTAGATATCGCACCGAGACATCCCATCGATAGACGGGACACCGCACAAGCAGTTGGTCTAGAGGATGACGGGATGACCTTCTTGCATGAGGGCTGAGAGGTGGGGTCGTGGATACGCAGGAGTATATCAGGCATCGCATCGAAGACGCATCGAAGGACCAAGCCGGATACGGGGGCTGAGCCGGGGGCCGGCTGCAGGGTGAGACTGGAGAGGTGAATGAGAAGTGGCCAGTCTGAGATGATGGGTTGGATTGGCGTGGTGTATCACATTGTAAACGACCTCCCTGCTGCAGTCCCTTTTTGGCCCTCGCCCACGATATACAGGTATCAGGCAGACACGGATCGCGTAGTCAGAGAAGTATCGCAATGAAAGTGGACTCGCCGAACAACCCAGCATGCGAGACAGCGCCTGGTCGGTGGAAAATGCAATGCGTGCCGTCTATTCCGTGTCCAGAGAGTGGTGTTGGTGAGAGTGCGCAGGACGCCGATTGGATGGGCCTCTTGGCGGGTTGAAGAAGGAGCCTTGGGCTTAGAGGGTCGGTTGACGGGTCAAAAAGAGAGAGTATTCATGACACCGCGCCCCGCCTAATGAGGCGCAACGGTTCCATTCTGTTGGGTCCGGTGCTGTTCTGGTAAGTACATGGATGTAATGCTAAGATGCCTTGTCAATTGTTCATCCGAGGTCTTAGTTGTGCATCTTTACTTCTACTAGAGCCTGCACATGACGGACGGCTTGGGATATTCCCAACTCATACTCTAGTCGTAGTAGATTTAAAGACCGAAAAGTATATCCATGTATACTCCCCACTCCATCCGCAAACCCCGAGATCCTCCTGACGATCCCTACGGAATACAACTCGGATGCCAGCCACACCTTGTATAGCAGTGACCGTGGCGTCGGGTCAAGAATTCTCATCCAAGATTCCAAACCGATCTGTTGCAAAGACTGATCTCGGCAAAAAGGCCCATTGAGAACTTGACCCAGGACGAGGAGGTAAGAAAGCGTACTGGAATGGAGATGGATAACCCCTCCCTTCGCTCCTGAAGATCAGACCCATCATGGAAATTATACTTTTCCTTCCGGAGTATGATCTTTCGCCATCCCTCGGTTTGGAGAATGTGAGCGTGCCCCTGATTCTTGAGCGGTGACTGGCTGTGACCGTTGATGCCACTCCCCCCTGGCTTCAAATTAGCTCAAGCTTTCAACCCGTCCAAGAGTTAAGATAAGGGGGATATAATTGGACATGCCCCAGGGAAGCCGGAGTACGGAATTCGGGGTGTGACTGGTATGGTCTTGTTAATCTTGGTATTGTGTAATTAATCTGCCAAGCTGCCCTGTATGGATGGTATCAGTAGTAAGAATGGTACTGTCAATATGATACACGTCATACCACCGCATTGAGGTCGACTCGGTAATATTACGGGGGGAGTTTATTGGGACTAGTCGTTGAGCTCCGAGTCTCCCGCACGTCTTCATGATGTCATTCATTCTCACCGACGTCGTTCTTCGACATGGAAGGCTACCGTGGTGAGACTGGTGATTCCTCGATCAAAGACAAAATTTGCTTTTTGGGGAAGATCTCAAAGTCTTCGCCCAAGGAGAATATCGAATCGGTGTAGTTTCGGACACTCCCGTTGGCCTACTGTAACTAGCCCGGGTCCTCAGGAGTAAAAGTGCATCAGCTGAGCCCCCGCAGATTAGAACAAAAAGAAAACAAAAGGGATTCCAGGTGGAGAACGAGATTCGTGGGAGAGGAACCCATTGTATTTTTACTTCTTTATGGTTACCCCCTATACTTCCCGTTCTTTTTCTTTTTTTTTTCTTTCCCTAGTGTTCCACAGTACAGGAATCTGCCATCCCATAAATCGTTACTTTGAAGAATTGAGACAGGTAGAGAAAGC